CAGATATTGAAAGCATAAAATTCGTTCTATTTATTCATCCAAGGATTTCTTTTAAGCCGAGGTTCGAAAACCAAATGCATTTCAAATCGAATTTATGGTTTGATTTCATACATTTGGATAATTTAAGATTTATTTATATAATATTTACTTAACTCAGTCATGTGTTTGAAGAGTAAAATTCTAATTAAGTTCAAGAAAAGTATTATTGATTTTATATGTTTTTTGTGTCAGTTATATTTGCTCTTGGTAATTTACATACTCCAAAGTATGTAAATTTGTTACTCTCTCAATACCAAGGTTTTCAATTGCCTTTTAGAGTTTGAAAGTAATTAGATTTTTTTTAATTCAACTCTGAATAAATTATCAATTCAAAATCTAAAAACTATTCAGAATCCCAAAAAGGCATTATCAAAAAAAAAAGATGAAATTACAACTTCATCAGTGTATACAAAGATAATTGTTGCATTTAATAATTTAAAGAATTTTCTTACGTGTTTATGTTATCATTATATCCAAATAATAGATTAATTAGTTGAAGAACAAATATCACTTTATTCATAAATCCATTAAAGAGCATAATAATATTCAAACAAGTTGATTTAAAATTTATTTTCAAATCACCAATAGATTAACTTAATTAAAAGGAACTATAACAAAAAGATTTTAGGAACAGAATAATCCTTAAATTTAACACCAAAAGATCATAATTAAAAATAAACTTTAATTAAAGAATGACGAAAGAATCATTAATTAATTTAATGTCTTAAATTATAATATTAAATAATAGAACTACTATATAGATCCACTTTTCCATAATTTCATCCTTGGTAATATTACATATTGATAAAACAAAAGTGTTCATTCAATCCATACAACCCATCTAAAATTGCTGAAAATCAACTTTATTAAATTATCCATCAACTTAAACTTTAATGATACAGATAGGTTAATCAATAAACAAAATTTATCAATATTTTATGATTATTTATATATCTAAAATGCAAATATAAAACGATTATATTTAATTACTAAATAATACAATTTTAATAATTTGAAGAAGATGATTAATTCTTCTTAATTCATACTTTAATCTTTTGTTTGTATTTTTTTATAATAAATTAATATTTTAATTTTAAGAATTGTAGAACCTTTTATCTATTAAAAGTTTTTCGTTCTGCCTATTGTATAAAATCAATAATATAAAAGTTGTCTTTGATTTTGATCCCTTCTATTAGAAAAAATTTAAAATTTTTTATAGAAATATAAAGGTTTATAAAATCATCCTACATTTTTAAATAAATTCTATTATTTGATTTCTATCTGAATTAGAATCAAGTTTTGATATTAGATTTCAATAAATTCGAAAAAGAATTCATCATTACATTATTCAGCTTAATATGAATTTACAAGAATGCCTTCTCTAAAAGTATTAGTCTATTATTTCTGCATTTATTTCATTTCTTTTTATTTTGCTTGAATTGGATATTTTTCGATGGATAAATTTGCTGCTTTCAGTTTATTTCTAATCATTATCAATTGAAGAATTTTTAACTTTTAATTTAATCACTCTTTGCATTATTAATTTTTATAAAATATTTATTAAAAATAATTGGATTCATCTTCATAATTGAAACTCATAAGATTATTTCTAAAGCTATAGAAAAAGAGGATTAAATTTTGTAAGCAATCCAGTTATTAAATAGGCTAACTTCAAATCTTACCATTTAGCCTAAATCTATTTTGAAAAAATTATTTAGTGAAGTTTTTGATCTTGCATCAAAAATTGAGATAATCACATAATTTTCTTTCGTTTATTGTAAAATGAAAAAAGAATATATTTATTTTTAGTGAAAATTTTCTTTCTTTTTTTTAAGTAAAAACAGAAAGGACTGTAATACTTTAATAAAGTAATGGATAAAACTGTTATTATAATTATTTTCAGGGTAATCCAATAATTAATTTATAAGGTTGCCTATATTCTGAGAATCAAAATATTAATTTTAGCCATATGAGATTTCAATTTAATTTAATTTAAATATTGTTTGAAATATTAAGCTAGAATTAATTGTTTAATCTAATATTAAACATTTTTTCAATTTTAACTCAATTTTAAAGAACAATAAATTATTAATCTTAATCTTTACTAATTATATTAAATTATTTTAGAAATTAACTAAATAAATATCAAAAATAAAATAATGAATTTCTATATAATGTGTAACAAAATTCATCTATTGAAAGAAACACTATTATATTTGAGACAATATATAATCTTTATTCAATTTGTGATTTAGAAGAAAAAGCTGCTTATTTTTTAAATATTAAAAATAAGAATGTAAAAGTTTAATTTTACATATAATTGTTTTAAAATTGATTATTTTAATGAAAATATTATGATAGATTTCTTGGTGGAAGAAATGGTTAGATTGATTAAAAGCAATCACTTAAATTTAATAAAATAGGAAATTTTAAAGTATTAAAAGAAAAGAATTGAAACTATACTTTGAAGTAATCAACAGAAAATTTTTTCGAAAATTGAAGACCCAATCCTAATGGTTTGCATTAAAAAAGGATTGATGAGCTGAGGATCTATTTTCAGAAAGTATTCATGATTAAAGTGATAGGTGTTCATGTTAAAATAAAAGAGAATTATTTAGTAGTAGTAAAAATATATGGATATAAGAAATGATCATTATAGTTTAAGTGAAAGTTATTGTTAAATGAAGCTTGGAGAGAATAAAAAAGAAATTTATGAAATACAGGAAATTTCCATCGAGTTGAGTTTTCAGAAGTAAAGTAGTGAATCAGATGTGAGTGTAAAAAAATTTGTTGAAGAAGATATAGCAATTAAGAAGTATATAGTAGTACATATAAAAAAGAGAGATAAGTATAAATATTTTTTGATTTGGAAATATGAATCTGTATTATAGGAGAACAATGAATAGACTCTGTTTGTGGATTGATAGGAAATCTCGAAGTATTTTATATGAGTAGGTGAAATTTATAATATTTATTTGATATCAAAGGCTAAATAAATTTTAATAAAATGAATAAAATTTTGAATACTATTGATAAAATAGACATTTTTGGAGTTCCTATTAATCTTCTTACTAATGAAAAGAATTCAGCTTTTCAGAGTAAGATAGGAGGGTTATTTAGTTTAATTGCAGGAAGCCTAAGTCTTACATATTTTTTATATGTTTTTATATTTTGGGTGAGCAATTTAATTCCTCCTAATATAAGTTCAAACTAAGAGACAATAGGATATGCTTAATTCTAAATTTAAACTGGAATGATTGATTTGATGCTACAAGATTTCACTGGAGATGCAGATCCCTTCAGAAAATACAATAATATTATCACTCCTCATTTATATACGGTTATTGATACTAGAATAATAGATAAACCTATACCTTTATTTAGTAGTTAAGAAAAACCTTATACAATTTCTTTTGAGAATGTCACTTTAGTTTTAAATCATGAAATCGATCCAGATTAGGATCATTAAGAAATGAAATAATATTTGATTGTACTTGAAGGTTGCTCTAATATTACTTTGTAAGATAATGGATATTGTGCTGATTAGAAAACAATTGACGATTATCTATAAAAATTTCATGGGTTTTTATTTTTAAGTATTAAATTAAATTAACTTAACCATGTAACAAGAGAATTAGAAGAATTCAATAAGCAATATTATTAGGCTTTTGATATGCTTAAGCCATAATACTCATAAGTTATGTTGAAATAGTAAGAGACAATCATTGATGATGGTGTTTTATTTAATAATTATCAAAATTATTAGTTCTTAAACAATTACGAATTAATCAATTAGTAAGTTGATTCTTTTTTTTCATCAAATGTTGTATCATAAATGTCCAAATTACCTTATAACTTTACAAATTACGGATGCTATCTATTTAGGTTAGATAGTATTTAAGTTAAAGAAGTAGTTACAATGCCAAAACTCGGTGAATTTCTTGCTTAAGTTGGTTCAATTGTTTAATTGATATTCTTATTATAATACATAGCCTTATATTACAATAATAAACTTCTTGAAAATTAATTACTTCATGAAATCATTACAATGTATTATCCTGAGTTAAAAAATATAAAGCTTACAATATTTAATAAATTGGAATTTAAAGAGAATGTTGATAATGATCTCAAAAGTATTATTTAAGATTTTATACCTAAATATAACTTTTTATTTGAAAGAGCAAAAGAGAAATGTAGACTTAATAATATTATATATGAAATTTCAAGGATCTAATTTATTATTTAATAGCACTTTGGAGATTAAGTCTTATAATAGAGTCATTCTTTTGGAGGAAAACTGTAAAACAATTATTTTGAATTTTTAAATTGTAAAGAAACTAAGAAATTAGCGATCAAACCAGATACTTCTATAGATTTAGAGAATGGTTATCACTTATTAGATCCTTTGGAAATATTATCAAAATAGACTTGATTTATTTGATTGTTATTTTCTATAATATAGAATAATTTTATTTCTAAATGTTGATAAAATTTCTTTATTTTTTTTATTTCTTTCATTAATTATATTAAATTTAATTAATTTTTAGTCTAATGAATATGATTTTCTATACTTCTGTTTTAATATTTTTATTATTTTATGAATACATACAGATTTTCTTTAGAAAAACAAATATTAATAGATTTTTAATTATAAGTATAATTAATTTACATTTTTGAAATGCTTTGTTGATTAAAAATCAAAATAAGTTTTTCTTTTTATTCATTTTATCATATTTAGAATTGGAAATAACTTTTTGTTTCTTAGAATTATTTATAATAGTTTTTTTGGCATATAGAATTGATTAACATTGAAGATATTCGAATAGCTAAATCATTCATACCGATATCTTATTCATGAATCCCCTTTGATTTTTCAATTACTTATGCTCTCAATCTTTGCTAGATTATGAATAAGACATTTGCCCTTAAATTGAGAAGAATTAATCAATTATTAAATTATTATGGCTCATAAGAAGTAATAAGGTTAAGCAAAACCAGGAGTAAAATTTTAGGATCAACCAGCAAGTATCTAGTAAGTGGAAAACAAACCATAAGTAATTTACAAGAATGTAACAGAATAAGATCAAGCATTAAAGTAATTTAATCAAGCAACAGTTTTGATTAAATTCAGGTATAAAAATTATTTAAAACATATACTGCATCAGATCCTTAATATTTAAGGAAAGACACAGCCTAATCTTTAAAATCCTTACTTACATTATTAAGAGATTGTATGTAAGTGTTGAATATAGGGACTTTTGAGGATAAGAATTCAAATTATTATCTAATATATAATTGAACAATTTATATTTTTGACATTTGTAGAGTCTTGAGAAAAGTAAATAAGTTCATTGCAGTCAAAAGCTTGTGCCTATAGAATAATAGATTTGGGATTACAAAAGGTATAAGAATTGAGAGAATTGGAAGAAATGGATCCAACATTGTAGGATTATATGGATAAAATTTTAAAGTAGAATACAAGATTGCTAAGAATATTAGAGTTAAAATTTAAAGTGCAAGCAGGAGTATTGACTATAGATTAATGGAAAAAGAAGATTGAAGAATTTAGTTAGGATAAGTAAGCTAGATGTTTGGTAATAATTGAATCCTTACGATTCTCACCTCCAAATTTATCAAACACAGTCAAATAAACACATGTTGGAAATTAATTGAAGGAATAATTAGTGTAAGTTAGTTTTGACATTATGAAAAATGATATGGAAAGAATTTCTATAGCATTAGAATACATAATTAACAGAAAAAGTAGTTAACTAGAGAATTTGGTTTGAAATATGGATTGTAGAATGAAAATATCTTCAATTATGCAGTTGCTGTTTTAGTATATAATATTCATTCTGGAGATATAATTGAGAATTGGGAAATTAATGAATTGAGGTGTAAATTCTTAATAAAAGTTGAATCTATATTGAGTAATACTTTAGATAAATTGAATTAGGAAGAATAAATAGAATAAAGAATATTGACTAAGCCAAAGGAAGAAATTTTAGCTGATCCAAAAATGGAAGATTATTATCATTTGTAAGGGATATCTAAATAAGTAGGAGTAATCAATAATTAGGAAGCATTAACATATTTATAAAAAAGAGAAGAGAGAATGTATATGATGGCAAGATCGAGGAATTTGATGGCTAAAGTCAATGTCAGTATGGGTTAGATTACAAGAGCATTGCATATATTTAAATATGCAATTGAAAAGTTGTAATCTTACACACTTGAATTATCAACTAATGAGAATGGTGAGGAAGTTGAAAATTTACCATGGGATCAATTGAAACCCTAAGGTGTAGTCGAAGATAAGAAAGGAGCTAAAAAAGCACCTGAGAAGAAAGGAAAGGAAGGTAAAGAATCAAAGGATAAACCTATTGCCGATGAAGTACCAGCTGTTAAAACAGATGCATAGATAAAATTAGAAGAAACTATCTTACAAATTGTTGAAGCCAGAAAAACAAGGCATTCATTAAATGTCTATTATTGGATTAAATTAAAACTGAATTGACTTTATTATTATATAGACATAATCGACATGATGAAGCCTTAGAGTATATGGAAACCTTGTTGAATGATTGTAAATAGTTAAATGATAATTATCATTAAAGATTAATCATTGAATATTAAGCAAGAATACAATTTAAGAAAGGAAAATAAGTTGAATCCATAAAGAAATTTAAAGAAGCTATAGAAATTGGTTAAAAGAGTTTCAATTAAGATCCTTAAATGATTGTTCTATATGGTGATCTTGGGAAAATATATTATGAAAAAAATGAATTATAAGAGGCCCAATAACAATTTTATGATGCTTACCAAATGGCTGAATAATTAATGGAGATGATCAATTATGGTTATGGAGTAATACCTAATTGGAATTAAAAATGTGTATAAGAAAAGATTTAGATTTGCTAGGATTTGTGTGTTCCATTGGAAATAGAATAAGAAATATTAAAAAAGACTGATAAATAAATAAAAACTACTAAGAAAGATTAAAAGAAAAAAGATGATGGAAAAGTAGTAAGAAAGGGAGCTGATAAGTAAACAAAAAAATATAATATTGATAAACCATAAATGCCAATTAAGGGATTAAACTAATAATCTAATTTTAATTTTATTTAATCTACTAAACTTACATACACAACTGTGGATATTGATACAATTAATAATACATAATATTAATACAATTGTTATTTAAAGAATATTGAATTATGGTAGAGAGCATCATTAAGATATGTAGATATTATGATAACATTAAACTAAGCTAACGAAAATTCAAATATATCTATAGATTCATAAGAATCATCAGTAGTTTCAGATTCAGAAAGTGATAAATCCTCAATTAAAGATATTTTTGATATTAATGTAATAAATGAAATTGTTAATAAAATTCATACTTCAATTAGTAAGAGTATTAATGTTCCAATTAGTTTCAGATTAGAATTGTATTATTTATAAAGCAAGATTTATAAGATGAGATTTGTTCAATTATTATTAAACTTACAATAAAAGTATTTTATGAAATATTTGTCTGGTAAAAATAAGAAATATTTTGATTTCTATGAAAAAAGGCCTCATAGAGATTTAGTAAGGAATAAATACTTTTTACTTATTCCTCCTTTCTATTAATTACTCAAAGAATAAGGTTTATAATATCTAATGCAAGCAAAAGAGAGTTTATTAAAAGCAATTAGTGTAATAAGAGGAGAAGCTGTTTTATTTGAATATAATAGAAAACGAGAAGACATTCTAGTAGCTATGGCTGAGATTTGTTTATTCATTAGAGAATATAGAGTCAGATAAGGATATAGATATGTGAAAGTTGATTATTTATAATCCTTAATTAATACTAAGAGTAATAATAATTATCAATATATTTTTAGATACTGAGTAAAATAAAATAGATTTGGAGTAATAATTGATAAGTATGGAAAGATCAGATAGATTGGAATAACTTGATTTAGAATTAGAAGCATAAAGTTATCTTAAATATGCAATTGAATTAGTTAAAGCAAGATAAGAACAATAAGAAAATTTTGCTGTAGTTTCACTAACACCATTGCCAGATGTCAAAAAATTGGCACTTGAAATTTATACAGAGATAATTGAATAAGATTATTAATATAAGAAAAATACAATCCTATGTTATTTGATGAATCTAAAAAAAAAGTTGATGTTTCATCAATGGATATTTTATAATTCATTTAAAAAGTGGGGAGAGAAGCTAAAGTAATGACTTTTAGTGGATCATATTTACAAAGAATGATATCTAAAACTCATCGTTTTTTTAAATTACATATGTAATAATATCAAAAATGTTTGATAACTTTATTAGAAGTTGCACCTAAAAATCATGTTAATTCAGTATTTATAGATGAAGGCACAATTGTTACTAAATTATTATATAATCCAGTTGCACATGAATTTAAAGTACTTTATATTTTAGGTGGTATTAATAAGGAAAAGATTATTACTTCATTATCAAAAGAAGAGAAAGATAAATTAATTATCTCGGATGAAAAGAATGTTGTATATGGAAGCATATATATTACTGATACAAATATTTCTATACTTTTATAAGATGCTCTGAATTTATAATCAAAAATGAAGGAATCAGATTAATAATCATAAAAGATGAAAGAAAGAGATTACAAACATCATAAAAAAGCATTTTATAAACTAATTGAATAACTTGGATTATATTTCTTTTAAAAACCAAGTATAATAATTATTTAAATTTTGGTTCAATTTATATGTAAAATGGCTAAGCTTCTGAAAACATAAAAAAAAGAATGAAGCATTTAAAAAATCAGAATCTTTTATGTAAGAATAAAATGAGCTAGATATTCTTTCCAAGTATAAAGCAATAGTTCCGCTATTTTAATAAATTTATTCAATGATTAAGGAGTTTTGTCTATTAATCATAACTATTTAGCAATTTTAAGATATTTCCATCATTAAAAATATAGATGAGATTATTAATACATTGTAAATTAATATTAATTATATAAATTAATAAAATGATAGAATTTGGCAATTACATATAAATATGTGAATTTTCTATTGAATTTAAATTGAATTATGGATAACTTATTAGAAAATAAATGCTCTAAACATGATTAAGAATTTTTAGCAGTCAGAATTGTTTAAGATAATAAAGATCAGAATAAATATTTATGTCCTCAATGTTTAATTGAACTTATAAATCCTAAAGAGTTGATACTAATTAGTGAAGCAAAGATATTAATTTAGGATAAAAAAAGCTAAATTTCTAAAAACATGGAAGAATAATGCAAACAAAAAATAAACTTAGCTACTAATCTGAAAAATAGTATATAAGAATTAAGAGGTCCTTTAGAATAAATCTTTACAAAAATTAATGAAGAAATTGATTAATTCAAAAACTAAACTGAGAAAAAAATATAAGAAAGTGAAATAATTACTCCTGAAAACCTAGACACAGATTTAGTATTTTTAACAGATGAATAAATTAATTTGACATAATCGAAAACATATGAAAATGATTTATAGTTGATAAAGTCATTCCTCAATTAATTTTAATTTTGTGAGATATCTAGTCTTTCAAAATAAAAGATAATTGAAATTATTTCTAAATGCTATGACATATCCAAATTACAAATAGAGACTGAAGATGAAAGAAATTAGAAAACTAAAGTATTGATTATATTAATTTTTAGTAAACGCCATCATTAAAATTTCTATGTTAGAGTCATGATTAATAAATTATTATGATCTAACTTGATGAAAATAGTAAATTTTAATACTCTTGTGTTTAATGCATTTCAGAAAAATAAGGAAAATACATAACACTTCGTTAATTATAATAATCTTTAGAAGCTTACAATTAATATTCTGAATAATCATTAAAATATTGTTAATAATTAAGAGAGCAACATACAAATAAAATAATAAAAATTTGTAAGTAATTATGTGGTAAATACATTTAAACCTTTAATTTACAGATTTAATAATTAGAAGTAAATTTAAAATCTTTTGAAAAGATAATTTAAGCAAATTTATAATTTAAGGATTAAAATATCTATTAATTTGAATAAGAACAATTATTATAAAAATTAGAACCAATTTATATAGATTAAAATCCAAACCATTATTTTAAAATAATTGAAAAATAATTAGAATTAGATAAACAATTATATGGCAAGTTTGAATAATAAATGTAAGAATTAATGTAATTTGAAATGAGCAGTTCAAATTTAATCAAGCTTGAATAATTAGATCATTAACTCATATTAAAAAAAATAGAAAATTAAATTGGATAATAAAAATCAAATTAGTAAAATATATAGAATGATTAAGAAGTTGTTAACTTAGAAAATGAAATAAATAGTTTTTTATCAAAAAAATTGAAATAATGTGTTTTAAATGAATAATTTTAATAATTATTCCAAAATCGCGATAAATTATAAAATGATTAATAATAATTAATTTAAAATATAGTTGCAATATAAGATAAATTAAAAGAACAATAGAAGAATTTTGCTAAAGAGCAAGGAATTTCATAATAGTATTATGAAAATAAAATAATATATTTAGAAAAAATAAAAACCTAACTTAATTCTACTTCTTTTAGTGATTAAATATAGAAAGAAACATAAATTTAAACAAATGAGACAATTGCAAGTTTTGATAATGATATAAAAAAGGTTTCATATTTAAATTTAATTTTAGTATAAGTAAAAAATTGCTCAAAATTTATAAAACATTGCTCAACTTTAAGAAAAAAATTAAGCACTTTAGTAAGATACCTTATAATCAATATTATAAAATCCTTATCAGCCTTAATTTAATAATAGTTATAAATTGGCAGCCTATTTAGTAGTTAATCATAAATTAGTTTAATGTAATAATTTAATTATACTAAAAGCACCTTATGGAGAATTTGGAATAGCTGATTAAGGAGAATATGGATTAGCTGTTATGCAACCTCCATTACCTAAAGATAATATATCAACTTTCGTTTTTAAAATAAATGTATATTTATGTTTTATTAAGAAAACAAATTCATGGGCAGGAGTTGGAATTTGCCACTTGTAAACAGCCTAAGGTTTTAGTTATGATATGAATAAAAATTATACATAAAAAAATCACAATGCTTACCTTGCATGCGCTGGTGGATATAGAATTTCAAGTTATTAAGGTTATATTGTTTTGATTTTATATATTACAAGAAAATAGTATGATATTAATAAAAAATATTATTTTATTTTATATCAATCATAGCGGCGTAAATAATTTTACTTATGGTGAACATAGCATCATTCATTGTTTATATAATCCAACAAATTGTCAATTAATTCTATATCATTACAATGTATAAAATAAACTAATTAGGATGGAAAAACATATTAAATGGATATAGCTGATAATAATTTAGACATGTCCCCTTGTGTAATACTTTATGGAGCAGCAGAAATAGAACTAATATGAAAAGTATAAATAAAATGTCCTAAACAAAGATATCATATAATACTTATATAATTTTTAAAGGAATTTCATATATTAATAAAATATTATAATTTTAAGCATAAATATTGCAAGAACAAAGTTGAATCAAACATAGTTATTTAGGTTATTGCGATGATAATATGCTTTATTAATTTTCCATAGTTTATAATGGCTTGTGAATTTCCAAAAGTAGTAAAATTGTATGATGTCTTGAGCATTTTTAGTTTTAATCTTAAATTAGGAAATAATTTACAAGATGGGATAAAAATTCATATTATTTACCATATCTGCAGAGTCCACATTCAAATATAGCTATTTCTTTAGGTGTCCATGTTTCTAATATTTATAAATATTAATAATACCAAATGGAAAATCATTTCTTAATGGAGATATTAGAATATCTAAGACATCTTATTAAAGCAGAGAATAAACATTGATATTTGTTGATTATTATTGTTATTATTCTGTTTATTCCTGATTAGGTGAATCATTATCTAGGATCTTCTTTTTTCTTCCAGGTTTCTTTTCCTTGAAATTATAATGTGATATTTACTTGTTTAAGTTCTTTTTTTGAATCAATCAATCCTTTTTCTTTCATAAACTCTACTAATTTTTGATCACTCTTATAATATAATTGGACAACCACACTTAGAAGACTCTCTAATGCATTGACCCACAATGGTTAAGTCCCTTTTAATCTATATTATCCTCCTTATGGCAATTTCTTTGTGAATATGAGTGGAGTGATTGAGTTTGGCGGTAAAAACTTACTATATAAAAATAATAAGAAAAAATAAATGATGTATATANATAGCGGCGTAAATAATTTTACTTATGGTGAACATAGCATCATTCATTGTTTATATAATCCAACAAATTGTCAATTAATTCTATATCATTACAATGTATAAAATAAACTAATTAGGATGGAAAAACATATTAAATGGATATAGCTGATAATAATTTAGACATGTCCCCTTGTGTAATACTTTATGGAGCAGCAGAAATAGAACTAATATGAAAAGTATAAATAAAATGTCCTAAACAAAGATATCATATAATACTTATATAATTTTTAAAGGAATTTCATATATTAATAAAATATTATAATTTTAAGCATAAATATTGCAAGAACAAAGTTGAATCAAACATAGTTATTTAGGTTATTGCGATGATAATATGCTTTATTAATTTTCCATAGTTTATAATGGCTTGTGAATTTCCAAAAGTAGTAAAATTGTATGATGTCTTGAGCATTTTTAGTTTTAATCTTAAATTAGGAAATAATTTACAAGATGGGATAAAAATTCATATTATTTACCATATCTGCAGAGTCCACATTCAAATATAGCTATTTCTTTAGGTGTCCATGTTTCTAATATTTATAAATATTAATAATACCAAATGGAAAATCATTTCTTAATGGAGATATTAGAATATCTAAGACATCTTATTAAAGCAGAGAATAAACATTGATATTTGTTGATTATTATTGTTATTATTCTGTTTATTCCTGATTAGGTGAATCATTATCTAGGATCTTCTTTTTTCTTCCAGGTTTCTTTTCCTTGAAATTATAATGTGATATTTACTTGTTTAAGTTCTTTTTTTGAATCAATCAATCCTTTTTCTTTCATAAACTCTACTAATTTTTGATCACTCTTATAATATAATTGGACAACCACACTTAGAAGACTCTCTAATGCATTGACCCACAATGGTTAAGTCCCTTTTAATCTATATTATCCTCCTTATGGCAATTTCTTTGTGAATATGAGTGGAGTGATTGAGTTTGGCGGTAAAAACTTACTATATAAAAATAATAAGAAAAAATAAATGATGTATATATGGGTTAGAATTGAGATTGAATTGAAAATGGTCTTACTCTAATAATACTTCGTCAATTAATGCATCTGCATTATTATTCTTTTTGTATTGATTTATTTATTATGTTGGAAGCTCTAAATATCCGGTACTAAAATAATAATAAAGGAAGGAATTAAAATATAAGAGTGGAATATGAAAAACTACAATTGTAGTCTTTAAAAATTGAAATAGATTGATATTTACATACATATGAGAGCCTTATCGAGCAAGATGTTTAATTTATTAGATGACTGATTTTTGCTATTCATTAACTTTAATGGAATTGCATTACAAATCAATTACTAAATTAATGTGGATACTAATACTAGCATTATCAGAACTTCTATCCATTTTTATTACTTTTCTAATGCTTAAATCGAGTCCATTTATGTCTTCAAATTATGTGCAATTATATTTATTTTGTAGCTTTTCATCTGACTGATTGTTCATTACTTGCTACCAACTTAATATAATCAAAAGCAGACCTCTTTAAAAATGAATTATGCTTATTGAAAATAATTAATTTGTTTTCATAATAATTCTAAACTTTTAAATTCTAAAGCATTGAATAGGTACATTCCTAATTAGTAAACATTATCATAATATTTACTAAGTCATTCATTAAAATTAATTCATTTTCCATTTATATTTTCTTTTAATTTTCAATAAGTCTCCCTTTATTCAATTTTATGTCCCAAAACCTTAAACTCTATTATCTTGATATTCACTCTTGAATAATATGAATAATGAAATACTAATAAAATTCCTAAGGATCGATAATAAAATAATAATAATGATGGAAAGTCTTGTTTAATAAAGAAATTGCATTTGTCTACAAGAATTAGAAAACTTTAAAATATCTTTCTCTTTAACATACTTTATTGAGTGAAGATAAAACTAATCATTTTAATAATTATCGAATGACTTAGATAAAATGAGATTTTGATAATATCATTGACATCTATCATGTTTTAATTGTCACTATATATCAATAAAAAGGCAATGTCCTTTTTTGCTTTATAATATTAGAATCCTCTGTTATTAAAAACTAATAAATTGTACAATATATTTATCAGGCTACATTATAATGAATCTTGCTACGAATAAGTATATTCATTAGTTCTTACATTTCTTTCTTGTTAAGAGTATAGTAGATAATATATTATTATATTTAAAATTGTATACTATTTTTATCATTTAGTAAATAAGATCATTGATTATTAGCTAAACTAGTAAATCTTCTAAATATTTTAGTATTTATATATTTTCTAAACTTTTAATAGAGCTTCTGTGATCTTTTATTTTAAATAATTTGACATGATTTAGTAATATTCTATAAATGAATTTTCATCTTAAAAACATTAGTGATATTTAATGTAATATATATATATCTAATAAAATCACATGAATACTTATTTTTTAATATGTTAATATCTAGATATACTATATTTATTAAATTTATTAGTATAATGAATAAAGAAGAGAAGATAAAATTTTATTTTTTGATAAAATAATATAATTATAGAAATAGAAATTTTTATTTATATAATAAAATTTTATTTATTTTAATCATTCCAATTATTGATTTGTTAATATATTATATTTTCTATTTACACTATTAATACTTATTTTCCTTTTATGTTAAATTTAATCAATTGAAACAACTTCATGATTGTGTCTATCACTTCTTTATGGTGACATATTACCAGAAACACTATTTGATTTTTTCCTATTTTTAATATTTCTATTTTTAACTTTACCAAACGTCCCTTCAAATCTTCTGGATTTTTCCTGTGTTAAATCCAAAGAATGATCATTACTATAATCTTTTGGTTTATAAAGATTTCCTTAAGTTTCGAATGTTTAGATAGCATTATCTTTAAATTATTAATGTAGAAACGTAGGAGAAGATTCAATTAATGGTTTTTAATTATTTGCTATATTTTCTTACTCAATAATCTAATCATCATTTAATAAATTATTAAACATTTACTATTATCCAAAAGAGATTCTATTCGGTTTGTGGAAGTTTGGTTCTTTTTATGAGATTGTCTAATTTGGAGTATCTCTGAAATTAGTAGGTTAAGATTAAACATCTGATTCTGTTTTGATTAATTTATATTAATAATTGCAACTATTTTACATAGCCAATTTAGTGATCTTTTCTTTTAACTGATCTTTGAGTATATTAGTTTTCATCAATTTCTCACTCAACTTATTTGAAAGTTAGGAAGTAGATGTGAGTTTTGTTGATGATAAATATTAACTTTAGTTTTATTCTTGAACTCGATTAATAAGGGATTTTAAAGGATCTATATCAGTTGTTACAATTTTCTTTATCATTGTTTAAAACTTTTCATTACTTCCTTATTTAAGAGTATATTTTTAATCAGATGAATAGTATGATTTATTATTACTAATAGTTTATTACTCAGAACATTATGTTTATGTCTCTGTAAAATATTAATTAATTATCTGAAGTACTTTTGTTAGTAAAGTAGAGTATTATAAAGTATCAAACATTTACAAAAACTTATCTTTGTTTCCACATCTTTAAATAAAAAGTTTGTTTAATTAATGATTTCCATGTACAATTGACAGAAAGAGAAATAGATTACATTACAAATTTTAATCATATAGATCTGTTTTGACTGAAAAACTATTAGTCATAGGATTTTTTGCATTAGGACTCAAGTAAATAGTATTGTTCATTCCCTAATATAATTAAATTAAGTTACAATCGAAGTGTCTAAAATAAATGAATTGCCATATTATTTTTTCATCCTATAATTATTTTATTAATACAATGGATTTTAAATCTCGTTTTAAGGGAAAGATGACTATAATGAATAAAGATGGAGTAATAGGTATGGTAAACAAACCTTCAATTCCTATTGCAAAAAATAACTAATACTTAACTTCATCTGATGAAATCTCACCATCCATTTAGAAACTTGGTCATAACACTGAAGGAATAAGGGAATCCAAATCTCACATTTTCACCAATATCCAAACATCACCTAATTAAGGAAGCTCAACGAATTATGCTTAAAAGTTTTCTAATGCTGGCTCTTAAGTTGTTAAATAAAATCATATTAAAACAGAACATCCTTATTATTTTGATGATCCTAAGAAATAGTCTAATTAATATTAATTCAGAATGCAATAAGATTTTAATTAACTAGATATGGATGAATATGAAATTGTTGCCATTCCAAAAACTATGTTAGGTTAACTTCGATAATAAATGAGTGTTGATAGATATGGACTAACAAGAAGCTTTGGTCCTGAGAAAAAAATACCAGTTGAGTATTTTAATTTGTTTAATTAGGTTCTCTTAACTATCTCCTTAAATTACTACTTAATGTACCAGTTATAATTAGACACCTTTACTTAAAAAACAGAATACGATTGATTAAATACTTAAACCTCCATTGAATAAGTAAAAGTCAGAGAAGATGGAGAAAAAAAATTAAACTATTTAATAAGCAGGTATTGGAACTTTAAGATACAAGTATATAAAATACATATTTAAACTAGTTCATATAGTAAAAGATGAGTTTTATATTATTATAAATAAATTTTGTTTTTAGGAATACTTTATAATCATTCAAATCACATAAATGTAGATGATTGAATGTACTACTAAAAATTAATACAAATAGTTATTTTTATTTTAATATATTTTTATAATATGAGTAAATTTTAATTATATTATATTGCATCATAATATAATGTCTAAAAGGTTAACAATCTCAAAATTTAATACATTTAATACTAATGACATACCTGAATTAGATAGAGTAGAAACCTATAAGACATTTTATAAAAAGAGATTTAGAAAACTCTAAGTAGATGAGAGTCCTAATTAAAAAATTATTCCTCAAAGTATCCTATTAAAATCTGGATAAATTCCATTTAAAAGATCCTTTTAAAAACCAAAAGAAGATATCATAGATATTAAAAAATTGTAATTTTATATGTTAAGAATTAGTTAGATCTGTGAATTATGGAGTTATAAATATAATCATGTTGTATAAAAGGTTTCTAAACTTAATAATGTGAGTGGCATTTTAGAAATTCAGAAATAATCATAAAGAAAATCTTAAAAATATAAAACTCAAATTTCGTACATTAAATATTTATTCATTATTATAGATAAGATTAAATACCCTATAATTCCAATTTCTTTTAAGATAAAAGTAAACTAAAAACTACTATATCAGATTATACATTACCAAAAATAGAATCATTATCTTCTTTATAAAAGTAAGAAAAAACTAAGCTTTTTATTTAAGTCCAATATCCCCAGAGAAAATTGTTAATAATACTTAAAGTACCAAAAATAAAAATGTATCTGACTTCAAAGGAAAACTCAAAGAATTAATAGAAATATGTGATAATGCGTAATTATTTAGTCCAAACAAATTTAGTAAGATATGATATTCCTTTGATGAATGAATTTATTTTCTTATTAATTTAAATAAACATATTTCATCTCCTATTAGATATAAAAATATATCAATATATATATTAATATAAATAAATCCTTATTAAAATTAGGTAATTAGAACTGAAATCATATCAAATTTATTATTATTTTTGTATTCATATGCATCACGAAAGAAGTAAACATTCTAATGCTGAAGTTATACATTTGTTTTTTCCAAATGAAGATAATTTCTCAAGATTTTGCAGGAAACTAAAAAGATGTAAGTCTACATTTTTGGGTTGTATTTATTAATTGACTCATTAAACTATTATTGATATACTGATTTCATTAGCTACTAAAGGTTGTAGAGTAGAAATACTTATGGATTAAAATTCAGAAGAATTTGAGGAAAGAAAATAAATAACAATCAACAAACTTTTAGTTATGAGTGGATTCAAAATTAATGTTTCTTTGATTGAATCTAAAGGTTTAATGCATAACAAATATTGTGTAATTGATGGTAAACTAACTATCTTAGGAAGTGCAAATTGGACCTATTAAGCATTTTCAAATAATTTTGAACATATTTCAATTATTAAAGATTCTAAAACAGCAAAATAATTTACAGAATCATTTAAAAATATCTGGGATTAAGCAAAATAAGCTAAATTTATTGATTCTTAGATTATATATTAACCTAATAAAAATTGTATAGAGATTAAATAATATAAATAAAATACACTTAAATTGAAGATAAAAAGAAGAAAATTTAAAAAGAAATTTCGAAAATAAAAATAAAACCATAAGTTCAAATAAAATAATAAATAATAAGAGAATCTGAAAATTATACCTGAATTTTAATTCAAAGAGATAGATTAAAATTAAATTCCTCTAGACTTGTAATCGATTGAAAAATAACAAAAAATGTAAGTTATTAATACAAATAAAACAAGAGAAGAATAAAAATAAAACTATATAGATTAAGTAATAAAAAGTGACAAAAATAATCATACAATTTAAGATACTTATTATAATAATAATGTACATTAAGTTTCTACGACATGGCAAATTTAAAGTTAATAATTATTTTATCCAAACATAATTAAAGGCTCACCTAAACAGAAATAAGTTTAAAAAAAAGAACAGAATATTATCATTATCGATGATGAAGATGTACAAATAATTACAGATTTCTCCAAAGATATCCTTTGATTTTTTAGTAATTGATTAGTTTCATTTACTATAAAGATTAATATAATATTAAGTTTTAGAGTTATTATTTTTCAGAAGTTATTTTGACTTTTAATAAATGGATTTTTTTTTAATATCAACAATTTAATTTTATTTATTTGAATGTTATTTATTAGATTATGAATTGTATATATTAATTTTTATACTTTTAAAAATTATAATATTATTAATATTCATTCTTAAATCTTATGAAGGTATTTTCTTAAGTCAAAATGTGCTAAAATGTTAACTCCAAATTTTGTAAACATAAATATATAATTAATTAATTTAATATTACATTTTAAATTAATAAAGTTTGGATATTCATTAAATAATAAGAAATTACTTTAATCTCTTTTTAACACATTCATCAAATATTACTTTCAATTTTATTTATTTCATTAATAAATGTAAAGATAAATTTATAAATATTATATTTATAAAGTCATTACAATTCAAATACTTTTATTTTGTTTGATTTTCTTTTTGATTGATTATATTCTAACATTAAGTAGATGTTGCCTTTAGCATTAGTTATGAATTTTTATTATTCTTTTTAATTTTTAATTGGTTTTTTGTTTTCGTTATTTTCATCTAAATTAAGATAATAATAAGTTTAATCAGATGTTGAAAAAATCATTACTCCTATTAAATAATACAATTATAATTGATTATTTAGATTTTACAATATAGGATCTAATTGAATTAATTATTATTTTTTTTATGTATTTAAATTCCAAATTATCAAACCACTTGAACAAAATATAAAGACTAAGCCTTTATCATTAAATGTTATATCAAAAATGTTACATCTTGCGTTATATATATATAAAGGTGTAAAATGATAGTATTTATATATTAATAATCTTTTACCGCATATTGATAAAATGAGTTTTTTTTCGTCAAAATATTTAATATTTTCTCCTTAAATTTTGTATTTTCTTAAAGTCTTAACACGTTATCTAACTTAAAATTAAAATAATCCCATTAAGTCTTCCAATAATGCTTAATTGCAATTTGTGTTGATTAAGTTTAAAGATGGATTTATATTAAAATTTAAAGGAAAATGAAGTGATAAATCAACATCTAAAAGTTTATGATGATAATTAATCAGCCATTTGTTGTATTTTTCTAAAAATTTAAAATTTGTGTAGTAAATCTTGTGATTTTTTTTGTGAACGACCCCTAATTAGTTTTCATAAGGATGAATCATTAAATCATAAATGTCCCAATTAGATATAAAATTACTTTATTCTTACAAAATTTAATAACATTTTCCAACTTTTCGATATAAAGTTAAATAAGTATTCCTTAGAATGATAAATTAAGAGCCATCATAGTTAATAGAAATGAAATTAGGTGATGAATTACTTAGCTTAATATAACTTGTATTTTTGTAATTATTCATTTTAAATGAAGATTATTAGAAATAATATATTGTAAATATGAAATGTTAAACTATAAATTAATGAAAGAATTAATTGATTAATACTAAAATTTGCTATTTAGTTTATGAATTAAATAAGAACTTAATCTAATTATGAGTAAGATTTGTTTTAAACAAATGTAAAATAATTAATTTTAATAATAATTATGTTTATTTTAAATCAATCAAATCTGATACGTCTTAAATTTGCAGCCAAAACAGAATCATCAGCTTGAATAATTTCAAACTTTTTTTGAATAAAAGAAAATTAGATTTCCTCTAAACAATCTTAACTTTATGAGAATTTAACTGTTTTTCCTTTATAAACTTCTTCATCAAATCCTTATACTACTACACCAGGAGGAATCTTTATAGATTTAACTTGACTGATTTTTTCCTATAAAGATAATTAAATTGATTATTACTCTTGCAAGTGATGGAGTGTCTCTACAGATTTCATATTTGGTTCCCTTGAATCCACATTCAGTATACAATTCAACACAATCTTCTTTTAATTCATAAAGTAATTAGAATTCTCTGAAACCCCATGATTCATCATTAGCACCTTGATCTAATGTAGAACTTAACACTATGTTAGCGGTAGGATTAGTATGTTCAATAATGACATCAACATTGAAGAAATAAGTCATCCAAGTACTTTAAGGAGCTCCACAAATTTTGGCTTATCCTGGAGTACTGAATCCAAATGATCTTTCAAATACAACTTTTCCATCCACAAAGACTTAGAATTTTTCATCATCCCATGAGTCGATCTTCCAAAATTAGAATTGAATTCTGAGTCTAGAATGTTTTGGAAGATTGAAATTTCTTTCAGCTTTAGCTTTTGCACCAAATCTTTGATAACCACCAAATAATTTCTTTTCTCCACATGTTGAGAATGGATTTTAATTTTAGAAGACATTTGATGGAGTCCAATCTTATAATCCTTAGAAATCTTATTCATCATTAAAGAAGAATCTATTTAATGTCATCCATTTAACTAATCAATATATAAATATATTAAATTACTTCCTTCTTTACATTCACCATTCACTAAATCAAAACCTTAACCACAAGAAGTACAATCAGATTTTGCTGGTCCAGTACAACCTGTACATCCTTTGAAACATTAAGCAGCAAATAATTAGAAATCTCTAACTCCCCATGATTCATTCTCAGGTGGTTCATCCAATGTTGATTTCATTAAGACTTTTACTTCAGGGAATTTGTGAGGAACATTTATTTCAATATTAACAATCTTTTCAGCCCATCCTTCTCCTTATTTTGCACCTGTATCAACACCACAAAGATCAACACCTTCATTATAAGCAAAGGCTTATCTAAATTTCTCTTAATCATCAATTTCCATTAAAAATAATTCATTATCCCAAGAATCAATTTTCCACATTTAAACCTTAACTTTAACTTAAAAGTGAGGTGGTAAATTAGTAAATCTCTTCCATAAATTAGCTTTTCTTCCTAATTTTCCAAAACCACCAAAAAGTTATACTCCTGCACATTCATTTGATTCAGCTTTTCCTTCTCCATCTAATGTCCATCCTTCTAATGAAATTTATTTATTCCAATTAGTAGCTACATTTGTCCAAAAGAAACAATTATCTGGTTTATTATCACCACATACTGCACATTCTGGATGACATCTTTAGAATGATAATTTGAAATCTCTGAATGCCCAAGATTCCTATTATATTTATTATAATTATCTATACATTCAATGCATCTTCATCCAAATTTGATGTCAATACTATACTTACTGTTGGTGAATTGTGTGGAACTTCAAATTCAATGTTATAAAAGGCTTCTTTCCAATCATTAGCAGCTCCACATAAATTAGCACCTTCAGAATAGTGCCATTTTGCTTGCCAAATGAAACCATCAACCAAAACAAACATTATTTCATTATCCCAACTATCAATTCTATTATTTTTGTTATTTAATCAATATTACTTCCACAATTGTATATTGATCTTTAATTTATAATGAGGTGGAAGTGTTAATTATTTTAATGCAGTTGCTCCTTTACCAAATGCTCCATATCCACCAACCAAACTAATCTTATCACATTTACTAAAAGTGTTTCCTTTAAATGCTTTCTTTACAACCCAACCTAATTATTTATTATCAATCAATACCATCTAAGTCATTTATTTCAGCTGATGTAAATGCTGTATAATGGGTTACCCAAGGATCCTATGCTAATAAGATCTACACACTCAACAATACAAGTAGGATTGTCTTCATAATATAATAATATTAATGCTAATCATTAATTCTCTTAAAAACGAATACTTTNCATTTATTTCAATATTAACAATCTTTTCAGCCCATCCTTCTCCTTATTTTGCACCTGTATCAACACCACAAAGATCAACACCTTCATTATAAGCAAAGGCTTATCTAAATTTCTCTTAATCATCAATTTCCATTAAAAATAATTCATTATCCCAAGAATCAATTTTCCACATTTAAACCTTAACTTTAACTTAAAAGTGAGGTGGTAAATTAGTGAATCTCTTCCATAAATTAGCTTTTCTTCCTAATTTTCCAAAACCACCAAAAAGTTATACTCCTGCACATTCATTTGATTCAGCTTTTCCTTCTCCATCTAATGTCCATCCTTCTAATGAAATTTATTTATTCCAATTAGTAGCTACATTTGTCCAAAAGAAACAATTATCTGGTTTATTATCACCACATACTGCACATTCTGGATGACATCTTTAGAATGATAATTTGAAATCTCTGAATGCCCAAGATTCCTATTATATTTATTATAATTATCTATACATTCAATGCATCTTCATCCAAATTTGATGTCAATACTATACTTACTGTTGGTGAATTGTGTGGAACTTCAAATTCAATGTTATAAAAGGCTTCTTTCCAATCATTAGCAGCTCCACATAAATTAGCACCTTCAGAATAGTGCCATTTTGCTTGCCAAATGAAACCATCAACCAAAACAAACATTATTTCATTATCCCAACTATCAATTCTATTATTTTTGTTATTTAATCAATATTACTTCCACAATTGTATATTGATCTTTAATTTATAATGAGGTGGAAGTGTTAATTATTTTAATGCAGTTGCTCCTTTACCAAATGCTCCATATCCACCAACCAAACTAATCTTATCACATTTACTAAAAGTGTTTCCTTTAAATGCTTTCTTTACAACCCAACCTAATTATTTATTATCAATCAATACCATCTAAGTCATTTATTTCAGCTGATGTAAATGCTGTATAATGGGTTACCCAAGGATCCTATGCTAATAAGATCTACACACTCAACAATACAAGTAGGATTGTCTTCATAATATATTAATATTAATGCTAATCATTAATTCTCTTAAAAACGAATACTTTTATAATTTATATTATCCAGTATATATATAAATTCTGTTGGTATCATCCCTTTATTCCACTCTACTCTTAAAAAACCAATATCTTATTTATTTATATTACACTAAGAATTATAATAAATATGATTTCTATATATTAAACTGTCATTAGACACTTTTATCTTCTCAGAACTCAAAAATATCTTTATCTTTCATTCCAAAATATTAGAAACTATTCCTATATGTTGATTTAATTGTATGAGGAGCACAAATCAAAGTCATAGTTTGATTGTCTAATTTACCAAATACTTTTTAAGTCATATTTTAAGTGACAGATCCAGAAAATTCAACCCCTTAAGCTGAAGGCTAATAATAGGAGAAAATTATTAATTATATTCTCTAAAGTTAAGTGAAGAGTTAGTTTTTTTTAAAGTAGCATATGCCTTCAATTCAGAGTTTAATAAAATATCTTACTAAAATTGTAGAATAAAAAATTATTACTTCAGATTTATTAATTAATAGCCGTACTAATTGAGTCTTATCTTTGTCCTGTGTGGCTATAGCTTAGATAATTAATATATGGGTGCTTTTCTTGATTTATCATTAATCATTACTATTCTTTTATATTTTTTATTAGAAGATTAAGGTTGGCTCAAAACACAAGAACCTTTTAATTTATTAAGGATTGCAAACAATAATGTAATTATTATTGCTAAAAGAAGAATAAGTAAAATAAAAAAAATCATTATAATAATATTTAAGATATCAAATATAGGATTTAATTTTTGCTTATAATTAAGGCACACTATATGGAGAGACCTTAGAACCTGATTGTTAAGCTACACTATTTTAATTATATTGGGAGTATGATTATTGTTGGTAGTTTTGATGTGTCTATCTAGTTTTGTTATCATTTTCCTGTCTCCTTTAAAGATCATGATATTTATTTTCAATTTCAGCCATTTCATGACGATGTCTTATAATCATTTCATTAATTTCCTTCTCTTTATGAAACACTTTCTCTTCCAAAAAAGATCTCTCTCTATCAAACATAGATTTCACTTCTTGTACATATAATTCAGTTTATTAAATTTATTTAAGTAATTATTTATTTTCTGCAGTTAATCTAAATATAATTATATTAATATATACCTATTATTCTCTTCTTATAATTATCTTACTTAATTGTCTAACTTAGATAATTGTTCCATTGATACTTTGGCATTAGGATCTTCTGCTTATAATTTCATTATTTTTAAGTCAGATAAAATTCCATTTGGATCTTTTCTTACTTTCCATTTTAGTTTATCATTCTCACATTATAATTATTCATTTTCTACTTCTCTTAATTTTAATCTTTTTCTTAATTCCTCAGATTCTGAACATAACACTTTCATTTATTCATATTATAATTTATATTAATCTCTTTCAGCTTTAGCATCTTAAGTAGCTTGTTGCATTTTTGACAATTCATCATCATATATAGATTTCTAATTTGTTAGTTTCTAAATCTTTTCTTTTAAACTACTCAAATGTTCTTATTGATCTTTCTTTCTAAACTCTAAATCATTTTCTATTGTAATTTTCTAATTCTCTAAACTATTATAAGCTGCCAACAAACTCTTATGTTTTTCATTAACTTCCTTATATAAAGTATTTATTTAATTGAGATCTACACTTAGTTAATGATTTAATTTCTGTAATCTTTCAATTGTACCATCCTTCTCTAAAATAGCCAATTTGTCTTAGGCTGCTACTTATGTTTATTATAAATTGATTTTTTATAATCTTCCAACTTCTGATTCAAATTATTTTAAATTCTATTCAAATGTATCTTTGGCTTTATTAAGATAATTATTTCTATTTTCTAATTCTGCACATTGAAATTTAGATTCTTAAAGTTAATCTTTAACAATCAATAATTCAGATCTAGAAGCTTATTTTAAATCATATAATTATTTATCTAATTATTCAATTTACATTTTAGACTAACTAAGTTATTTATTTAAATTTCTTATTTCTTATTATAGCATATCATTTATACTAGATAATTTAGTATTTTCTGTAATTAATTTAGTTTTTTCAATATTTTATTCATTCAATTACATTTATAATTATTAAGCTGATTCTTAATTTTTCACAATCATTTCTTCATATCTATTAGCAATTTCTCTCTCTTTTGAATGTTTTCTGCAAGAATGACTATGATTACCTTTCTCTCTTTTAATATCATCTTACCCACTTGAAGATTCACTTTCAGATAATACTTATTTTTAATATTAATTTATTCTCTCTCTATCTTGATTCTATTATTAAGGTAATGTTGATTATTATTTTTAAGATTAATCTAATTAATTACTTTTCTTTGAGTCTTAATTTTCTTTTTGTTATGGCTGTTATGGCTTTTTTTCTGGAATGGCAGTTGTTGGCTTATCTTATTTAGTATTTATTTTTTGTGTTGACTTTTCTACTTTCCCTTCCTTTTTTGTACTTCTACTTTAACGATCAGGTACAATTGCTTTAATTTCATTTTATTTGATTTATGGTTATAGAATTGGCTTTTCTTCTTTTTTATTTTCAACTGATTTTGATCTATCCATTTCTGATGAAGATTTTATGGTATCAGCAAATTAGACATTTTTTTTCGATGAACCTCTTTACTTTAACATCTCATCATCTAATGGTTTTTTAAGAGCAGATTCAAATTATTTAAAGGTTTCATTTGCATTTTAAACTAATTTAAATGCTTCCTTCTGAGGGTCTTAAGCATTTTGAACATCTCTGCTTACTTATTCAAGTAATTCTTTTTTTAGTTTCTCTTAATTCTTTGACATTAGATTAACGAATATGTTTAATAATATTAACTAATATAATTAAATCGATATTTATAAGTATTTATTATTTAACATTTAATCAACCTTCTTAAAGAAATCTACGAATCTATCGTGATTCTTTATTTAATAAATTGTATTCAATCATCTTATCAAAATCAATATAATATTTTGAAGTATTTCTAATTACTTTTAAAGTATTTTATTTAGTTGAATTTTTACAATATTTTTAATATGCTTTTTCAAGTGCATCTGTATTCTCTTAATCATAATTATTCCATTCATATGATTTTGGTTATAATTAGTATTACCATATAATTTCTTTTAAAGCTCCTCTACTTATTGGTTTTTTTGGTTCCTCTTAATATTGTTTTTCTATATTTCTCCTTTAAATATGATTAATTGTTAAGGTATTTGTATTTTCAAGAGTGTTTTCTTTAAGATCTACAATAAATCTATGTTATTGCCATGTAAATTCATAGATTGAAACTCCAGTCTAACAAGCATTTTGATAGAAGTGTTCAATTGTATCACTAATTGATAATTATAAAGGTTTAAACTTACCATTATTCCTTTCAAACCAATGGAATTATGTATAAGTTAATTTAGAATTAGATTATTGTGGTGATATCTATGCTTTATTGTATTATTTAAGAAGTGTTCTACCTAAAGGTACTTCTAAATAAATCTATCTGGATTTTCCATTTAGAGTATTGATCAACCTCAAATTTTTTAGATTTATACAATGTCCACCAGTTTCAGCAAAACGAACATAAATGAGATCTTTTCCTTCATCAATACCTTGAAGAATAGAGAGACTTAATTCATCAGTTACTTATTAGACTGTTGTGGGTGTAATTTCAATATAAAATTCTTATAATTTATTAGGATCTATTTATTTTTAGGCTTAAGCTGATTTCTTATATTCTAAATTATAAGGATAATCATCTTGAGAATACTTAAATTAATATTTAGGATAAGGACCTATTTTTCTCATATTAAGAAAAAATTGTTAATTAAGTAAAATTAATAAATTTCATTTTGAGAATGTATTAAATATCAATTATATTATTGATCTGTATTTTTGGAGTGAATAGTTATGTTTAGACTGAAAGATGGTTTGAATAATAATTGATTGATCATTATGATAGAACTAACAAATAGACATTTAGATAAAGATATTGGACAGTTGAAGAATACTTCTAACCAGATGGAGGAGCAATATTATTTTGGATTTGTGGAGAATATACATGTATTTTGAAGAATTTAAATCAATTAAAGGTCCAGGAATACGAAAGGAGAGATTATTTCCAGTTGAATTAGCATAGACTCATAAAGCATTGATTGTAGTATTGGAACATAGATTTTATGGTAAAAGTATGCCATTTGAAAAGGAAGCATTAAAGATAGAAAATTTAAAGTAAAATAATGAAATAATAATATAAGATATCTAGGTATAAGATAAGCATTAGATGATTTGGCTTATTTTTAATTGTATATTGTGTAAAATAAATTATTTGGAGTTAAGTAAAGTCATCCATGGATTGCAATAGGAGGTTCATATCCTGGTGCAATGGCTGCATGGTATAGATATTAATACCCACATTTAGTAGTGGGAGCATTAGCATCATCAGCAGTTGTTTAAATTCTTACAGATTTTCCTAAATTTGATACATAAGTTTATTAAAGTGCTTTGAAATCAGGATAAGAATGTGCTGATAATTTAAAGGCTTTAAATTAATATGCAGAAGATAATTTAGAAACTATAAGAATGAGATTAAATGCAGAGAAATTAACAGAAGAGGAATTTTTATTTTATTTTACAGATGCTATCATATTAAAAATTTAATATGGTGGAAGAAGTAGATTATGTAATGATTTGAAAGGGAAGACTATTAATGAATAGATGGATTATTTTATATAGAGAGCTCTAATTGAGGATAATCCATAATCATATGGATCATATTATTTGAAGGATGATGTTTATGATGAAAATAATCTTAGATCATCAAGATAGTGGAAATATCAATGTTGTACAGAAGTTGGTTGGTGGTAAACTGCACCAGAATTTGATTCTTTGAGATCTGATAGATTAGATATTGAATTCTATAAATAATATTGTAAAGATATTTATGGTGAGGAATTGAAATTATGGCCAGATGAAGATAAAGGAAATGCTTATTTTGGAGGATTTGATTTATCAATTGATAATATCATATTTACTAATGGAGATGAAGATCCATGGAAATGGGTGAGTATTATTGAATAATAAGGAAATATGAATGTATATCATATTAATTGTACTGATGCTGGACATTGTGTTGAATTGTATACACCTACTGATTAAGATTGTGATTAATTAAAATAAGCTAGGATTGAAATCTCTTAAATATTTGGTAATTGGATTAATGATCACTATTCAAAATAAGAATTATGATTATTTTATATCAATCTAACAGTATTAAAATTAAATAATTTGTATTTTTATTATATGAATTCCAAAGATTACAGTATTTATTTGAATATATTTCATAGTTCATAGAATGCTATACTTAAGTCAACTTAAAAAGGATTATTTAGAATAATGCCTATCCAAAGAATAAGAGCCAGATTACGAATTGATCCATGTCATTTCCATTATTGAATCAAATCAAAACTCAAATTTAGACTTAACTTTAGTGAAAGCAACATCATTACTATTGATTCTACCATTACTTAAGGTAAATTATGCTATTATCCGGTCAAGGCAGTGTCAAAATCAAATTGACTAAATTACCATCACATCCCAATAAGCCCAATAATTGAAAGACATCCTTCCTTAGTTCATCGAAGAAAGCAATCTCGACATCCAAATACGTAAGAAGATTCCTTAATTGGATTTAAATCAAATCAATTCGTCCACCAGCAATTTGATTTAATCTTCTTAGAGATAAAATAAACTATAAAAATCACCATCATAATATTAATTCAATACAGATCGTTTGTAAAATCCTTAAAGTACAACAAGAATAAAAAAATAATTATTACCAACTACTATTACTTAATAAACTTAACCTAAATCCCCAAATACTAAAATAGTGAATGTAAAATTGAAAAAATAACATACGGAAGTAGTAGGAAAATCATTAACACATAAAAAAAGATTATAATTATAATCACATGAAGATTTAAATAGAAAAGTTAGTTCTCATAGTTTTACTAAACATAAAAATACTAGCAGTTCACCAATTAATGAAACAACTAATATTTAAAGATAAGTTAGTCAATATGCTACTGGTCAAACATAATTAAAATCTAATTCTTCAAATGCTAATATTCAAATCAAAGCTTTATTGGAATCTTAACAAAGTTAAAAAACACTTAATACTACTGTAAATCCTAGTGATTAAAATGCTGATATTTCAATCCATTTAAAAAATCTAATAAGTTTTTGCAATTAATCAATATTAAAAAAGAATTAAGAATGTTATAATTCAAAAAAAGATTTATAAACTTAATAAACTAATTCTAGTATTTTATAAGTTAAAGACAATAAAGAGAATACTTAACCAATTAAAAAATCTACTCCTTTATTAAAAGCTACAGAACATACTATGATTAAATTGACTGAATTGTCAGAGGAAGATAATCCTGAAACAGCTAGATTTAATTCAGATGATGATGTTAGAAAGATGACAAATTTTAATAGTAAAGGATTATAAAAATTATTATAATCAAAAACTAATCAATTATCAGAATAGAGCTCAACATAATCATTACTTTCATTATTTTAAAGAAAATGATTATATTTTATCAATTAATATTTCATAATTAAAATGCTTAAAAAATTAATAGTGCAAAAATTGTGCAATCAATTTTATTTTGCAAAATTTTACTAATTCTCAAAGCTCAATCACTTTTTCTAATCATTTGAGATGGATAAATTTGATACCGATTCTTAATTGAGTTCTACAACTGGTAATATCAAATTTTCAAAAATAATTGAATCTATGGATAAAGGCAAATAATCCTATTTTAATTCAACTCTTAATGAATATTTGAAAACACAAAATATAAACTTTGAATAATTATTGACATTACTTGTGGCTTTACATCAAACAAATATATTTTGTAATAAATCCAATAAAGAAATTCTCCTCAAACACATTAATTCAAATTTGAACACTATAAATATAGGAGTCCTTTAAATGATCTCACATAGTTTATCTTTAGGTATTGCTGATCAATAGACATTAAATTTATATATTTAGAATTTTGTAAAATGTGATTTGAAGAAATTTAATCATTTTCAATAATTTGATATGATATTTATAATTTCATAGGCTGTTTTAAAATTTCAAGTGAATCTTTATAACTCTGAATTTGCTAATTAATGGAAACTACTTCTTTAATTACTTTTACCACATTTGGAAACAAAAAAAGATTGGCTTGTAAAGAAATTTCCACATTTAGCCTTCATTGTTAAAAGTATAAGTAAAGAAAATGCTGAAAGTTTCTTTATTGAAGATTTGATAAATTTATTTAAGGCTATGACAAATAAATTTATACAATAAACAGATTTAATTTATAAATTAGATTCTAAAGACATTACTATATTATTATCAAGTTTAATAAAGATTAAAGAGAAGTATTTAACAAAAGAACTTAATATTTTGATTGAAAATTTAATTAAATTTTTATTGAGATATGATTTCTCTAAATTCAATGATTCATCTTTGTAATCTTTAGCTTTATCATTAACTTAATTACCATCATATTAATCATAATTCCAAGATTTATTAATAGATTAGATAGAATTTAGAAAGTAGAAGGGAAAATTTAATACAAAATAGCATTTATCTATAATATTTGAATTGATTATTAAATGGAGAAATAAGGTAAGCAATGAAAAATTAGTGAATCTAATTTAAAGTGTATCTGTTATTGAATAATCAGATTATGATCTTGCTCATTATTTTTAGATTCTTACTACATTACCTTTAGAATAGATAATTAATTTATTGAAATCTATTGAATATGTAAATAGTATAATGTATTTTATTAGGATTTAATTTAAAGAAATGAAAAATATTGTCAAGATTAAAATTATAAAAAAGACTCTATCTCACTTGAAAGAATGATGAAATCTCTTGTGAAAATAGAAGGTTATGCAAAATAATAAAATGCTTCTTCTGTTAATATGTAATTGATATAGAAAATTTAAAATTTGTTATAATGATAATAATTGATTATAATTATTTATAAATGTAATAACAAACAGTAGAAGACTTAGCAGAAAAGGAAGCTGAAATCAAAGAAGCATTTGAAATATTTGATAAAAATAAATCCAAAAGTATATCTGGTAAGGTATTCTGTATTCATTATTGAATAGTTTAAGAATTAACTTCAGTTTTTCGTTCTCTAGGTTACAATTTCTCATAGGATGAAATATAATCTATGGTTAAAGAATTGAGACACACTTAAAAAGTAGAAGGAGCAGATGATAGAGAATTAGATTTTGATGATTTTAAGAATTTATTATTAATGCAGGAAGAAAAAGCAAAAAATGGGGAAAATGATTTAAGAGATGCCTTTGATGTATTTGATAGAGATGCAAATGGATTTATAGGTTTAGAGGAATTGATGATGGTAGCTAAAAGTTTAGGAGAGAACATATCTGAAGATGATTTAAAAGGCATGTTATAATATGCAGCCAATGCATTTAATTAAAAAGATGATGACAAAGATAAAGCACCATAAATCAATTTGTCATAATTCGTTGAAGCTTATTTAAAATGAAAGCATATAATTATATAATTAATTAAAACTTATAAATGAAAAGTCCATAAAATTATGAATAATTCAAATAAGTGAAATAGAATCCCTTAAATAATTCAAAAAGTAAATAATTATACACCTTTCCTAAATCTCCAAGATTCAATTACAAAGAATAAAGAGAGTAAATCCTTTAAATATCAAATTAGTAATTCACCATCATTTTATTCAATTAAAACTGATCTAGTTTCTCCTAATAAAGGAGTCTCTTTTGGATCTGGCTCAAAAGTAGATTTTTCTAAATTAGGAACAAAAACTCCAGGTCCAGGATATTACCAAGTCTAACAATAAAAGTCAAATCAAAATACTAATTTGAAAAAACATACTATGGGAGTAGGTAGAATATAAACAAAACAAAAGAGTGAAGTACCTCCAGTTGGAGTTTATGAAATTGCTTAAAATTTAGTATAAATTAATAAGGCTCCTCATTTTGGATTAAAATTACTACCAAGTAAATGAAAATCATTATAAATAGACAATTAAACATGTTCTCCTGGACCTGGTAAGTATGATATTTAAGTAAAAGAACATTCTAAATCATTCGTGGCTGGATTTGGTACTGGTAGATCAGGTCAAACAACTGACGATACTCCTGGACCTTAAGAATATAGACCTAGAACTGAAATGTCACCAAAATATGTTAATTCAAATTGGAGCAATTGCCAAATAACTAAATTTTCAAAGGTTGAACGTTTTGGAAGCAATAAAACAATTACACCTGGGCCTGGAAACTATTAAATAGCTGGAGAATTTGGAATATACTGACATATATGAATAATTATAAAGTTTATTTGAGAGTAAGATAAATTATGTCATTTCTAACAATGTATTTCAAAATTTTGGATCCTATAAATTTTATTTAATTATTGATAAATTAGAATGTATGTTAGAATTACTTGTATTTGAACTAAAATTATAAAGTTTATATGAACAGGTTTTTTATTATATTTTTTCATTAATAAATAGGTTTATTTATATGGGGATTATGAAGAATAATTAATTATTTTTATATTGAATATAGTTTTTAAATAAATAATTAGAATAATAATAAAAAAAATAATTTTTAAATTAGATTGATCAAGATAATAATAAGAATACTTTAAATGTATATAAATTTAGAATTTCACTGTTTATTAGAAATTGTAAAATTTAATTTAAAATTCTGTTTCTTGAAAATCTAATTTCTATTATCAATATAATCAGAAAATTCAAAAAAAATTAAATGAATAAATTAAGAAAAATATCAAAAAAATGATTAATAAAATAATTATTAAATCTAATAATCTGATATTGTAAAACAAGTTAGATAGAGTATTAATTTATAAAGTATTGAATTAGAAACCAAAAAAAGAATTAAATTTAATTTAATATTTTCTTTGTATTTTGATTCATTTAATCTTATAATAATAATAAAAAATTAGATATTAGAATATAATTAATTATCAAACTTTTATTATTATAATATAATGGTCAAACAAGCTTTATTTGCTTTGCGTATACTTTTTTCTATAATTTCTAAATTAAAATGGTAAATCTGAATATTTACATGTAGCCTATGTGTGTATTCATTGTGAATTTATTCCTTTTAGATTGATGTTTCAATACGCAATTTTTATTTATTTTTATGCTCTTATTCTTTCATGATCTTAATTTTTTCTGCTCTTTCAATTTTAGACTCAAATTTCTTTAACTTTTCTGTTTCTATTCTTTTTAATTGCCTTTTTTGAGAAGAAATCCATCTCTCATATGCTTCTTACTCTAGTTCTACTTTAGGTCTAAATATATAAGAAACTATATTACCTTGTACGTATTGTATCACTTTCCTATGATTTAAATCTATGCTCATTTTATTGGTGTTTAACTACAGACATTTGGCTTTATTTTAATTTTTGTAGTTATCTATCAGTAATTAATGACATTCTTTCACAAGATCTTAACACAAGTTAACTTTTTTATAGTTCTTTTTCTCGAATATGTTTTTCATATGCAAGAGCCTATTATATTTCTTATTATTGTTTCTTCTTAAACAAAGATAAAGAATCCATTATTTTTACTATTATAATTATATTAATAATTATGATGTATAAATGTATTTAATGAATAATAATAATATCTATAATTATATTATTAAAAATAAAAATGTTTTAGATCACAATAATTAATAATAATAAAATTATTAGAGTCCTAAATTATTAATTTTGATAATTAATGAATTGTTTTTTAATGTTTATAAATATATTTAAATTATGTATATGTCTATAAATCATGAAATTAAACAATGAGTCAAAATGAAAAATAAATAAAAAAGTCTATAATTGTTAATCTAATCCATTTAATTAAATCATAATTTAATTATAACAATATTTTGTATAATATTAATATTTAAAACAATATAAATATAATACAATCTACTTCAGTCAAGAAGTCCTTCTAAGTACTAATTACAATTTTATCTATAACACCAATCGCTCTCATCATTAGAATCACAACAAAAGTTGTATAACTAAGGACGGGAATCTTCATAATTGGACATGTACTCAAAATGATAGGGATCTTTGTTTCATAATACTAAATTGTTACTTATTTGAGATTTGATTTCTGGTGTGAAATACTATTAAACTTCGCTAGTAGATGTTATGTTTTCAGCATCTAATATTATTATGATCAATATTTACTTATTCTCTTCTTATTCTTCTTGTTTCTCTTTTGCCCAGCTAATGTAAACGGATTAAATTTTTGATGGTGTGATCTTCATATTATAAATTTATACCTGCATTGTGATGGTGATCTTGTTCCTATTGTCATTGACATGAGTTTGAAGATTTTATTATTTTTTCTGTTTTGTTGACTCTGCATAGTAGTGTTATAATGTAATTTGAGGAACTCAACATAAACTTGATGTTCTAAACTTGACCAATGGCCTTGATTTTTTTTTTGATTTTAAGGTGAGTCTTTGCTGATTTTCTTTTTAGTAGCTTAAGACCTTTTGCTCCCTTCCTATTCATAGTAAGTAGACTTGTTACGTTTAAAGTGAATGAAATTTCCCCCTAATTATTAGTTCCTTAACTGCTTAAAGAGTCACTTAATTCATTTTATTAGGGAAATTAATTTTAGACAGGAAGAGTAGTGTATAATAGCAAGTGTGAGACACAGCTGTCTTCCATTGTAGGTATTAAATTTAATAATATATTTACCCTCTAAATATTACCGTCATAAGCCGTATTATAATATAATTATTTTCATCCCCCCCCCCCCTTATAAATTGTAAATTTGTATAATAATAAATATATATAATTATTCAGCTATTATTCCATAACTTTAGTCTGATTCAATACTATTAATACTTCTTTAAAGTTTAAATAAGGTAGAATTTTATTAAAGTATTTAATTAATAAAATTATTATTTTATATCTACAAATTTCATCAGCGCATTTAAGTTAACCTATGTAATCCTTTAAATGTTCTAAGTAAATTATGATATTTTGAAAACAGTAATGTTTATTACATAGGATATTAATATTATGGAAGATTTTTATTTATAAAATAACATATGTCATTATAATTTTAATTCATCAAGCTCCTCTTTATTGAAAGTAGAATTATAAAATTTGCTAATATATTTAAGATGGATTTTGATGTCTTATATTTTTTCACTTATCATAAGATCATGTATTATTTGAAATCCAGAGAAGTACTCTCTTGATAGTTATGCTGCTGCTTCATCATTAAAGAGTTTAGTAAAATCTTATCTAGAAAAGTTTTTTTTGTTCTCCCCATTATTTACAAATTACCTAATTGCTTCATTTTCTCTCCATTTATTACCTAAATTTGTAAGTTAAATAGAATACTTAAATATTTTTTCAATAATACTCCAAAATTTTTTGGAATATTTTTTGTTTCTGATTTATAAACTTGATTCATATCCTTTTTCTTTTATATCTTCCCTCTCTTATTTAAGCTATTAATTTAAGAGGATTCTTCAAAATCCTCAGTAGAAAGTTATGAACGATGAGCTTCCTCTTTTAAGATTTGTTGTTTATCTTCATCATTAATTTCACATTTGACATATTTTTTAAAGGAGGAATTAGGATTGATGTAATTCTTAGAGGAAAATTTATATTTTTGATTTTCTTGTTAAATCATTTTTAATTAATATAATTCAATAATATAAAATAATTCTATGAATTCCTATTAATTTATAAAAAAGTATCTTAAATTTGATAAAATTTAAATATAATAATCATTATCATTTCTAGTAGCATATCTATAAACCTTATATTAATTCTTATTTAATTTCTTATGAAATCTTATCAATCATTTATATATAATTTTCATAATTATATTTAGATATTTGTTTGATATTTTGACTTTGATTTTTTAGAGCAATATATTTTATTTGTAATTCTTAAAGTTCATTTTTCTTTTCTTCTCATAAATTAAATTATTTATAAATTTTCTTCATTCTAAATATTAAAATTGAAATTGTTCTCAAATTTAATTTCCCTCTATTAATTCTATTGCATCATTAATTAAGGTAGAGTATCTATAAAACTTCTGTTTTCTATGCTACAACCATAATTAAGTTTTCTAATCATACTATTTTTAGAATTTGAAAATATTAATTGAGAATTCCCAAGCTTTTAATCTAATAATTTTTTAATCTATGTGATGGCTCAAATATTATCTTATATATAAGAATCATTTATAATCAGTTTTGGTAAGTATTTACTTACTTATGGTCTTGTAATCAAAACCAAATTATCCAAATGATTTATAACAAAATTTTGCAACTACAATCAAATATATTTTTGAAATTACTTCAAAATTCATCTATCCAACAAATTAAAACAAATATATAAACAAGAGAAATTTAATCCTTTAATAAATAAACTCTATGTATATAATGTAGAAAAGAATCCCATAAAGCTTTTGATTTAAGAAATTTGAGTTGGATCAATTTTGAAAGCAAATTAAAAATCTTACACTAAAATTTACAAATTAGTTTCCTATTTAGAATTAACCAATATTCATATGGCATTAATTCAGAGAGCTATTATAATAATAGTAAGGCAGCCTAATCTTTCATTAAGGTCAGTAGAACTATTAAAATTAACAATAATTCACAATGATATCCGACTTCTGAATTTCTATACAAAATTAATAGTTTTTCTATATCAACAAATATTTATTTGACTTTCACTTAATTTGTTGAATGACAATATCAATCTTGAAATGAATAATTAAAAATTTCTTAGATAATGAAACACTAAAATATTTTTAATGAAAATACTTTAATTAAATCAGATTTAATTTATTCAAGATTCTATTTATAATTGTTTTAATCTTTGTTTGAATTGTCATTTATATTGATATGGATTGAGATATTATGAAAAGTAATTTTTTATAATTCGGATTCCTTATTCCAATACAAATGCAATTAGTCTAATTATTGTTCCATATATAAACAATGAGTTTTTCATTAAATACACTATTTCTCCTTTTTAATTGGTTTCAACATGGAGGAAGATATCTAGGAAGTAGATTACTACTTTAATTTCATTTTTATTGCAATCAAGACAGACTACAATTCCACATCTTTTACATTTTTTTTGATACAGGAGAATTCCTTATTACATTTGGAACACTATTTATTCATTAATTAATATAATAATATTAAATACTCAAAAGTTGTAAACAATCAAAACCTAAGTGAATTCTTGCTTTTGACTCCTAGAAATCTTTCATTCATTAACTCTTTGATTTTAGCATAATCATTTTAACACCAAGATTTCCTCTAATCTTTTTCATTTAACATTTTTAAGGCCTAAAATAATGAATTATATATATATAATACTTAACCCCAAGTAACAAATCTACCTTTGATTCTTAATCTGTCTTCAGCAACTTTTTGTCTAATGTGATAATGAACTTTTCTCTCATAAGTACGATTATGCTTTTTTTCAAGATATCTATTAACTTTTTATTTCCTAGCCATTTCTTTAAGAGATTCATAATTTGTTGATGTACACAAATTTTCAACCCAATCTTCAAATTTGAGAGTCTCTTCATCATTCAAAATTTCATCACATAATCCAACTTTGATTCTGAGTAGATCATCTTTTTTTACATAATTAGAAATAAAATCATCTTATTTTATAGAGGGACTAAAACGCATTGTCAATTCTTCTAAATGATTATTGACATTGGAAGGAGCTGGTAAATCTTTAGGATATGAAAATTTCTTATGATTTTGTCTTTATAATTGTAATGCTAATCTCTCTAAATCTCCCATTTGTTGATGTTCAGATTATTCAGCAGTAATATTATTCCATTAGATGCAGACTTTCTTTTTTGGATCTTCATCTAAAATGAATTCATCAAAATGAACAGGGTTTTGTTTTTTAAATTGTAATAACTACTATGGTGAATAGACTTACAATTGAATATCATCCTATTATTCATCCAACTAGTTCATTTTAATCAGAATCATTACCATCTCTTTATCAATTTGATAATGAGGTTCTTAATATGTGAATGAGTTCTCTTTTTCGATTTCATTATTGTCTAATTTCTCTCCTAACACTTCATAATTTAAAGTATTCATTTCTTTCACAAGATTTTTATATTCTTTTTGAAATCTTTTTATTTATATCCAAATTATCAATACCCTCATAAACTTTAGAGAAAATTCATTAAAAAGAGATAAGACGATTGATAAATTATATTATTTGTATATTTGATTCAAAATACATAATAGTATAAATTAAAATCAAACCCAAAAGAGTTCACATTAGTATTCTTTATCATTAATTTTTAATTTTAAATCAATCAATTAAATACGAATGGCTACACTTGGAGAAGAATTTCAAACTATTTTAAAAGAAATTGACAATGCTAGATTAGATACAAATCATTTAGAAGCAGCCTATTTGAAATTGTTAACATTTGGTATATTTTAATAATGATAGAAAAAGATTCAAAATTTGAAGAGTATCTAAAACATAAGGAAAGTGCATATAATAAATTATCATAATTGTATTGCAAATAAAACAAACCTCAATTAGTATTTCATATTATGAAAACACATGATTTCTCTGGATTCAATTAAACAAGAGCAGCAAAAATTATGAGATAAATGATTGATTAAGTAGCATAATTAGAAAGCACAATTGAATTATAAGTTGAAATGTGTTAATTCTTAATTGATTAATGTGCAAGAGATAAAAAGAATTACTTAAAACATAAGATGCAAATAAGATTGGCAACATTATATAATGAATAAGAAAAATTCACTTAAGGAATTGAAATCATAGATAAGATTGTAGGTGAAGTAAGAAAAGCTGATGATAAACATTTACTATTGGAAATTTATCTTATTGAAAGTAAATTACATTTTGGATAAACAAATCTTGCTAAAGCCAAAGCTTCATTAACAGCAGCTAGAGCATGTTCAAATACAATCTATTGTCCACCACATGTTTAAGCTGAAATTGATATGATGGCTGGTATTCTCTATGCAGAAGAAAGAGATTACAGAACTTCTTATTCCTATTTTTATGAGGCATTTGAAGCATTCAATAATTTAGAAGACAAAAGAGCTTTAAGTACACTTAAATATATGTTATTATGTAAAATTATGATTGGAGCTACTGATGAAGTCAAATAAATATTAACTGGAAAGTATGGTTTAAAATATGCAGGAAGAGTAATTATATATATAATATTAATATTAGAATTTAGAAGCTATGAAAGCAATTTCTAATAGTAATTAAAAGAAATCTCTTATTGAATTTACTAAAGTTTTAGATGAATTTAGGGAAGAAATTGAAGGTGATAAAGTTATGAAATTACACATTAAATAGTTATATGAAGTCTTATTAGAAATGAATCTATTTCAAGTCATATAACCATATTCTAAAGTTTAAATTGATTATATCACTTAAAGAATGTAAATAGATGTAGAAATTATATAAAGAAAGTAAAATATCAATTAATAATTTAAGATTATCAGAATTAATTCTAGACAAGAAAATTGATGGAACTTTAGATTAAGGAGATGATTGTTTAATATTGTTTGATACAATTAAACATGATAATTTATATCAACATTCCCTTAGTTTGATTAACAATTTAAATGGAGTAGTAGATAAATTATTTGATAGAGTGAAAGTTAAATGAACATTAAAATATATATATTATAATAAATAAAACAAATTGCTTTTAATTTAGTATTAAATTATAAATTCATATAATATAAAAATATTAATAAATATTATTAGATATATATATCTAATAAATTTAATATAATATAGATTTTATTGTATTTATGAATATATTAAATAACTTAATATTTTACTAAATTAATATTTTATATGAATTGAATATAAAAATCTTTAAATTCTTAGTAATATTTTTAATCATGTAAAATTGTTGTTAAAAATGACTGATTTTTTATTAAACATATAAAAAAGAGAAATAATTTAAATTTTGATTAGATTGATAAAAATAATATTAGTAAAGTGAGATTAATTTAATAAGCAAAAATATTTTATAAATTATCAATTAATACAATTAAGGGCATATTTAGATAAACTTTATTAAGTTCTTGCTAGTAGATTAGAAGGATTAGTATGCATTTTCTTTGGAGGCCTAAATCTTTTGTTAAGACTGATACTATAGGCAGATTTATATGGATGATTAATTTTAATTGTCTTAATAATAGCTTATTTGGTTCTTTTAGATGTAATATTTGGTTCATCTGGTTCAGTGATTTATTATCTGCTAGTTTGTATTAATTAATTTAAGTTGTTATCTATTCGTGTCATTTATGTTTTTAGATGATTTAAAAAGTAAAAATTTGACTATTTTGAATTTGAATAATGGGATTATATTGGGGATATTCTCTTTTTTTAAGAATGATCTTTAATTTGATCTTATTAATCTAGAGATGGAGATTTATGATTATCTGTGGACATATTTTGTTAGCGATTATGAGAGAAGATTCTAAAGTTCTTATATTTTTGTTTGGATCTTAAATATTTATCTGTTGGTTAGAAATTTTGTATAATTATATTGGCAAGTCTTATTTTTCTATGCATGACAATTTCATATTGCTAATTAGGTAATGTTATTTATTTAATATTTGAACTGGAACAATGGGAACAATGACAACTACTTCTACGAAGTTAATTTTAAGGAGGTGTGTATGAGATTTGTTGAAAGGAAATTGAATGAAAGGATCTGATCATCATAAAATATTAATAATATATATATAGTTTACTAGTAATTGTTATCATCCACACATAAATTATTTGGTACCTATAAGTTTAGTACATTTTGAACATCTATGTTAGGCATCCTTACAATTATCAAGTAGACAAGGAAGGAAGGCAAATATAGCTGTAATTATACCAGCAATCAGTATAATCATTACAATATAACTACATCTACCCATTTCATATTGAACATCAGATTCAACTACTTGATTACATTTAGTGCAAAATAATTTTTCTGTTTTTCTTGATTGTGGCACTTTGGGATATTCTGTTTCTTATTCAATAAGTTTATTTCTGACAGAAATTTCAATTTAATTAGATTTTACCATTTAATATGTTCCTTATGATTATCCACTACGTGTTTGTTAATTGTTCTAATCGGATTCAAGCATAGGATTCGAAATCATTTGATTATTAATTATTTTTATATATAGATTATCTATTATAATTGAAAAGTGAAAAATGCAGGTTTTAATCACTGTTGAAACTTATTATTTTCTTCTATTACTGAATCTTTTTCACTTTCTTTTTCATTGATTATTATATTCTCAATTCTTGAAGATTTACTTGAATTAGATGAATTACCTTCACTTTCAAAAGAAATCATCTAACAGAAGGATGGTAAATAGAATTGAAAATCTGCATATTTTCTAGGACTCCTAGTTCTTTTTCTTTATTCAACTCTAACTCTATATTAAGTTGGTGGACATCTTTTAATCTAAGCAGCTTAACTTTCATTAGGAACTGAATGAGTATCTTAATGTTCTTCTTCTTTAATAAATTATAAATAAGCAAATAATACTTGTAAATTCTGAACATCCTGTTACTTTATCTAGAATTTCTTGTAATATTCTAATATCTTCTAATTAACAATAGAAATATGGATGTTCTAAACATTATGAAGCAGTAGGTCTTATTTTTGGATTTGGTTCTAACATTAATTTCAATAGATTAAGTGCTTCTTTCTATACATTTTATTATAATTCATCTAAATGAATATCACATTAAGTATTTGCTTTCATAATATCTGCAGTATTTTCAGCTCTAAATAATGTTCTTTTAGTTAATCTATACAAATATATATATATATTATATTACAATTTATAGAATATAACTCCTGCACTAAATACATCACATTTTGTTGTGAAATATTCATTTTATTAGTTTTCTGCTCTTAGAATCTCAGGAGCAATATAACCAGGTGTTCCACAAACAGATAATTTGGTACATTAATTTTCATAGATGGCCAATCCAAAATCTATAATCTTTAGGGACTTTATTTCATTCTATTTCGCTAATAGAATATTCTCTAGTTTGATGTCTCTATGTATCAAACCTTAAGATTCTAAATATTGAAGACCAAGCAATAAGGTCTAAAATTATATAAACTATTTTGTGTAACTTTTATTCCATCCCTTACTATGTAACTTGGTAAAGTATCACTTTGAGTATTTCGAATAAAATTGTAGAGAGTATCACCTTCATAATAATCAGTTATCAAATAATAAGAGTTGTCTCCTTCATAAATTTCCAGTAATTTGACAAATATTGGATTGTCAATCTTTTATAAAATCTCGATCTCAGATTACAATCTAGCCTTATCAGAAATTGTTAAATGTACATACTATACGATCATTAGACTTTTTCCCTGTTAGATACTTCTTTGAGATACATTTTGCTGCGTAGTACAAAACATCTGTGTTCCGCTTCACGAGACACACCTGAGAGTGAGGGAAAGCAGAATTACCTTCGAGGATGCACCAGAACCAATGATCTGACTAGATTCATAGAAAATTGATATATTCCCAAAGAAAACCCTATTTGAGAGGTACATTTTGAGAAGATTCAATTCTTTATGGTCCCCCCAGAACCATTTGATTCTCTTTTGGTAAAGGATACCAAAGCAACAAAGTTATTCATGTTCTGATTTCTTCCACATTACACGAGACTCAAAGTTGAATTGGACTACATATTTTGGATTTTGCATAGTCTTGTGCTACCATCCTTACTCAAAGATTTACTTCTGATAAAATCATTTGATCTTAAAGAACTTCCAAATAGTATGTTTTGCTCTTCAATAAATGTTTGCGCAAACAACTCATTTTAAACTACACTAACATAATTTATTATAATTAAATCATTTCCAATGTTCTGCATATGAAATGCATTTTCTACATTATTTCTCTTTATATGTATGTCCAATCATTGAATTACATACAACTTTATGCAATTTCTCTGTCTATATTTACTCACATTTATCATTATTCTCATAACATACAAATACTTTTCCTTAATGATCTACATACTCCCCATTGCATTCTTTAATATTTCTACTTCTACAATCAATCTCTTTACATTCTTCCTTTTCATATTAACATCCTCCTTGTAAACAAATATCTTTATCTTTAATAGATTCACAATTATCAATAAATGAATTTCTAGCCTTACACTTTCCATCCCAATAACATATAGAATCTATTTCTAAAGGTTTACTTTTAGCAATTAAAAAACTATCACATGTAAATTGATCATAAATATCATCACATTTTTATGGTTTGAAACAATATCCACTTACAAGATCATAAGCACATTAATATAATTAACATTATTCTCTAGCTTATCCAATATTATTTTAATTTATTTGAAGATCTTCACATCTCATTAATTTATCACATCTTCCATTCTTAATAAAACAATAATGTGGATTTTAACTCAAAAATTAAGATGCATTTATGCAATTCTATAATGATCTTTCATTACATTCAGCTATTCTACATTCAGATTATGTCCAAAAACAATTATGACTTTCACATGCCTCTTTATCTATATGTTCATTGCAATCACAAGCTGTTGGATAATCAAGTGCTGCATTTATACAATACAAAAGAAGTCCAAATATATAATAAATTATCATTATTTATAATCAAATTTCTTATTCAAAAATCTTCTATTTCACATTTATCATTCAAATATAAACCTGTTCCATCTATTTTATTATTGATAACATATAAACTAGTAATAATACCTTCTTCAGGCTATTTAGGTGCATTTGGTCCTCCCATATCTGTCTTTAACCAACCTGGATGTATACAAAACACCTATTATTTTACTTCTTTTGATAACACATGTCTAAAATAAGCATTTATTAAAGCTTTAGATGCTGAATAAATTCCTTTATATTCTTTAGACCATTCCCTAAAATCATTCTTTGAATCTACATTCTTAATAAATTCTTGAACCATATTCTCAAGTTGATCCTTATTACATTTATTCAATTATTCTTAAATAACAGCATTTTAGATTCTTAGTTTTCCCAAATTAGATGATATCACTATAATCTAAATAATATTAACATTTTTTTAAACCTTTCCATTTTCTTTCATGTAGGGTAAGACTGCTCTTGTTAGATTGATCACTCCATAATAATTCACTTAAAAAACTTATTATGCAAGATTATTTTTATTAGGTAATTGTGTTTCTATGATACCTGCATTATTAACAAGAATATCTATTGGTTATTTAATGGTAGTGATAAATTATTTAATTCTATCTTCATTACTCACATCTAAGGATTCCAAACTGCAATGCTTTTAATCATGTAATGCTTATTTTAACTTATGTATGTCTCTGGCTGTTGCAATAACATTATGGTTTTTTAATTCTTTAGCTAATAACATTCCTAATCCCCTATTACATCCTGTTATTAAAATATTCATTTATTTATTTATCTTAATACTTATTCCATTTATTAATTTATTAAATTCTTAACGTTATGGATTAGGAAATAAAAAAGCTTGAATAACTCAAATAATAAGAAATATTATTGATGCAATAGATTTATGAAAAGAAAGTATAGTTAATTTTTGAATTAGATTAATTACTTGAATACAAAAATATAATTATTAACAGAGGAATCAAAATAAAAAGATATTGAATTACAAAATCTCAAAAATACTTCATCAGAGAATTAGTTTGAATAAAAAGTCATAATTTAAGAGTATCCTAATTTAGATTTGTAAAAATAAAAATTGAATGATGAAAGAGATAAAGAATTATAAAAGATAAAAGCTCAATATTAAACTGATTTATAAAATATTCATTAACAAATGAGAAATAGGGATTTGATGATAGAATAAATGAAATAAGAGATTAAAATGTTTGAACAATTCTCATAATAGAACCTTGACCATTAAAAAGTATAATTCCTATCCTAAATCATTGATGTTACTAATGAATTGTTAGTTTAATTATGATTTCAAATATCAAATAAATATTATAATTATTTATGTTTTATGATATATAATATTTTAATGATTACTTAAGTTTTTAATAAAGTTGATTTATTTATTAAAGATTGATTTTAAATAAGGAGAATCAAATATTTAGTCTTTCTCAAGCTAATAACAATTAAAAAATTTGATTCTTAATATTCTCATTCAATTAAAATGTTAATTAATAAATTATATTGTAAAATCTATTTAAATGATTTAAGCTTGGTAATACTAGACTTTGTATAATTAATGAATAACAGATAATTAAAAAAATATAAATTAAATGCATTACACTTTATTGTTGCTTATTTGTGAAATTATATACGTTAAAGCACTATTGTGTACTGAATAATCTTCCATTTTAAGCTATGTATTTAAATTAGACAATCCCAATGCTTCAAATAATGAATGGAATTATCAAACTATAACATGTATTAATCAATATTTAATATTAGAATTTGGACAATGTAAATAGGGAATAACAACAGAGACTAAGAATTTTGAAGTTTCATAGGTGAGTTTACTAAGTCAAAAGATAAGTTTAGATGTTTAAGAAATGATTGAATTAGTGATGAATAATACCTCAGAACCATAAGCAAAATATAAGACAAATTAAATCAAATTGACATCATGGGGAATCAACAATATTGCTAGATATGAATCTCAATACTTTACAATAGGATTAGCAGAACATAATTTTGATTTTTGGACATAAGTTCCTGATGCTGAGATTTAAGTATATTTCATTTAGGATCAACTTTATTAATAATGTGAAACTGAACCTCTTTATGCAGTATTATCAATACCAATATATGGACTGACAGAGACATAGGATATTAGATATGCAATAAACATGAACATTTCAAAAAATCTTGATGTAACCACATTTTTTAATTTCAAATAAAACATACTTGGTGCTTACTATTCAGATATGAGTAGCTTTGTGTCCTATAAAGCATCACTTAATATACCGTAATGATTTAGTCATATGATATCATAGACCATGTGAGGATGCAAATTGGTTTGTTTTGACACAACCTTAATTCATTAAAGTTGAATTATTGAAGAGGTTATTAGAATTAAATACTTTGAAAAACTTATAAAGAATAAATTTGGATGGAAAACATTTGAATTTTATAAAGGGAGTAAGATAATTGTTATAAAATTTTTATAGAGATTTATTTATGAAGGAGAGGATGATTTGAAGGATTATAATGATACTGTTGAATGGGCTGCTACTTGGGTAGCCTCAATAATACCGTGTGTATTTTTTGCATTAATTGTTTGTGTCTATGGTTAATATGAACTTTCTAATATTGGGAGATATAAGAGACCTTAAGTTAAATCACATGAGGAATAAGAAGCATTACAATAAGATGATGCAATTGATAAGAAACTTGCATGACATTATTATAAATATATTATAAAATTTAGTAATATTTATATTTTATTAAGAATCCTTCATAACTAATGGATTAATCAAAGAAGACTCTCGTCAACCCAGAGACTAATGCTTATAACTTGAGTGGAAAGACTCATCCTAGAACATCAGTTTTTGTTGCCAAAATATATTTGAAGAAATTTGATGTTGTGGAAGTACATGCATTAGGGGATACAATTTCAAAGGCAGTAAGAATGGCTGAATAACTTCAAAGATAGAGTAAATTTTATAGATAAGCTATTAGATTATGTGACTATTGAGAAAATCAATACATACACTTAGAAGTTTGAAGATAACAGATCCAAAGTCAAGATTATTGTTACCTTAAAAGTGACTGCTGATGGAAAAAAGAGAGTCAATGAGGAGATAAAATAATGATATTCAAATAAATATATAAATAAAAAGTCTATATGCTTCCATCTCTTCTTTTTGAGAAATACTGAAATAAAATATTATTAATTTCATATGAATCAATAACATTTAGTACAAATAGATGATCACATTAATAAGATAGTTACAATCTCAAATGTTATAGAAGTAGGATTATATGAATAATTTTGGAAGGTAATTAATTCTTAAATCTATAGTAAAATCATTATATAAAAGAATAAAACAATACAACTTTTTTGAATATTTGAAAATAGCACTGATGATTAATGAACATCAAGCAAAATTAAATTCCTTAAATAATTAATTAACTAAATAGTTAAATCTCTTAGGTTTATTTATTGTGAAGGGCTAATACATACTTTTCCAAATAAAGAGGTATAAACTATTAAGTAAACAGACTTTAATTAAGCTAACAAAATTGAATATTTGATTGAGATTATATTATTTACTGAAGGTATAAAACTAGCTAGAATAAAATTATATAATTCCAAAATCCTTTTTTAATGTGAGGAATTTGTTTTATTTTGATAATAAATATGTATATTTTTATATAATTATATCTGATAAAGTTAATTTTAATGAAGAATCATAGAAAATTTAAATTTTCATAAGGAATATATTTTATCTTTAAATTTCAATTCCCTGAATAAAATATTAAAATTGGATCAATTTGAGACGAAAAAAGATAAATTTATATTAAGATTCATTTAATCCCTAAACTTAAGAGATTGTTGTTTATTAATTTCAAGGAAAGCATTAATTTATTATCTTTAATAAAAGAAAAACGGATCAATAAATCTTAATACTTTGTTAATTTTTAAAAGCTATTAAATTGAGAAATAAGAGGGATTCAGATATTCAATTAATTATCACTTATTGTTAATAAATAATATTTAAAATAATCCTAAAATATATTGAAATCTTATTAATTAATAAGAGAATTTAAAAGAATTTGAAGATGTTCAACTTCTAAATATTAATCTTAATGTTCATATTTTCTATTCTTAAGTCCAATATATTAAAATTAGATATTATTTAAATTGAAAAACATACTGATTTGCATCATTAAGACAATTTAAAAGCATAATTTTATTGAATTTAATTATATGAATTTAACATAATTAGAGTCCATCTTTCAATCATTGAACTCTTAAAAAACACCTCCTTCTTAATGGACAATAGACCAAATACGAAATTTTTGTGATCATTACAAACTTGAATGGGCTAAAGAAATATTAAGAGTATTAAATTGAAGCTTATGATTTTTAGATTCATAATAATAAACAATTAAATGTAGATCATTTACTTTTAAATAATGTACTTGGTGCCAAATAAAAAAGACATCATGATAAAGTCTAAGATAAAATATCAATTTTAGAGGCTTAAGGATTACAGAATGATGTTATAAAGGAAGTTTGTTTGGCAAATTAATTCTTTTATCGTAATTTTATCGATAAAAACATTCAATATCAAATCATTAAATTAAAAATATGGTCATTCATCCTTAATATGTATGAGGCTAATCGTCAATCACTTAAAAGATTATAAGGATTGCATAGAAGTAAAATATGTACAAGAGGAAAATGTTGTAGATGTTCTGGACCTGAAGGAAAATGTACATGTGAATTACTATAAGAAATTCTTTAGTAAATTAATTGTTATGTTAAGTAAATATTTATATCAGATAAAACAATTGAACATAGAAGAAATAATGACATTTATATAAAATCAAATCTCATTAAACTTTTATACACTAATACATAATATTTACCTAAAGAATCTCCACTTTTTTGGGATATTGATTAAGTAAGTGTTCTATTAAAAATTGTTAAATTGGATTGTTTAGATTAACTTTTTAGATAAAATCTAATTGATGGATTTGTGATTTCTGTTTTGGGTAAATGCCCATTTACAGAAACCAGTTAATTACTTAAACTATTTGATTTCAATTTATCAAATAATACAAAAATTCAAAATATTAGATTATAGACTCATTCTAAACTTACTTAACTTTAAAAATATACCTATATTCAAAATGTCTTTTTAATGTTATATTACTTAGCCAATACATTAAATTAAACTATTTATAATTGTTTAGAAATTGATCAATTTTAAACAGAAGGTTAATAAATTAATCATTTTGATTATTATGATTTATTCTATTTTAAAGCCAAATGTCCATAATTTTGGAAGAAATCTCCTGATAAAAAAGCATAAACATCAGATAACTTAGAAACTTTTAAAGTTTTCAATTTAGAAGGTGGTCGACATGAATCAATTGCCATAGATGCTTTTAGATCTAATTCAGTTAATCATGTTAAAACTAATGTTGATGTATAGAAAATTTAAAAGGCTTCTTCAGGAATAGAAAGTAGTGTACGTTAAAGACAGGATCTAATTTATTGCTAAAAAGAATTAGAATAGAAAGCTCAAAATATTTCAATTACTGATGCTATTACAAATGAAACTACAACTACTGAAGCCACTCCTTTAATAGATTCTTCCAAAAATTCAACTGATAACTAAAAAAATATGTAAGAATCTGTTTATTTTACATAACATTAAGAAATGCAAGAAAGTGTATGTTTCTAAACACCATAATAATAATAAATGCAAGAGTCTGTATATTTTCCATAATAAGATATTAAGCCAATGTAAGAATCTATGCATTTTCCTTAAATACAAAACTAACATCAATAAATGTAAGAATCTGTAATTTTCCCATAAAATGAGTAAAGATAAATGTAAGAATCAGTTTATTTTATTCCTCCTTAATAATAATAATAATAATAATAATAAATGTAAGAGTCAGTTTACTTTCCTTAATAAGAAAAGTAAGAGAAATTGATGGAAGGATCTGTTTATTTTTCTAATACAATGTAAGGTTCTGTGGCATTTCCTTAAAATTAATCTTAATAAATGCAACAATCAGTAATTTTTTAAGATCCAAATAACAATGGTTTAGGTTAATCAGAAATGGTAGGATAATCAGTAATGATGGGTTAATCTGTATTCGTTAATAATAATAATAATAATAATAATAATACTAAAAAAGCTTAAGATCCTTTTGGCTAATCCATAAATATTTAACACATAATTAATGAAGTATAAAAAGATTAAGATAAGAAAATATATGAAAATAATACTAAGACACAAGGTTCTACTTAATAATAAAGTGATAAAAAGAAAGATGAAGTATAAAATAGAACTCCAACTAGATAAAAAAGAATAAAATTGATTACATCTATTGAATCAGCTACTTTATAAAGTGTTATAATTAATCCATTTATTCTAAATGTCAGTCATCAAATGAAGATTAAATCTGAACAATTTCATAAAGTAAATAATTATACAATACAATTTAGATATTGCTTATAAATTTGATTGGAGCAACATTCGGTAGAAGTTAGGATAATCAGTATATACTATAAGATTAATCCAAGATTTCCTCAAAACATGCCAGGATCATAGTTGTTAATGGTATTTTTATGAAATAGAAAAGATAGGTTTCATTTATAGGATTTAGGATCTAAAAGAGGGACTTTTGTAAATGCTTATAAAATGAGAATATAAAAAGCTATGGTATTTTATATTGGAGACAAACAAGCTTTTTAAATAATAGATGTAAACGAAAAAGAGGGAATCTTAATTCTTGCATTTGATAAAGAATAAATTGATACAAAACAAATTAATCTAAAAATTGGTGAAACTTGGTGTATAGGTAGAGATTTAAAGAGAGCTAATTACTAATTCATAGGATATCCAATACATCAATCATTATCTTAAATCCATTGCATAATTTCTTATGTATAAAAAGATGGGATACCAAAATTCATTATAGATGATTAAAATTCAAAAAATGGAACTTGGTTAAGATTAAGCGATAAGAAATTATTGAGTGAACCTTAAATATTATTAAGAAATAGTAAATTCAACTTGGCATTTGAAATATAATATGAAGTGATTGATGTTTATTATTAAAATAATTAATGAATATTAAAGAAAAATAAAACATCTGGATATATAAAGATGGACATGATAACCTTGAAAATAGTATATTAGTTAATATCAATACCGGTGAAAATATTTAACCAACATCTAGTATTAAAGCTAAAAAGAATTAGAATAAGTAAGCATGCCATTGTGCAATATTTTGATAGTCATTGTTTTTTAAAACTGATTTTAAAATGATATAAACTTCAAGAACTGAATTATAGATAAATTAAAATTTCTATGATCTTTCTCGAGTTGAAATTCATTGAATTTATATAACTTACTAGATCCATTAATAATAATTTTAAATCATATCAATAAGTATTAAAATATCGGTTATTTAAAATATATTAGATTTATAGTTGACAATTTTCTATTTTTATAATTATTCAATATTTTCTTATATTTTTAAGAATCGAAACTAAGATAGAAAATGTATTAATTAATAGTATATTCTAAGAAAACACTATACTAATTTATTTTATAATTTCTCAATAGTTAATTTGTTTAATTATTTCTACATATTTATTATAATAAAAATAAAAATAATTTAATATATAAAAAATTAAACAAAAAAGAAAAACTATTTATTAAATTTAAAGTATTAGATAATGAATTCTAATAATCAGAATTATTGAATTTTATCTGACTTTAATTTATTTTCTTATAATTCAGAAAAAACCTCCTGATTTAATTTCTGTTTGACCGGGATTAGACTTTTAAGATTGTATAACAGATTTTTATGATTTTGGAACAGATTTTTATGATTTCTCACTGGGTTATCTCATTACTTATGGGAATCTTACTCTAACCTAATTATCTTAAGGAGAATTTCCATGATCTTAAAATTCAATACCATCAGGAATACTGATTTCTTTTAATGGTGCATCAGAGGGTGATTTAGTCATTTAAACCTTATCCCAAGAATTGAGAGGTGGTTTAGGAGGTAAAGCTTTAATAATATGATCAATTTCTGGTTTTTATAAGGTTAAGATATCAAAATCTAGATATAATATATATATACCTTTATCATATTTTTTGATCATATCATCATATTTATGTCTTTTAATTAATCTATCTTAAGTTCTAAGTTGATCTTAAACATCTTTTTCTCTATATTCATTTTCTAAAACATGTCTAATTTCAAATCTTTTTTTATGATTTCTATTGATTTCATCAATCATTTTAATTTCTTCAGGAATATCTTTAGTTTGATCTAAATATACAGACTCTCTAAATTTCCAAGATGGAGGGAACCTATCATTAAAATGTTTGCCATGTTATTATTGATCTTATTTTAATTTCCTCAGTTTTATGGGATAATATACTATTAATATTGTTGTTCTTTTTCTTCATCATAGAAGGCTCCTTAAACAATATCATAATTTCTAATTTTCTTGCATTTTTCATTAATTTCACTGACTGTAGCTTAATCTTTATCTAATTGTTTGGATTCATGATTTTCAAGAAATCTAAGGAATAAAATTGTTGTTACTTATTAGAAATAATGTTGAAATCTCTTTTATTTCTATTGATAACAGGTTTTTCATGTACTTTCTTTTAAACAACTACTTTCATATTTTTGTAATGTTCTTCACTTTTTTTTTCATTAGTTATAATATTATAATCATTAAAATTAGGAGGTAACTATGAATAATAATATAAAAATACAAGACATTATTTAGTTTTCTCTCTTTCATCTGGTCTTTCAATACCAGGAACTTGTTCAAGATTAACTAAATCATATTCATGTAAATATTTTTTGACCATTTCCTATATATCTATCTATTTATGCTAATACCATTTTCTTTTATGCTAAAGTAGATGTTTTTTGATAATCTTTTTCTTTTTCTTTTACATCTCTTTCAACACTTTGATAAGTTTGCAAAACTGGATTGAACTCAGTTTATTTCAATTTCATTTCCTTTTGTGTAAAGAATTTAGGCTTAGTAAACTCAATTTGTTGTTTCCTATTAACTTAATACCTATTTAATATGAATATTGTTATACTCTTTCAATTCTTCAGCCCATGCTTTAGTGTCTGCAGGATCAATATACATTAAGCAGTTATTATTATAATAATATTGATTTCAAATAAAAGAGAAGATCTATAATTAAGTATAAATGTCTTGTATTGATCATCATTTAGAGACTTTTTAAAACATATAGACTAAATTTTTGAGTTAATGAAAGCTGTTATTAAATTTAATAATTACATAAAGGAATGAAGGTCTGTAAAATAGTTCTATACTTTGCAGTAATCATAGTTTGTTTATCAGCTCTTATAGGAATCTACTTAGGTAAACCTAATAAAATTGCTAGAGGTTTTGATAGTGATTGTAAAAAAATAATTAATTCAAACTATTAGCTTATGCTTGTGGTGTAGATCCAGGTTTGGAAGATTATCCATATGCTTACTTTGTTAATCCTGTTCCAGAATATAAATATCGAATTTTATGTGTAAAATAATGTCCAACATCTGATACATAAGAATTAGAATGTGCTCCCAATACTTAAATACCAGATTGTAAGAAATAAACAACAGTATTATACCCTGAAAAAATGGTAAGTTATTATGAGTCATTTAAATACAAAGGAAATGTTTGTATGCCTACTTCATTAGAATATTATCAAGGAGTTAAAGATTTCTCATCTCCTGGAATGATAGGGATGATTATTAATGATGTAATGTAAACATGGCATATCATTGCATTAATCAGTTTTTTCATAATAGTTATTTGTACTATCTTGTTGGATTAATTAAAAGTAAATACAACATATGTAGTATGGGCATTCTCTTTATTTTCTTTACTTATTGTTGGAATTATTGGAATCTATTTCATTTCTTAATGGAATTTTGCAAGAAATTATGAAACTGAATAGGCTATTATTAATAATTTCAAGGTTGATGAAGATTACATATATAAAATGACTAATAAACCTAATGAAATTGTTAATTTTGTATTTGGAATCATTTTTGTATTTGCATTTTTATATGGAACATATTGGCTATACAAAAATTCTGATAGAGTTTAAGATTTAGCAGATATATTTGAATATGTTGAAATGTTTATGGCAGATAATAAATTTCTACTACCTTTAAATTATGTATTCTTAGGATTCTTAATTTCATTCTTATTACTTCTATTACTTACTTGTTTGTAAATTATATATAATTAAATTAGGTTTCTAGGTTCAACATTTAAATTAAAAAATGATTCAAATTTAGGTCCATTTGAAAAAATTGAATTAAATACTATAATTTCACTCTCTACAAGTTCAGTATTTATTTTTGTAATATGGATTATTTATGTTATTAATGGTTGTTATCAATCAATCATATTTAGCAATTTTAAAATTTGGATTAATAATATGATTTCTTAAAATCAACTTTAAAATAGAGATTCCCTTGAATTAGGTATGTTGATACTTTACTGTTCTAATGCTGTTAAAAATTTAAATTTATAAGTTATTAGTAAGATCTCATTTATATTATTGTTTTCACCAATTAAATTTATTTTAGATTTTATCAAAGATACTATAGATAATATATTTAAAATAAGATGCAATCCATTTAAATCATTATCAAGTAATATTAAATATTAATATAATAAAAGCTATTGAAGAAGTGTTATATTATGAAGTTGATCTAAATTAAGATAATATTAGTATTGCTATTTAAAAAGTAAAGGATTCTTTAGAAATTAATGAAGATGGGGAAGCCTTAAATACTTTTGAAATAATTAGAAATATCAATGACTTCTTTTTATTGATTGTAAAGCTTTTTGCTTGCCTTATTTGTGTTACTTTATTTTTGGGTATACTATTTATGATCAATTCAATTAAATAACAATTTCCTATACTCTAATAAAGTATCTAGATTAATCTATATTAACCTTTGATACCTGCTTTTATTGTTGGAATCATTGGGTATACTTTATTATAAATTTTAAAGATATTAAGTTGCATAAATCTATTTCTGTTAGTACTCTGTTGTTCAATGTTTTGGATATGCATATATTGCTGCCTAGACTCAAACTTAGAGGGATTATCAAAATTATAAAGACAATTATTAAGGAAAATAAAATCAATAATTTGCAGAATTTCAATAATCTGATATATAAAGTTAAATTAGATACTAGAATTTGAAGACAAGATTTCCAGTATTAATAAAATAATAATATCTTAGGAATTAAAATAAATGATAGAAAGAAGTCTACCAAGTTTTTAAGTGAGAAACTAAAATATAAATAATGTTTGAATATTTAATAGATATCTATAAGTACAATTATTTAATATTTTATATATAATTTATTAACAATCATATATTAATTAAAACAATCTAAGAATATTATATTATTCATTAATTTAAAGTTATTTATTAAGATATTATATTACTTAAAAACTAATATTTGCATACATATAATCAAATAATATCTAATTATAATAATTATATATCATAATATTATTTATACTAAATGATTAGAAAATAATAATTATTATATAAATGAAATACTTGATTTTTTTAACTTTTATGATCATCAATTGCTATGAAATTAGCTTAAGTGAAGTATAAGATTGTGTAGCCAAGAATTGTGATAATGTAAAATGAACTTAAAATAATTTTAGGAAAATTAATAATGCATCAAAGATAGTACTTGTAATTAAGCATTGAAAGATTTTAATGATTGTTTCTTAGCCAATTAACATAATGCAACTTATCCTTATGAGGAATGTAAAGGAGTTTCAAATACTGTATATTCAACATTAATGGCATGTTATGAGAATTGTGATTACAATTTAATCCTTGCAGAGAATATTTTAATTATAATGACTATTTATATATTTTTTATCATTAATTGAATTTATAATCAATTTTCATTTAATTATTAGGTTTATTTGCTCTGTATTCTTCTTAAAATACTATGCTTTAATAATAATATTTTGATTTATAATAAATGATTTTATGAAAAATAAATCAATTTCACAAAATAATTGCCAACAAGAAAACAAAGCCTATGACCATTTATTTAGAATAGTCCTCAATATCTACTATTTCTTCTTCCACATCTTTGCATGAATCACTTGAATATCCATTTAAAGTTTTTTATTCTGAACAAGTTGCACATCTATTTTCTCCTTCTACTTTAATACAAGTAATTTCATCAGTTTTACCAGCAACAGTATCATATGTTGTTTATGCTAATAATCTTCTACTTCCTGTAGCAGTATTAGAAAGTAAAGATTAAACTTTAATTACAACTTTTGACCATGCTATTTCAGCTTTTAATTAAAGAATGATTTAGCCTTTAACATTATTATTGGAACTCAAAATCTAAGCCTTTTTATTAAGTCCACCACCAGTATACCAAACTTCAGGCTCTATCAAATAATATCCCTCCATTCCTTTGGTAGTAATTACCTATTATAAAACAAATTAATCATTTAAATGAAGATTTGGAGTGGTAGTTTCAGAACAACTCAAATCTTTACACCAATTGATTTTTGTATCTGGTTTAGCATTGCATTAATCTAAAGTGCACTCAATAGTAGATCTAGCACTCAAAGGTTTAAAGGAAGTATCAATAGAACTTCCAGATTATCTATCAATAGTGACTTAAAATGAAAAGAAGAATGTATATTGAACTTCATTTGTTCCAGCTGCATAATATGCAATAGCATAGTATCCATCATATATATATTGATTTGAGTTAGATGACTAAACTAAATATGTACTTAATTCTTCTCCTTTAATTGTAAATGAATAATATCTCCATTACTTCTAAAAATTATTGGATGATGTTATTTCAAGTGTAGTTACTTCACTCTTATCAGAATAGGTTTCTGTAGTATATTTATAGAGTTTCATATCTAAACAAGTTTATTCAGGAGTTTTTCCATCTTATTAAACTAATCCAAAATATGTAGCATCATTAAATAGTTCAACATCTGAATATCTAATATTAACTTTAACATTTGAAGTTCCTGCGATAAAAGAAACATCTCCTGTAAATGCAATTTTAGATGCTCCTGTACCATCAGGATTGTTAGCTGTACCAAATTTTTCCAAATATTTATTGCATTCTGGTGCATTAAAATCTAATCTAGCTTAAAATGTAATAGCTAGTAAAAAGGATAATAATAGTATTGTTTTTGTATTAAACATTTTCTTTAAATTATTAATGATTTCTAGGGAAGTTTTTGGGATTTATAGGATTTAAAATGAAATTTGAGGTGTTTTATTCTATTTAGAAATTTTATTTCTATCTGGAAATTTTTATTAAATGATTTTAAGAAAAAAAGATTTAAATAATTCTATTTGAAGTTAATTTATATCATATAAATTATATTTAATATAGAAACATCGAATTATTCAATTTATATTATCATTGATTGTAAAGTAGATGAATATACAAATATTCAAATAAATATAATAATCAATTTAAAACGTATAAGTGAATGATTAATCTATATCACTTATAAAAATTTTATATTAATATATTTAGAAAATTTAATGCTATTTTTATCTTTTAACTCAGAAAGTTCTATTTTAACGTATAATTACAATTTTAGATCTAATGAATTATTTATTTACTGTAAAATATAATTTATTGATGACAATTTTACATTTTCATGAAAATCTATTAAAAAAACATAACATAATTTTAATAAGGACTCTGATTTAAAAGGCTTAGCCCATTATAATTTTGGAGGTAAGATAAATAAATTTTTAGCTATTGGAATTATGAATAGTTTAAAATGAATTTAGAAATCAGTTTTAATACAAAATTAAATATTATATTTATATGAAAGAGCATTATATTATTAATTAATTGTATAATATGATTTTTATAAATTCAAATTTTCAAATCAGAAGATGTTTTATAAATTTTAGATGAAAAATAATTACATAGATATAAGAAAAATTAACTCAAATATAACAGAATCATTAGAAATAATGATACTTATAAATGAATTAAAGCAGAGAATATTTAAAAAAAAACATTATAGACTTATGCATTTAGTAAAAAGATTTAAATGACATAGCTTCAGAAAAAATGAATAATGTCAATTTTAAATACGAATAGAAATATGAATAACTTATTTAATAGGAATCACTCACATTATTATAAATTTATCAATACGATAACCTAGATTATAATGATCAAATTGTTATTTACATTTAAACTTTTCAAAATAAAGAGTCTAAAAATAAGTAAGATTCATTTTTTGATCTTAACTTAGAATACTAAAAATAATTAGTATTTTATTAGTTCCTTCATTTTATTTATTTGATCTATTAGTTAAATATTTATCCTTTATTTAGGATGAATTTAATAAGCTAAATAACAATAAAGATGATATGTTTAATAACACAAACTTGTACCATTAAAATACATTTCTTATTTACATGGTTTATGATTTTAAAGAGAGATTATTATAAATGACTTTTAATTAATCACTTTTATAATTTTAATTAAAGAAAAGAATATCAAAACAAAAATATATTTTTAAGATTAGGATAAAAATTATAAAATAGGGGTTTTATATTAACATTGTAATAAAATCTTAAGCTTTTTATCTTTTAGTCAAAATGTATAAATGGAATTTTATATTTTAATATTATTAAAATCTACATAGAATGGATATGCATCCTATCATTTCGACATCAAAATAAAAAGCAATAAAGTACAAAATAATTTTCATAATTTGAGTTGCTATAGTTGGAGATAAAGGAGTAGGTAAACATTAATTAATTGAAAAAATGCTGGATGTTGAAAGTAAAGTAAATGACAGAGATATTACGTCAATTGATTTTTTTATATCGTATATATGGATAGGGGATTGCTAATATTAAACAATCCATTATTGGGTTATCTCCTTAGATTCAAATTAATAATAGTATATTTATATTAATATGTAAGGTTTAAATCTATGCCATTTATCCCTTAAAGTGATATTTATGTTATCATGTTTAGCTTACACTAATAATAAAGTATGTTTAATGCTCTACATGTTTGGTTTTAATTAAGTTCTTAAAAATAAAGTGCCTAATTTATATTTTTGGGATCTGATAGTGGATAACTAAGATAATGTGGTTCTTACAATGAAATTATAAAAATCATAAAGAATAAGATGATAAGATCTTCCCCAAACTTAGAATAAACCTTAAATGAATCATCTCTAAAAGAAATAAGAAAAACTATTGCTTATGTTGATGATTTTATAGAGGAATCTCTACCAGAAAATGTTCAATATCTAGAAATTATGGATTATTAATACCAAGCTTTCAAGAGAGTTCTTATTAACTCTGTCTAAAATGTGATAAGTATTGGCCGATAACAATTGTATTCAATCAGTGCCCCCATATCTCCAAATATAATGCCTTAATTATAAAAGTCTGTATCTGAGTTTCTGCAGAAAACAGAATATATTGATAAGTAGGATAATTTAAAGAGTGTGAAAGAGAAGAGATAATCAGAAATAATTCAAACTATAAAAATAGATTATTCTTTACATATTTAACCTATTTAAACAACGATGAATCCTGGTTTCTTAACTTTAGAATAGAGCAGCTGTTCTTAATAAGTTCAAAAAGAAACTGGATTTTGTTGTTAATTAATATGATGTAACAAATGAATTGAATGATTATACAATATGTATATGTTTCAATAGTAATAAATTATTATTAAAATAATATTTATAATGGAGTAAGATAGTAATACCATCCTTTCATCATCAAAGGAAAGAAGGATTAAGTATTTTAGAATTATCATTTAGAGTAATTTTGATTGGAGATTAGAGTGTCGGTAAAAGTACACTTCTTGAATAATTACTTAATGTTGAATCAAAAGTAAATGATAAAGAAATCTAAACAGTTGATTTTTTCATTTCTCGTGTTATTTTACCTGATAATTCAGAATAGAAAATATTTATTTGGGTTACAACTGGAGAAATCAAAAATATGTAATCTAATCATTATAAACATAGAAATCTTATCAGAGCCTTTTTAATTAAGAGTCATATTTATGTTATTGCATTTTCTCTTAATAATCCAGTTTCTTTTGAAAATGCAGTAAACACTTGGTTTGCATAATGCTATAAAAATGCTAGAGAAACAAATAACTATTATTATTTTATTGGCACAATGAGTGATAAAGAACATCTTTGTGGATCTTATTAGGAGATTATTTAAAGAATTGCAGACAAATGTTAAGAACTCAAAATAGAGAAAAATGCATAATAAGTTCCATTTCCTACAGATAAAGCTTATATTAGATAATCAGCAAAATGGAACGATGACAATATCATTGAATTTGCTAAAAATAAATTACCTAATAATGTGTAAGATTTACTTGATTTATTAGATTTTACTCAGAAACATCAGCTGTTATTAAAACAGGGATTGAAAGAAGTTCAAGCATTTTTATTAGATTATTATAAACTGCTGTTAAGTAAGAGTATGAAAAAGATGGAATAGAACCTATTATTGTTTCATCTAGAACAGATTCTAGGTTTTCTATGGCATAGATGCAAGTGCCAATTCCAGTAGTTTTGCCAACATCATCTGCAAGATAATCAACTTAGACAACAAGTTTATAAGTTAGTATGATAAAAGAGCCTGTTCCATTCTTATCTTTTGAATAAAAAGAGTCAAACTTGTCATCTATGGATGAAGTTAAGAAGGAATAAAAATTATGTTGTATGATTTAATGAAAATTATTAAACTTCTTTACTTGTCTACTCTCTTGTTCAAAGTGATTATTGGTATTCATTTTGTATTAAAATTTCTTAAAGAATCTGTTTAATATATAAAACTAATATAATTTAATGTGAGAGTAGTTTTATTTTAAATTATTTTGTTAAAAAAAACATAAATAATTGCCATTATCATCATTAAAACGAAAAAATAAATTAAATTAAAATTATTATTATTATTAGATAAATTTATATGGATTCTTTTGATGACCTCACTTGCAAATTAGGATCTATGGGTTCTGATTAATAAACTAATGATACAATAAGTCCTATTAATATAAGAACAAGTGATATATTTAGTGATTTAAAAAAAAATACTGATTAAAATGATAAACCCATTTTTGCATTAAAAGATTAAGTTTATCATTTCTATTAAACAATGAGAAACATGACAATCAAAGAAAATTATAGCTATTAAATAGCATCTCTAATCTTTTTGAGTGAGTACCAAGATAATTCTTCTTAAAAATTGGATAATGTCAAACAAATACTCTAAGAATGCACTAATTTAAATCTAAAAACCTATTTTATAATATTAAATAATAATAATCGTAAACCAAATGCTAAAGAACTTAGACAATTAGTAAATTAATTTCCATGTAGTTTGAGTATAGTTGATACTGAAATTCAAGATTTAAATTAAGAATTATAAACGATTACTAAAGAACTAAGAATAGGATCTTTTGATACTAGATTGTTTGTTCATATTTCTACAAACAAATCTATGAAAATCTACTTTAATGATCTAATAAATTCTTTGCAAAAATTTGAGAAAGGACTAAGTTAAAATGATAAAATTTATTGGTCTTCTTGTAAAACAAATGAAAAGTTTGCTACCATAGAAATATAGGAAGATCCATAGAATGAGAAGAAGGTAGAAAGAAAAAACAAAAGAAAATACATTTTATATGGGTTTATTTTATTGGTAGTTCTTATAATTATTTGCTATTTATTATATGTTGTGATTATAACATTTAAGTAATGATTTGTACTATTTTCAATAATGAATATTATATAATATGCATCAATGAAATTCTGAATATTCCTGTTATCTTGGAGTCCAAGGATTGTCAAATAATGATTTATGAGCAAAGTATTAGTAAACAACAAAAATAATTAGAAGTACAATAAAAATGATACTGACATAAAATGCTGCAATAACAAGAGAATAGGTGTTAAAGTAAGTATTTTTGGCAAATTCATTTACTTAAGAAACAGCCTAAAATTATTATAGATAATGATACCAATTTTAATCCATCATCAGGGAAACAATTTTTTTCAAGATATTTAGAGAATTGTGCATTATGTTCTCTAAGACCATTCTAAATAGGATTGTATAAATTACATTTCCATCTACTTCACTTAAATAAACTGCTCCTAACCCAATACATAAAATGGCAATGATCAATCCAATACCACATAAGAACTTTGGTTAATGGAATTCTGTCATATCAATCCATTAAAAAATCTAAAATAAAATTAATTAAATCTACTCTGTTTTTCATCAAATACAAAATAGGAACAAGGAAAAGAATAACTCCTACACTTATAATAATAATTAAAGACATGGCTCTTTCAGATTTATAGACTCTTTATCCACTTTTTGAGATTTGATCAATATCTTTGGGAGATAACTTCTAACAAACCTCATTAGTATTAATTTGAATTTTTTTTATGGCTTCTAATGCATACGTATCTGAGTTATCTTCATAATTTTGATAAAAAGGTAATTATGATAGTACATCAGCCAAACCATTTTATTAATAAGTTTGATGAGCAGAGAATGTATTCAAAGTTATTCGATGTGATTACAAATCTTTATAATTATCACAACCCATTTCAGGTCTTTTTGCTAAAGGGTAATATTTAGTTGATTAGAATTTGGGATTTAATTTATGATTGTAACATGGAGACGAATCAATTTGTCCAATTCCTGGTATCATTTCAATACTAACAATAGGAGATGAGTTTTCAAATTATTTAATATAATTATCTGTTCCAATTTTTATTGCATTTCTATCATTCTATCTTGAATTGTCTTTGAGTAAACCTGAAAGTGGGCAATTTTTGGATTATGGAACGCAAACATTTCCACACTATTTATAAGATGTCTCACAAGCAGCACCTTCTAATGTTTTCCATTCAGCATATAATTTAGTACAATATTATTTTTATTACCATGTTGTAAATAATTGAGGATCATGAGATTTCACTCTTTTACAATTAGATTTATAGAAACAAGTGAGAGAATGACTAATTTCACCATTCTCACAAATACATCCTGATGATACTCCATCCCATTAACCTAGATGAGCTTTACCATAACCATCTGGACAGTCCACTGCATCATGTGTATAATGTGATATCATGTTGAGAGCTGATGCAGATGAAGAGGGAGTTGCTACAACAATATCTTCAATTGGTGTCAATTGCATGTTATTTTTCAAAGTTTCGAGTGTGTTGTGTGCCCCTTCTGGATTGAAGTGCTTCACTTTGGAAGCAAAGAGTAATGCCATAATAAGGAGAATTATAATAAAGAATGCTATTGGTAATATGTAGAGTAACCAATCTATCAACTATAAATTCAAATTTAACGATTACATAAGAATATTTCTTAGGTTTTACTAAAGTTATAGTTTTGTTTGGCATCGGCTATTGTACAACAATTTACTCTCTATATGGTTCAGGTTACACCTACACTAAAAAGAATAGACTATATAACTACTTTGATATTCTGTTTCAATTGGTGGTTAGGGTTGATATACAGGTTTTGCTAATAATAAATATTGATAAGATACTGGGTGTGTTGGTAGTGTATCCAAATGGTAATGGGGCTACTTATTATTACTGTGGATTTATGTACATAGATTGGACATAGGAATTGGGTAACATTGATAAATCAAAATAAAATCAATAAAATTAAGATTAAAAAGAGAGTATTGTAAATATTGTGATTAAAATTATATTTATGTTATGCTCTTTAATACTGCTCAGAATTGATAATCTGGAGTAGTGTTGGCCTTTCTAAAAGCAGGTTTACCACATTCCAATAATGCTATTATTAATTTCATTGTGTACCATCCTTGAATTGCATACATTTTGATTCATCCTTAGTTCTGACAACACACTAATCATATTTGGATTACTTTATACTTCTTTAAATGCAGCTAACTCTCCTGGACATTCTTACTTCAAAATAATTGTTCTAGGGGCATTTTCATCTTCTCTTGGGAAACTATAAGATGAAATAGGGTGAATGAAATTACAAAATGACTTTGCTTTCCATTTAAGTTGATCTCTTTTTAGCAGTGGAGAAATTATATGATCGTGATTCCATTTTAATTAAATATCTAAGATTTAAATTAATCTAAGTAACACACATATAAATATTTTGTTTCAATCATTATTTCCTACTCCTAACTGATTTGACTGCTAAATTAAGTGCTACCTTATAAAGTTGAGAATCGAAAGTATTTGTCTACTTCATGGATTTTCCAATAGCTTTTGCAGTAGCTGATTTTTGATGATGCATTTATTAAGAAGATGATTATCCACTACTCTATTTTACCATTGTTGATTATTGTGAATTAGTCACTTATCTTGCAGAATGAGTTTATTAATAATATACAAGTTTTTATTCTCCACTTGTATTAATTTATAATGGTTTATCATTCGATTTTGATTTTATATTTATTTTTCTGTTTGGTTCCCTATTTGATAGAGGTTCTTGAATTTTTACTCTTCTAAACTAATTTAATTCTTTGATGTTCAATTTTTTTCTTGATAATTATCCTTTTAGACGATTTGTTATTTCATATCTCTAGGTAAGACTTCTAGGATCTTAGGCTAGAGATAGACTGTCAAAATGTACAGTGCAACACTGTTTAGAATCTCTGATTAATTTTTTGGCTAAAAGTGTTTACAAATCAGACATGACTTTTAATTCTAATTATTACACTTTTTTTGGTAAATGTGGACTTTATTAAGGAGCTCTTGGAGTAACACATTTAGGTGATTTGAGAAGAGTAGCAATTCGTTATTGATTAGGTAACAAAGTTTTATTGCTTGGAGATTTATATTCAATATCTCGAGGAGTCTAAATTAAAACATTAAACAAATTACAATATGCAATTAATCAGATTTTTAAGATTGATTTTTCTTTTTTGCAACTCCTTTTGGAATAGATGTCTTGAGCATATTAAGTATACTTGTTATACTTGATTTGCGATGCTATAGAACAGGTTTCTTTTATTAAATCTATTATTCTTTATAAAGAGGTTTGTAGTTTTCATATTTAAAGTTTGGATTGGTTGATTACATAAGTTTATATTGTTGGAGCTATTACTTGAAGTTCACAAATTATGGTTTTGGCTCGATTATACTGATACCATCAAGGATTTTCTCACATTTAGACATCGGCTAAGTTCAGGGTGTTGTGTCTTACTTCTTCTGAGGAGCTTGGATCTTAAGCAGTCACTTATTAGCTGGATTATGGCATTGGTGAATCTCCTACTATTCCTTTGGGTGGTTTGTCTGGATTATTCTTGTTCTCTTGAGCTATCAACTTGGCAATCCTAAAATACTCCAATCTTCTCTTTTTATCATGGTAATAATTCAAAGAAACTATTGCTGGTAACATAAATAAACGAGGGATATCATTATGGAACTATTGAATAACAATTTAAAAGTACTTTATAGTACTCACCCAACATTTACAATTTTTCATATATTACATCACATTTAAATATTTTACAGAGTAATTCTTCAGGTGTGTCATACATGATCACATCCTTATAGAGTATATTGTTTGATGTACGGTAATTATGTAAGATCTCTGTTATGCTCTTAGTGTAATGATAATTCTATGATTATGAGTATTTCAAGAACAAAGAATGACGCATGATTTCTATCACTATAACACATGTATTATTACCAATTAATGGGGTAGTCTCTTCACAAAAATCGCATTTCATTTTGAATTTATTATATTTATAAAATAATAAAAAATAATATTCAAACAAAATTATTCATCCCAACATATATTATGGACAACACTCTTCAAAAATTCATCAGATAAACTCAAAAATATATTGATGCATATCAAAATTGTCAATTTGATTAATATTCCTTTAACTACACTAGAGATCTCCTGGGTGAGGGATCTTTCGGTAGGTTTAAATTCCTAAGACCATTAGTGTTTATCGTGGAACCCAAGGAAATTGCTATGCGGCCATCAAGATCCTCAATCTTAAACACTACGATAATCCAACCTATAGAAGAGCATTAAAACTTGAAATTATTCTCATGATGGAACTCAAAAGTCCCAATGTAGTTAGGATCTTAGATGTAAAAACTTAACGCAAATCATAGGCATTATGTGATTAAAATGACAATGAACTCTTTTTGATTATTGAATATTGTGAAGGTGGAGATCTACGTCGTCTATTATCTCATTAACCAAACTAAAGACTTCAAGAGTCTGCTGCTGTTGCTATCATCTCCTAAACTATTTAAGGATTAACAGAATTATTACATAAAAATTACATGCATCGTGATATTAAAGTATTATTTCCATATAAAATCAGCCTGATAACATTCTTCTTAAGTAAAATACCTATAAAGTTGCCGATTTTGGTCTAGCTGCCAAAATTCCTCCTAAATAGGTTTTAAGATGTATTACATTCTATTATGTATACTTTAGCCCAGGTTGGAACTCCATTGTATATGTCACCATAAGTTTTAGAATGTAAAGAATATACAAATAAATGTGATATTTGGTCTTTAGGATTAGTCTTATATGAACTCCTTTTTGGTAGAACTCCTTGGTTATGTAGAAGTTTTGACACTTATTTAATTGAAATTAAAACTAAACCTTTATAATTCCCTTATGAGATTTAGATTTCACCTCAGGTCAAAGATTTCATTAAGAAATGTTTAAGAATTGAGGAATGCCATCGTATGAGTTGGCCAGAATTATTAAAACATCCTATGTTATAACTTTAAGGGAGATTAAAAAGATAAGCTACTTAGGAAAGATTAAATTTTACAGTTTTAGAAAGAGAATACTTATATAATATTTAATTAGTATGCTCTGAACTTAATTTTTAAGCAAAAGATTTAATGAAATAATGTGGGAAGACTCATATAAATTAGGATGAATTTTAGAATATGTTGCGTAAGATTATGAATGAAGAAAATGAAGAAGTTGGTAGGAAGTTATTTGAGAAATTTGATTATTCTAAGGATGGATTGATAAGTGCTTAAGAATTTGAATATTTATTTAGTGAATATGATTTTTCACCTTTAAAGTCTATAGCCGTTTAAATCACATATGAATTATAGGCCATTATTAAATTATATAAAATACCATTGAAATAACTATTTTAACAATTAGATTAAGATAAAAATGGGTATCTTGATGAAAAAGAGTTTGAATTCCTTATTAAAAAGATTGCTCCAAAATTATCTTAAGATAATATTTTAGAAATATTCAAAAATTATGATTAAGATAATGATGGTAAAATTAGTCTAAAAGAGTTATAATTTGTACTTTAGAGTAAGAATTATCAAAAATTAAAAATAATTTTGAATAGAATTCGTGAAACTCTGATTAGAAAATCAGTATCTGTAAGTACATTATTTACATAAGTGGACAAGGAAAAGAAGGGATACATTAATTTCAAGGATTTTGAGTATTTACTAAGTAAATTAGATAAATTGAGTAAATGTGATGTTTGGGATCTCTTTAATTTATTTGATGAAGATGGAAATGGAAAGATATCTTTAGATGAATTTAAGACATTGTTAAATTTATGATTAAGAGTAATGATTTTATTTTTATATATGTAATTGAAAATAAAAATTTTGATTAAAAAGAATAATTTTTATGAACTACACTAAATCTAACTAATTTAATTAATGAAATACTACTATGCTTTTATCATAATTTTAGTTTTTGTTTATTTGAAAAGGGAAGATTTACAAAAGCTTTCATAAATAGAGCAAATAGATGATGCAGTAGAAAAGAACAAACAATTGGCAGAGTTTATTAATGGTAGATAGATCCATGATTTATTTCTCTTCCATGCAGTCAAAATGATTGATACAAATCTTAAATCATCTTATAAAAAATTGGAAGAAACAGTGTCATCACTTTAAAATTTATTAGCTTTACTTTATAATAGGATAACAATAGAATCTAGAATTTAAATGAAAATTATTCCATCTCAAATAAACTTTGCCAATTATTTTGGTGGTGCCACCATACTTACAAAAAGCAAATAATTAATTGGAGTAGATAATATTTTAATGGATAATCAAGAAACGTACATTGTTCTAATTTGAATTTAGTTATATGATAACAGAGTGTAATTAAGAAAATTTGTTCTTTATAATTTGCTTAAAAGAAGAGATCTAATTAGAATCTATATACTTTATTAATAAAGAATTTTATTCATCAACAATAAAGAATTTCAAAGTATAATATTAAAATAACTATTTCTTTTGAGGTTTTTGGAAGTGTTGTATATCCAACTGAATCTTGGGATATATTATAATCATTTGAATCAGAGGATATAAATGAATGGTAACACTTTGAATTTAAATCACATTTTCTTAGATATTTGAAAATTGAAATCATTGATTTTCATTAAGCAGAATATCATTGTACTTTGACTTAAATAAGGTATTTAGATTATAAATGTTTTAGAGTTTTTGGATAAACAGTTATTGGAGATTTAATATAATCTCATAAAAGATATAAATTAAAATTACCTAAAATTGAACCAATAACAGAATAAATTAAATAACCAAAAAGATTGAAAATACCATGTAATGAAATAATCTCTAATTATACAAATTCTAATAATTCTACATGCAATTATTTCGATTATATATTTGATATGCAATAGTCTAAAATTGATGAAATAAAGAGTCAAAATCAATATTTAGATGTGATTCCTTTTGAATTTAATTAATCCTTATTTAAAGTTACAGCATAAAATATAGTTATACTCTCTCATAATCTTCAATTATTGAAAGAATAATTATAATAAATACGTAAGAATAAATTGAAGGAAATGGAAAATTAAAAATAAAATGATAACATATAATAGTAATTATTATTCGAACTTTCATAATAACAAAATATAAATATTAATTTAGAGAAATAAATATAGTAATTGAATTTTTTCACTAATGTTTATGCAATATGCATTATAATTCTATTTATTTGGTTGTGTTGGATTATTATAAACAAGTATTAATACACAAGAAATAATAGAGATCAATAAATTGTCATATAAAATTAGAAAGATTTCTAAGATATTATTGCTTTGACACCAATTCTAGTGAATGGATATTAAAATAATAATGATGAGAAATGTCACTATATAATAAAGAGCTAAAGCAATAATAATAATCATAAAAATAAAAAAAAGAGCAATTTTGTTAATTGATTTATATTTTTACTATTTTATTTAAAGAATTAATTTAATTCATAAAATAATTAATGTTCCCTAGTAAATTGTATGATTTACAATTAACTCCTTCTTTGAATAAATTTAATTCTGATTTTTAAAGTGCTAGAATGATAGAATAATTCAAATAACTATTAATTGAAGATGATAAGGAAATACTCACATCAGCTTTGGTATAATACTTAAATCAAAAAGTTAGGATCTAATGAAAGCTATTTCATATTCACTATATGGTACATGGTTTTATTGGAAAGTTTTGACTGATATTTGTAAAGGTGATGATCTCAACATTATAAGTTAATAATTGGAGAGAAAAATCATTATTTATGATATTTGTGAAATTGAAGATTTGAAATGTTAAGTGATTAATTATGGATATAAGAAACCTATATATTTGGCTCGCTATTTAAATTATTTTTATGTTGTAGGCAAAAAGGGTACATCTGAAAAGCATAAACTTATTAAAGATATTTTAATGGATGTTATCAATGAAATAATAGGATTACCTATCAGAAGACATAAAAGATCATATTCAGATGCTTTTAAGTACCTATCTGATTAAAAGGATAATCGTACAAATAAATTAAATATTAAAAATGTTCCTTTATCTCCCTCTAATATATCTCGTACAAGTTTATAAATGTAATTGTTGGATGAAGTAAATCAAGAGAGTGATCTTTTACTTAAGGAATGTAATTCTTTAATTAACTCTCCAAGTCCATAGAATGATCTATTATAATCACTCAATTTAAATTTACAAGAAGGTACAAATATATTGTCTAATGTAAATATATTAAAAAATATGTATAGATAAGATATTTTGGAACATTAAAGTTTTATGATGAAGCAAGATCTTATGGTTTCATAGTTATGGACATGGATGGAAGTGATTTATTTGTTCATTGTGATGATCTAACTAAAGCAGGGATGAATAAAGATTTTTTAAGAACAGCTAAACATGGTAATATAATTAGATTTTCATTTCTTATTCTTGAATACTTTGGAAAGTACAATAAAAGTAGAAAAGCAGTAGACTTATAATTTATTCAAGGATAACAATATTTCATATGATATTTATATCTATATTTTACTAATATAAGTTAAATATAAATATATTTATTCAAAACTTCTTAATTTCTGAGTTTCCCTCAATTTTTTACACTACTATCAAATTATAAACTCAATTATGGATATTTATTAATGATCCAATTATTAATAGTTGATTTTTCAATATTCTTACATCAATTTTTTATTTTATTAATCCAAATAAATTTAAATCCCATATGATTTTTTGGTTATTGATTTGAATACTATTGAATTATCAAATGCATAAGCAATTCTTTAATAATAAAAAGAGTTTTTAAGCAAGGGCTATGTAAAAAGAGCCAAGTTTTTATAATAATTATTTAGTAATATATAAAAACTATAATATTGGATGAATTTATTAGTTTTTAATTTTATTAAAATGTAATTATATTATTTATAATAATGAAAATATTTACTTGTTATACATTCTGTAAATTCAGATTAATTATCAGTTATCATTCAATTATCAATCCCTATTCTGATTCAATTATTAATTTTATGGTATTTTCATCTAATTATTCCCATTTTTGATCCTCTTTGTTTATTATTTTATTTATCTTTAAATTCAATACAATTTCTTTGTTCTATAAAAAAAATTAATAATAATATTACTTCATTCATATGATTTATCAAAAATATAAAATTTCCTCTTTTAATTTGTAACACAGAATTCACTTCATTGATTTAAACAAATTCATCATTTAACCATCCATATAGTTATTCAAATTATACAAATTTATCATCTGCAATTTCTTATATCAATCCCTACATTTAATTCAATTCTTACTGAACCAATAACAAGTGCATTTAAGATTTAAGCTTAAGTATACATTCCATTATTTTCAAATAAAGTCTTAGGTTAATATTATTTATGTTATAATTTAGAAAGTCTAAAATCAAAACCTAAACCTCCCTCTTTAATTGTTCTACAAAGAACTGGATAATCCAAATTTTAGATTATACTTATACCATTTGGCAATAAATCATGAATGAGATCATTTGCTAACATCAAGTACACTGCTGCATCAATATCATCTTATATTTCAATATTATTAAATTTAAATCCATCTATTTAATATTCTGTTATCCAAAAGGATATATTTGATAATAATAATCTCAAAACTTCCCATTTTCCATAATCCAATTATTCTATTCCTTCTTTCAAGTATTAAAATTAAGTTCCATCCCAATTATTTAAGTATTTCAATATTTATTCATGATCAATCTCCATTATAACAGAAAAACCGTTTTAATGAAGTACATCTATGTTTCTTTTTAAGTCATCTGGAGTTATTTAATTTACATCAACTTGCATTAATAATTATTAAGTAATCATAATTGTATTGTATCCATTCACTCCTTACAACTCTGTTATCTTTTACTTAATCACCTTTAATCCTTTGCTTTACTACTTTTGTTGCAATTGTTATTATTGAAATTCGTACTTATTGTCTGGATTCCAAAATATTGCTTATTCTCCTTTCTTTACACTACTCCATACTGAAGCTCTTTCGAATTAGTTACAGTATGTAATAAGAGGACTTCCATGTTAAATTTAATGATTATCATCATCATCTTTTGGTATAAATACTTCCCAATTTCCACCATTATCAGTAGTGCAACCATATTCATTTAATTTTAATTCTTTTGCATTTGGTGCCCATTCTCTATATGTTATTCCTGTATCAGATACAATAAATCCATATTTTTAATACCTAAATTAACATATTATATTACCCTTTAGCAAACTCCTTAATTGATGATTCCACTTTTATTATTTACTCTAAAACTTAAAAAAACTTCTCATTTCTATTTTGAATCACTTCTTTTAATTCTGGCTCTTCTATTACTGTTTATAATTGATCCACATTCTTCTCATACTTTTACATGAATTCTTCATTCTCAAAAACTGATTGCTATTATTAATTATAACATCTATACTTAATAAAAAAGAGAATTCTTCTTAGATAATTTTCTATTTGGAACCTTTCTAGATAGAGCAGTACCTTAATCAATATAATTCATATTTATATATTATTATTATATATATATAATATGTTATATATTTTAATTTTGAACTATCCAATTATTACAGTAAGACTCATTCATTCATAAACAATAAATTATTTTAGATTAAATAAAAAATCTTCTTTAAAATGAAGGAAAAAATATAAATTATATATTAAGATATTTAAATCAAAAGTAATAATACAAAAATTTGTAAATCATTCAATTTTTTCTGTATTCATTTTGGTTCTATGAGATATGTATTATTTATAAATTCGACTTCTAATGAATGAAGGCTTTTTAAAAGCATTGTCTTTTTTAGGTTAATTATATAGATTGAAATTCTTGTGTAAATTTTATTGAGTAAAATCATTAATCTTCAAAGGATGATCAACTTTATAAATTTTTCTTTCTATATCCTTATTGATCATTATAGGATAATCTTATAAAATAATGTCTTAAAGTTCTTACTCTTGTTCAATATTAGGAGATTCATAACACTATAGGGGAATGACTTCTGAAATTCCATATAATGAGTCTTTGAGATCTTCTTCTTCATTTGAGTAATGATAGTTGTTTATCATATTATTGTTGTGATGAAATTTTTTTTTCTACATCACTAATAAATAATTGATCAAATAATTAATTATATTCACAATCTTTTCCACACTCTCTCAATCAAATCATGTTGAGGAGAAAGGCTACAATTAAACACTTTTAGATACTTATAATTAATTTTGTAATTGATAATAATTTTGTAGATAAAATTGTCTTTTATTTCTTAATTGAATAAAGTTTTTTATTTTCTTGAATTCTATCTGATATTAAAAGTTTATCAGAACTAATTTACTAATAATATCACACTGATATTCATTATAATGTTCGTTTCAATTAAATTTTCAATTCCACATACACCTGACTAATACTTAATAGAACCAAAGTAAATACATCTACTTTATATATAAATTAAACAAAAAGTCATTTGAATTATCCTCCTTTGAATCATTAGAAGCAAAAGGAACTTTAGAAAGTTGAAGGGATGTATTAAATAATAAATTTTCTTTGAATCCTAGGAAAAGTAAAATTTTAAAAGGGGAGATCCATTAAGATGGTAAGAAAAGTGTTTTTACTATTGATAGTATAGAAATAAGCTTTTAAACTAATGTTTTCTTAAAGATTTTTATATTTAAGTTAATTTTAAAGTTTCTATAATCTTATGTAATTTATATTAAACCACACTTGAGTATAGAAACTTTCTTTTTCTTCAAAATAAACCTCTTAAATGAATAAAGTTTACTTCATTTTAGCTTATTCAATCAATTATTCTTGTTCATAAAGGGATTCATCAAAATTCATGATAATAATTACTCTTGCAATTCTTCTTTTGATTAATGATTCGAAGATAATCATCTATATATATAGCTATAAATCAAGTGTACTACATTCTCTTTCAAATTTAAGGATTGTTCAAGATAATCAAATTGATTATAGGAATTATACAGTTCCTTTATTTGATCAGTTATATAAGATATTCTATTGAGTTATGATAAATCTTAGGAGACAGAGCAAAAGATAATATTGTTTATAGTATCTGATAAGTTATAACTTAAAAAAAAAATTCAAAAGAAAACAAACAGGATCAATTATCTCAAAAATATCTATCTGTAGTATTTAATTAGTTTATGAAAAATAATATAAAAATTCAAAAATAGTTTATTAAGAGATCTCTATATTGGTTTTATAACTTTTCTGTTGATATCTTAATTATCAAGCTATTATTAATGTATTGCATACCATATATTAGAGGATTATTTTATTTTTTTAGAATTATCAAATTTTTTTTAATATCTTAAATAATTACAAATCTAATGATTTTTAAAACTAAATGGTTAAACTAAAGAGAATATCTGAATCTATACTTACAGAATTAGTAAAATAAGTTAATTATTATTTGATTAATAAATTTATGGTTTATAAAATTAGAAATAAATCATTCTTTTGGACAAGAGCAGGATGGAAGAATAATTGGCATCCTAAAAATTTCAATGCTCCTCGACCTTCCAGCTCAGAATTTACAATTGGTATTAGATGTAGATATGATCATAACTCATTTTTAAGAGGTTTTTTTATTTTATCTATATAAATAGCATATCACTCATATAGAAAGATCTCAAGACATTGCAAACAATATTTTTTTGGAAATAGAGAATTAGAAGAATTATTTCAAATGGGTTTGAGAACTTTTTTTATTGTTCCACATATAGCTGAATGTCAAGTCACATAGATTAAACATGGTGGTGAAAGAAGAATGGTTGATTAAATAGATAGAGACTTTGAATTAGTATCTTATAATTCACACCCTTATTAATTGTTCACTTACTCTGTATGGAATCAATATTTAGCAAATTAATAAGAAGCTTATGAATAAAGAAAGAATGGAGGTAAAGCTATTGAAGATTAAGTGATTGATCACATTAGGTAAAGATATATAATTATAGAGAATAGTGAATTAGTGAAGGATGAGAAGAGTAAATTGGGTCCTGGAAAATAATTAAGTATAGAGAGAACAGCTGAAATAGTGATGAATGTGATGAGATAATTAAGGGCTGCATAACAAAGACCAAATTTGAATAATAGGTAAATAGTTGAATAAAAAATTATAGAAGAGCAGATGGAGAATTTGATGATTTCTTAGAATAAAGAAGACCCTTTACAGCTCCTAATAATCAATCAGCAACTCATTGAATAGTAATAGTAATAGTAAAATCAATTAAAATTAAACATATCATTTATAAGATTATTAGATTAATCTTTGGCAATGTTACTTCTTAATCTTTTTCTACATTTTTTAATTGTTAAGGTTTATAATCTTCATCTGAATCATCATTGATGAAATTATTAATAATTTCATTTTAAGTTTTTTTAATAGTACTTGCATATTTCTTTTTTTTGTTTTGAACTTCATTCTGATTCAAATTATCATTATTATTTTCTTTATTCTATTCACTTTTTCTTTTATTATTATTCTTTAAATTAATTTTATTATTGAAAAGATAAAATAAACACAAGTTCTTCAAGATTTATAATTTTTTCTTGAAGTTCTTCAAATTAGTTTTTGAATGATTTTTTAATTATGTGATTTTTATTCAATTTCCTTTACAGTTTACTTAATAGTTAAAGTTTATTTTTAAACATTCCAAAATAAATCTTAGATATCAGAAGCTTAGCAATTAATCATCTAAATCTAAGTTTACAATTTAGTAATTTATTATGTTTTCTCTAGAAGATCCTTTTTCATTTGGATGATTTGTTATTAAACTAAAATGATAACATAATTTTACAATCTGAAGAAAATTATAAGGCTTCTTAAAATTATTCTTTTAATTTCTGCATTTGTATATAATTATATAATTATATATATATTATTTTGGGCATTCAATTTTATAATGCTTCTTATGCATAAAATTTAACATCTCTATCTGGATCTTCTACTAATTCATTAATTGCTCTATTAAATAATTAAATTATAATATACTATTTAATTTGATTCAAAGTTTATTAGTTATCAATTTTCTTTGACAAAGATTTAGCAACCCTAATGCTAACAAATCTAATATTTGGAACAGGATCTTTTAAACACTTTTATACAATTGGCCATAATCTATCTTAAGCAACAGGGCCATCAACAGAAAAAGAAATTTATTAGATTGCATAAAGTGCATTGATTCTATATAATGATCCAACATCTTTGGATAATGTTTCAACACATTTGGATAAAAAGTTTCCTACAGCCCATTCTTATTTATAAGTAGCAATCAAAGCAGGTAATTAACTTAATCCCATAGATCTAACTTCAGCTGCTCTATCTTTTAAAAACATTACAAAAACTGATTCCAATTACTTATTAAAAACATCTGGATTTTTGACAGTCCTTAAAATAATAAATTATTGAAATTGTACAAAGCTAATTAAATAATAGTTTGCATAGTTTCTTTTCTTACTCTCCATTTAGGATCATCCATAGATTTTTTGAGAAAAGGTACAAATTGATTTAAAGCTTCTGGACCAATAGCAGATGCAAATTGGCCTGCAGATTTTGCTGCATTTCTTCTTACATCTTAATTGTCATCTGCCATTAAATCAATTAAATATTATTATAATTTGCTTTGACTATATTCTTTTGGTAAAAGTGTAGCAATTTAACCAATAACTTCACATGCATTTTCTAAAATAAAAAATAATCAATACATTTAACTTAAGAAAAAGGATCTTTAGATAAGAGTTATAAAAGTGGAACAATTAAATTTAATTTTTCTGGTGAGACAAATTTAATAAATCTAGCTAAACTTTTAACTGCTATGACTCTAACATCACATTCTGTGTCTTTTAACAAATTAGAGAATATTTAAATAAGGGATGAATCAGCAATTTCTTTACCAACAGCCTCAGCTAACTAATTAAATATTATTAATTATTTTACATCTGCAAATATTTTAGATAATGCTAATCTTACTCTCCATGATTTATCTTCAGCTGATTATATAATAAGAGGTAATATATTTGTTTTATTCTCACCACTATTCAAAATTTTTGCTATATTCATTAAACTTTCCATGCATAATAATCTAACTTAATCCTATTCATCTTGACATAGTTATTTTAAAACAGGTATCAAATCCTGAATTACATGGATCTTATCCATAAATTAAGCAATTTCTCCAATTTTAGTAGCTACAGCTCTTCTTACCATAGGTGTTTCTTCACTACATAACTCAGTAAACTTTCTAATTAATATTTAAATTTGAATTACTGTCTAATTTTCTCTTTTTAATTGCCTGCTCTAGCATATAATGGACACATCAAACTGACTGCTGATACACGACAAGTAAAATTAGTATCATTTGATGCTAATCTAAGAATCTATAAAATTGTAAAAGAAATATTTACCATTGGTACTATAGTGTTAGCTATTTCATTGTCTGCTAAAAATCCACATACTATAGTAATGGATCTAACAGCCTATTCTCTTACAACAGTTTCATCAAATCCTGCCAATTATTCAAGGAGTGGCAATAGACAAGATGATTAATTTGGGATAATTTAACTAATTATAATCAAATATTAATTACGCAATATTTCCTAATTCTTCAGCTAATGCAAAAAGTACTTCATCATCTTCTTTTTTTAATAGACCTACTTTAATTAATTGCTATTACTTTCAAAATATGGTATTAATTATGACTTTATTTTATCATTACCTAATAAAGTGGCAACAACTTTCACTCTATGCATAGCATTGACTTTTAAATAAACTTCTTCATTTTCCATGTCTTCTTTTAAGACCTCAAAAGGATTTTCGCTCATAATTAAATAAGATTTATATATAACAAAGAAATTATTTCTAATAAAAAAGAAATTATTTCTAATTTATCAAAGAAAATTTATGAAATCAAATATATAAAAGTATAAAGATGTATTAAATTAATTTTAATATCTCTTTGAATATATTCATTTAAAAGGATATTCATAATTATTGACTTGACAAATATAGTAACAAAATAATAAATAAAATAATGTAATAATAAATTATATTAGGTTCCATCATTTGTTTTGCTACTTTCCTTCTGATTATTTTAATCATTGGATGGGATGTTGTTGAAATTACTAATTGGGGTTTAAAATGTAATTCAATAAGTAAACAATGTGATAAACAAATATATGCTCCAGGAAGATATTTAGTTGGACCATTCAACTCTTTTTTTAATTTTCCTGGTAGTAGATAAGCCATTGAATTTTCAGATGATAAACGAGCATAAAGTCAACCTCTCAAAACGAGAACTGCTGAAGGTCTTACACTTAGTTTACATGTTTCTTTTTAATATCAACTTATTAAGAATGAAATTGCTTTACTATATGCTATGGCTGGACTTAATTATGAAGCAACTTTTATAAGAATGGCTAGAGATACTATTTTATAAGCAGCTGGTAGATTTGAGGCACCCAAATATTGGACTAATAGGAGAAACATAACAGAAGTTATGCAAAAATAATTAGAAGAAGAATTGAAAAAGGCTCATGCTAATTGTGTATCACTTTAAATTTTAGATATTGATTTACCAGATTAATATGAAGATTCAATAGTTTAAACTTAAATAGAAGTTTAAAAGAAAACAATGAAATAATTTGAATAGAAAGCACAAATGATTTTAAATGATATTCTTGTTATGAGAGCTTAAAATGATTAAGAAATCTTTGTTATCCATGCATAAGCCTAAGCAGATGCTTTTACAATCACTTAAGCAGCATAAGCAAAAGCAAATAAATTATTATTAGAAGCTGAATCTAAAGGATATGAAATGATTTAAAAGAATCTTGAACTTAGTTAAGAAGAATTTAATCAATATTTATATTGGATTTCTATTTTAAAATAAAAAAAAGCTAAATTAGTATTCAATCCCAACACTGTATTAACTTTTAATATGAATCGTAATTGAATAATAAACATATATTTATTCATAATTAGTAGCTTATTAATTCTCTTAAACGAATATTTTCTCTATTAAATATTCTAACATCCTCAACTTCACTTGCTTTTATGAGATATTCTGTTAAATATTTCAATTCTTCATCTTTTTCATCAGAATTCCATTCCAATATTGGTATTCCATTATCAATTTGCAAACCAAAAGAATGTGCCAAATTATCAACAATTATAGTAGAACTTAAATCTATATCTTTTAAAGTTCTTAAATCTTTTATAAAGAATCCATTTTTTGTTTCCATACAATGATTTCTAGAAAATATTCCAATAATTTTAGATTGATCTGGATCCAAATAATCCACTATAACACTTGCATATGAGGATGATGATGCTGTGAAAATAAAAATTGAATATATCTCCGATAATTTATTTAAAAAATAATTTGTATATGGTCTTACATTAAAACTGATTTAATTAATGTTAACTTAAGCTTACTCTTTACTATGGCATGAATGAATTAATGTTTCATCTAAATCTAATAGAAGAATCTTTGATTTATTTTCTTCTTTTGGAATCTCTACTTGACGTGATTTTATAAATTAATCGCTGGGTCCTTTTAAACATTTGGTTGCATATATCAATCCTCTTTGAGTTAATAGTAGATGCTTTTTTAGAGTAGTTTCTGAAACAGATTAACCAAAGATTAGATGTCTAAAGGGATGATTTTTAATGGAAACTTCATATTATTTTTAAGGTTTAGATTCAGCATCAGAATGAGTTTATTTATTTTATAGAACATTTCTAGCTGTATTTGTAAAGAGTTATTAAATTGTATTAGGTTTTGGTTTGAATTTTGATTATTATGGTTTTTAGAGAGACTTAGTAGAAGGAGTAATTGGAGTTCCACAATCAGAATCATCAGTTTAAAACTCTTTATTATTTTTAGTGGAATTAATTGAATGAGGTGTCGTACTTTCTCCGTCATCAGAACAAAATTATGATTTCTTATTAGGTTTAGTTAATGTTAATTTATGAGTATTGTAATGTTGTTTTGAATTCATTTTTTTTAAAGGGTATGATATGTAAATATTTAATTATATATGTCAAAATAAAATACTTATTAAAATTGAGATCATATACATTTAATTAGAAATATCTATACTAATTTATTACTCTTTATCAGTATTTTATGGTCTGATATTTAAAATATTAATTTTTATAAAATAAAATGGAATTTCAAGAGTTGGAAAAAAAGTATGAAGAATTAGAAGAATAATGGAAATAAAGTTGTTTAAAGGTTCAATAATTAGAGGGTTAAAATTTACAATTAGTTTAATAATTAAATGAATAGATTTAAGAAATTAATAACTTAAAAAAAAAAGATTAACATCAATCAGAAGAAATTTAATAATTGAATGAAATGGTGACTGATCAAATTAAATAGAAGAAACAAAATGAGAAAAAATATGATGAATTAGAAAAGAAATATGCAAAATTAAAAGAAGAATATAAAAAATTAGCTACTAAATTAGAGAATAGAGACTTATAAATTTAATAATAAGAAAAAGAATACAAATAAATAACAGAAACTGCTTAAAGAGATACTTAAGCATTGATAAGTACTTATGAATAAAAAATAACAATATTGGAATAAAGTTAGATTCCAAAATAATAATAGATTTAAAATAAATCAATTATTGATTATGTAAAACTATTCTTGATCTCTTAAGTTGCCCATCCTATTTTCTATATTATGTATAGCAAAAAATAATGACATCAAATTTTAATTATATATCTAAAATATAATTATTTATAATAATACTTAATATTTTATTTTTTATATTTTTTTTACATTAATAAATGAATATTTTCATAAAATAAATAATATGTCTAATTAAAAATTTAAATTAATCAAACTCCATTCTATTCATTTTAAGAATGGTTATTCTCATGATGAATTTCAGTCATTTCAAATACAATAGAATCATTTACCTTTGAATGTGGAGCTTCTTCGGTTAAATTAAAAACATCAGCTGCTTTTCTAACACCAATCTTTTTACCGAAATCCTCCCATTATTTATTCTCTCTATAAAAAGTATTTTAATTATACACCAAAAAATAGGCAGCAAATGTAGAGAATCTAATATATCAAATAATTAAATACAAAACTCCCCAAAATGCTCCAACTATTGAAATCATATCAAAGGATGTTTAATAGGTTAAAACAGAGATTTATTATGTCTAAAATTAATATAATTTTTGATACTAATTCTGTCCGAAATCCAATTTGATATGCGTTGTAAGTATTATATACACTTACATTAGTAATCCAACTATTAATTTTTTCTGTACTTAAGAAGATTCTAACATCATCTTACCATCTTCTTAAGAAATCTGGCTTTATTGTATATTTCTCAAGTTAGAAGAAAATTTCAGTTCTGGGATATAACCCAGGCATTAGAAAGTATTAATAAGTAGAATAGGGTACACTCTCCACAGATTATCCAGTAGTAAGATCAAAGTTGGGTGAATTGTCCTGAATGTATAATAATATTCTTCCACTTCGTAAATTAGATTGAGAATCTATACCCAGCTGCAATCTATGCAATCTCTTGCTAAGTGATACAAGTTTAATTGCCTCCTTAACTGCAATAAGTCACTTAAATTCTGGGATATGTAAACTCTGGAGTTTAATAAAGAGCTCCTGACATATTTGCGGACTCACTAACATGTAAATAAGTAATTATACTTTGGACATAGGATTGTAAAATTAGAAGCTGGAACCCAATCTGGATTGCAAGATTTTAACGGGATTTATGTTTTTACATCTTTTTTTGAGACATCTTAGAATTTGGTAACTTAAAACATTTCAAAATAGAAGATTGAAGGATCATTTATGGTTTTTGTAAACCTAAAATATATTTCAAATTTTTATATTTACGGATCTCCAAAAAAGTATCCAAAAGCTATGTTTGGTAATGTTACATTTTAGGCCTCCAAGATTTCTTCATATTAATTTACAGTTGGACTGTTGTTTGTAATAAATGCTAAAATTTTAATCTTTATAAGTACAAACAAGAGTATAAATAAAATAAGCTAAAAAACATCCTATCATCAAAAGACTTCCATATAAACTTCTTCTAGAAGATACCATCTCAGTTTTAGGAACAGGCATAAATTAGAAAAGATCAAAAGAAGCTATTAATCTTCTTTTTATTGTCACAACTCCTTTTGATTCTTCTTCATTCTCTTTTTTCTTTTTTTCTTCTTCTACATTATTGTCAACTTACATAAATTAAATATTAATTGACTAAATACTTTATTATCATTTAAATATTCTTATTTAAATTTCAGTATCTAAATAGGAATTATCAGTATTCATTAAGAATATTAAGAATGTAATAATATATGATTTTTATATGTATTAATAACAAAATTTCAAAATTGATAATAATTGATTCATATTTACATTCTTTTGTAAATAATATTTATAAGCTATAATTTTAGCTTATAGATATCTTTATCTATTATTTGATAACTTTTTAATTTTGTTAAATCTTCATTTTCAAAATCTTTCAATATTTAAAGAATGAGTTGTATATTTTCACAAATATTAATTTAGATCAACAATTATTTAAGAGACTAATAACAAGTCTACTTTTGATCTTAACATCTTATTACAGATATTGGATTGATGTGTATTGATTCATCATAATATTAAATTATGTCATCTATATTTATATTATTATTATTATTTTACTGCTTTAAAATGCTATATTATATTCAATAACTTTTTTTATAAATCTACATAGTGCTCTTATATTAATTGTAAAATTATGATGAATAAATTTTCTAGTCTAATTTTACTTAATTTAAATTACAATTATTCTTAACTTATAGGTTTCATCAAACTCTTTATCAATTTAAATTTCATTTATGGGCATAACTAATCCATTATATGATTGTTTAATCTTTGCTATTGCTTATTTTAATTCTTATACTAAAAAATATCTATTAATGTTATACAAGTATTAAATACAAGAGTTTATCTATAGTATTCCTAATTGTCTAAATTAGAGAAGATCAATTCAAATTATTCATCAAATAGTGGTTCTTCTATCATTTTTTCATTTGATTTAATTAATGAACCATTGTCAGTTGAACATTAAGAATTGCCGGATAATGGAGATTATAAGGTATGAATCTAATATTGATAGAATATTAATTTACCAGTTACACACTTTCAAGTTCTTGGTTACTAATTTAATTATTTACAATCAAACATTGTTTTTATACACATTTTTGTTATTTTAAGACAGAAAACCTATCCTTATACATTTTTCGTAATTTCAAACTTTTTTTTATATATATTAACACACTTCGATTTGTATTCTATTTATTTACATCAATTACTAAAAAGCCGGGAAAACATATGAATTTCACAAAATTTCTTTTTCGCACAAAAAATAGCATTACCCTGCAATTTTATTCCTCAAATATTCTTTGAATCTTTAGCACAAAAACTATTAAATGGTATTAATAAAACTCTCTTTATTTTTTAAACTTTAATTATTATAACAATGATATCTATTTGAAAACTAAGTGTAGAATGCAAAATATCAATTGATAATAATTATAAAAATTTTGATTAAAATTTAGATGTATTTTTAATATTATATTACAAATCAGTATCTCAAATTTTCTTAAACATAAATTTGTAAAAAATACTTAAAGAAAGAAAAATTGAGAAATATAAATGAAAAAAAAGTATATTTATAAAAATTAATGTTTTTAAAATATTGGATTTTATACCCAGCTATTGCAGGATGCTTCATAGGCATAGGACATTTTGCAGCGTTTTATCTATCAAGATTGTTATTGAATCAAGTATGGTTTAGAAATACGTTAAAATACCTAATGATTGATGATGAGTATAAAATTTAATGAATCAATGTTGTGATATCATTTATCAAAATTGTATGTCAAATTAGAAGTTTTGGGAATGTACTTTGAAATCTCTTATAGTACACTTAATAACTTGCTTGTCTTAATGTAATTGATAATGGGATATGATTTATGATTGTTGAGAATTTAAGTATAAAAATAAGAAGAAAATAGTGGTTATTTCTAAGACTATATTAAATCAATATGAGAAATCAATATTGATTTTAACAAATAGAATTTACTTGAGTAAACAATAATAGTTCATTTATGATTGGAGATTGAAAAAGTCTAAAACTTGAAGTGATGGAGATTATTTTAATATCAGAGATTATATATAGAAAGGAATATTATTTTAAAGTAGAAAGATTTAATTGGCAATAATTAAAAATCTATAGGAGATATAGGTGAAATTTACTAAATTATTTACTAGTATTAGAAGATAAAATAAAATAATGAATGATTTTAGTATTTTTATATGATTTATTATTATTAACATTATAAATAGGAAGAATTGATTAAAAAATAGTAAATGTAAAAAAATGAATGATTAAATTTTAATAAATTTTTAATTATTAAAACTTGTGATTTATAATGCCACAACACGATTATATTGAACTTCATCAAAAAAGATTTGGAAAAAGACTTGATACAGAAGAAAGAGCAAGAAAGAAGGCAGCTAGACAACCTCATGAATTGGCAGAGAAAGCATAAAATCTTAAGGGTCTCAAAGTATATATAAATGAAAATATTTTAAAGGCCAAAATGTTTAACAAGGAAAGATTTAAGGAGAAGGCATTGATGAAGAAATAAATGTTAGCTCATGAAGAGAAAGATATTGAAGTCAATGTTGAAGATGTTAAAGATGGAGCTGTTCCTACATATTTATTAGATAGAGAATAATAATAATAATCAAAGGTATTGACAAACATGCTTAAATAAAAAAGGTAGATTATATTATTTAATCATTAGATAAGAGAAAGCAGGTAAATGGGATGTTCCTATAGCAAAAGTTAAATAAATGTCAGAAGGAGAGATGTTTTAAGTAATTGAGAGTGGAAAGAGAAAATAAAAGTCTTGGAAAAGAAGAATAAATAAGGTATGTTTTGTTCCAGAAACATTTACTCGTAAGCCTCCTAAATTTGAAAGATATATTAGACCTACAGGACTTCGTTTTAAGAAAGCAAATGTTACTCATCCTGAACTAAAAACAACATTTAGTTTACCTTTATTGGGAGTTAAGAAAAATCCATAATCAGCATTATATACTACACTTGGAGTAATAACAAAAGGAACTGTTGTTGAAGTCAATGTAAGTGAATTAGGTTTAGTAACATAAACTGGTAAAGTGATTTGGAGTAAATATGCTTAAGTAACAAATAATCCTGAATTGGATGGATGTATTAATGCTACATTGCTTGTTTGATTTTAAGATGTTCATATATCTTATAATTAGTATTTAAATGTAGAAAATTGTCTTTATTATTTATAATAATATAATCTTAATGAGAATTTATAAATAAATATAATTATTTGAATGAGTAAGAATAAACCTAAGCCAGCAGATGCTAAACCATAATTATCAAGTATACTTCTTTCATTTATCATTTATAGAAGCAGAATAGGAAGCTTAAAATAAAGCTAAATAAGTTAACGATGTTGAAAATGAGGCGTATAAGGTATTATAATTTTGAAACTCCTTTAGAAATAAATGAGAGAAGAAATTAGATTACTTAAAACAGATATAGATGCAGAGGAGAAATTACTTTCTTAATATTAATAAGAAAGAGAAAAGATAAATTACAACTGGATCATTGCTAAAAAGGAATTGGATGATAAAAAAAGTGATTTTATAAACAAAGAAAGAGAAATTTAAGATTTAAAGGAGAATCACTTTATGTAATTGAATCTTTATAAATAAAAGTAAGATTTAATTATATTTTATAGAATTAAGCATCTGTTATTTTAAAATTAGGATTAGTAAAGTGATTTAAGAAAGGATGTAGAAGTCACATTAAAATAATTAGAGGATGATCATAGAATGAAGGATAGAGAATTGAAGACTGATATTCGATCTTTGAAAGTTTAATAGAAAGAAGCTGATTTAGCATAAAATGATTATATGTTTGCACTTAAAACAGAATATGATCGTCAAGCTACTTAATTGAGATAGAATTTTGAAAGATAGGCAAATGATTTAAAAGAGAAGTATCATTTAAAAATGGAAAAACTAAGAAGAGAAATGGAAGAAGCAAGAAATAATCTTATTAAAATTCTTTAAGAAAAAAAGGATCTTAGAATATAATAATTAACTAAAGAACATTCAAAAAAATATACAGAAATTAAAAATTATTATTCTGATATTACTGCTACTAATTTAGATATGATTAAGAGTTTAAAGAATGAGATTACAGATCATTAAAAAAAAGAAGAAAAAGATAAAAAATTATTATAATCAATTGAAAATGAATCTAAAAATTTAAATGAACCACTCAAAGCTATTAAAGAAGAAATTAAATTTTTAATTAAAGAAAAAGAAGAATAAGCTCAAGTAGTATAATAGAAGGAATAATTGAAATTAAAAATAGATGAACTTGAAAAGAAATTTAGAAATTTAGAATATGAATATGAAGTTAAATTATAACATTTTTAATATATGGAGAGAGAAAGAAAATCTCTTGAAGACAAATTTAATTAAACAATTCAATTTATATAATAAAAAACTGGTTTATAAGTATAAATTAAATATATATTATAATAGAATCTAATTTTGGAAAAGAAAACATCTGCAATATAAGAAGAACTTGAAATTAAAGAATTATAATTGAATTAAGTATTACAAGGAGCAAATATTGATTAAAACACTATAAGTAATTTAAAATATATATAATTTAGATGTAATCACAAGATAGTATTAAGAAATTGATGTATAAAAATCAGCCCATATAGCTGAATTGCAATAATAATTAACTTAAATAAGAAAGGCTCATTCTCATATGGTTAAGGCTTATGATGGTAAATTAGCTGAGTTTGTTATTCCTGTTGAAGAACTTGGATTCGATCCTTTAGTGCCAACTTTTACAGAATGAGTTTCAGAATATTACATTCAGTTAATTTATATTATGTTATAAAGAAGAAATATTATTAAATGTTAAAAAATAGACCGATTCTTTGTACTGAGGAGCCTCTTGATGAAGATCAAATATTTATATAGTCATATCAGGTTGAATAGGAAGTTCCAAATGTTAGTGTAAGTATAAGTGAAGTAAGTCAAAGTCAAGAAGATTCAAAGAAAGTTTTTGAAATACCTTAAGTATTGATTGAACATCATGAATAAGAAAAATTAAAGGAAGAAGAATTTAGAAGGAAATCAGAACCAAAAAAAGGTTTTGCAAAATTAGTTTAACTTTTACATATAAGATAATTTATCCATTAAATTCTTGCCAAAAGAAGATTGATATCTAAAATTACCAAATATCATTTATAAGTGATTAATGATAAAGCATCTTCTCTAGATGATGTTGGTTTTAGAAAATATGGAATAACAATAAAACCATTAATTTAAAGTTTACAAGAAAATACCTAAGCTCATTTAGGGAATCAACAGTAAAAATTAAAGTAATAATAATTTTAGAAGAAAGTAGTTGCTTATGTAGAGAACAAAAATATTTATAGGAAGTTAAATGTAAAGATTTTATGGTCTAATATAAAAAATTCCATTAATTAAACCAGATTCAAAGATGAAAGTAGTTTGGGACAGTATTCTATTTATTTGCAGATTTTATTTGCTTTTTACAATTCCAATAGATTTAGCTTGGCCATCTATATAATTATTATTTTATACTTTAGAAGTTCCAACAGTAATATGTATAACACTTTTGATAATGGATTTTTTTGTTTGTTTATTCTAATCATATTATCATCAAGGATAATTGGTAACAGATAGAATGAGTATATTAAAACATTAGATAGGTAAAGCATATGGCTTTGAAATGATAGCAAATATTCTACTAATAATATTTTATAATATCTCTAATCAATATGATTATGGATTTAATGTATTTGAAAATCCTTATTATATATTTCTATTTCTATAATTTGTTCAATATAAGAATATTTCATAATTAAGATAACAATTAGAAGATGCATTAAATTTGTCAAGAGAAGCTGCATCTTTAGTGGAACTTTCAAAACTATTTGTTTTATTGTTTTTTGTTATACATGTATTTGCATGCTTATGGTTTTGGGTTGGACTTTATAGTGAAACATATTTAGGTATTAGTTGGTTAGAGGCAAAATCTGTTTTAGATAAATCTTTTGCTGATCAATATTTATATTCATTTTATTATTCTACTGTAACTATGTTTACAGTAGGTTATGGTGATATAACACCATAGACTAATCCTGAAATGATAGTTTCAGTTATATTTATGTCTGTTTGTAGTGTATAATTATCTTATAGTGTAAGCACTGTGAGTTCTATTATTGAATAAATAAGTGGATTCAAGGAAGAGAAAAAAAGAAAGTTTAATATAATCAATAATTATATGTAATCAAAAAATATAAGTTATGAATTGTAATTTTAGATAAGAGAATATTTAAATTATTTTTGGACTATGAAAAGAAATGAAGAATCAAATGAAGAAAAAGAAATTATTGAAGAATTGTCTAGTAGATTAAAATAAAGATTGATTTTTGAAGCTAATTCAAGAATTCTATATAATAGTCCTTTTTTTAAGGAGAATTTTTCATTAAATTTTAAAAAAGATTTAGTAAGTAAAATCACTTCAATTACTATTGCTCCAGAAAATGTTCTAGATTACACTAAATAATCATAAGATGAACATAGTTTATCAATATTTTTTATAGAATAAGGTTAGATAGAGGTTTTTATAGAAAATGAATAATTAAGTGAATTATCAAGAGTTTATAAATTAAAAGAAGGAGAGAGTTTTGGATTCTTAAGTTTTATTACAGGTAATCCTAGTGTTGAAAAATATAAGACTATAGGATTTACTAAATTGTTAATAATAACAAGGAAAGATTTTTTAGATGTAATAAAAGATTATCCTGACGATTATGAAATATTCTATAGTTTTTTTGAAGAATTGACATTTAATTCTGAAAGTGAATTACTTACTATGGAATGTTTCTCTTGTAAATCAAAAACTCATAAAGCAGTTTCATGTCCTCTCCTTCATTTTAAACCTGATCGAGAGAAGGTTATTAAATCAGCTTAATTTAGTTGGGAATAATAAAGGGATAATAAAATAAAACGAAAGGATATTTGCTATATTAAGGCTATTTTGGGTTAAAGTATTTTAAATGATGTAGCTAAACAAGTCTAATCAGATAATCAGCAATTAACATATTTATATGAAGAATTTGATGAAGAAAAATCAGTAACTCCAAAAGTCTAATTTATTGAAAATTCAGATGAAAAATCAAATTTAAAGAACAATAATAATAATAATGATTAAAATATATAAGTATTTGATTTTAAGGAAGAATCATTCAAACCTCAAAATAAATAGAAAAAATAATTATTAAGAAAAAAGTAGACATTATAAGATATAGGTGATATTATGTAATATAATAAAAAATAGAAGGAAGCAAAGGAGAAATTTAGATCTATTGTTAAGAAGGTTAATCTTATGAATGATTTTGTTGAAAAGCAAGTTGAAGATTCTTAATAAAAATTGAAATCTTAATATAGAGAGTATTTGAAAATTATATAATATCGAAAAAGTAGGATATAACATGTACGAAATATATACTCGAATAAGACTATTCATGAATTGGAATTTTTTGAACTCAAACTAAAAATGCTCTTATCAAAAGAATTTGATATACATTTAGATGTATAGAAATCCTATAAATATTTTAAACCTAAAGAAAATTTATATTAGGTTTTAAGTAGAACAAAAATATCAATGTTATCAAATACTAATGAGATGCAAATATTTTTGTAGTAAAAATCTTAGCAATTAATTAAGTATCTATTTTATCCATATTTATACATCCAAAAATATGTATTTAAATATAGGTAGTCAGATAATTTGGGAGAGACAAAGAAAAAATAATTATTTAAAAGAAACAATAGAATATCTCTAGCATTCATTATGTAATAGCATTCGTCAATTAGAAAACCTTGAACAATATTATTAATATTAAAGTATTTATGTTATAGTATTTATTACAATTTTGGCTAAGATGTATTTTACTTAAATTACAAATTATTATTATAATTTTATAATCTAACATATATTTAATGTAGCATAATTTATAAATAATCTTCAATCTACTCAAAACCATTATTCATTAATTAAAAAATTATCACTTCTCTCACTTAAATTAAGAAATATATAAAAATAATATTTTCTAAAAATTCATAATAATTTTGAGTATTTTGATACTCAAATTGATTTATAATAAAATAGTAAGTGGAATATCGTACTCTCTTTTATTTTATATTTTGAATTAAGTATTAGATTATATTTTAACTATTTCAAATATTAAGATCTAAAAATAGTATTCTAAGAATTAATGATGAAAATGGATATCCACTTTTATATTGTTAAAAAATACTTTTTATATCAATATCAAAATAATAAAAGATCATTTAAAACACTCGATTAACAGAAAGTTTTAAACTATTTTAGATATAATGTAAATAAGAAATTATCATCGATGATACATTTATGGAAATTAATTTTGTTATACTTCTTACATAAATTCCTGCATTTTGGTTTTGTATACATTAATCCTTTATTATAGATAGGCTTCTATAATTTAAAAATATGAAGAAATTAGATGGATTAGAATTTCTCGGTTATAAGATCTTGATTGCAATGTTTAATATTTGTAAACATTTTCTTTGAGAGAATAGTGATGTTATTAACAATTACATATAGAAATAATGATTAAGGTTTTGAATTTAGAGTAGACCACATTCATATAATACATATTGATTATGATCACTTAATTACTATACTTTTAAGTTTCATGATGAGAGAGAATATGAGAGATAAAAGAGAGCATGATATACTAAAGAGAGTATGATATATGAGAGAATATGACTAAGAAATTGAATATAATGAATATAGATAGGAAGAGATAAATGTTTACTTTTATTTTGAAGATAGAAATAAAAGAGTATTTAAATTACTATTAGTAAAGTTAATAGGATTTCAAGGATTAGAACAAGTTAATTTGCTAATTATTAGAATGTTTAAAAATGGTAGGGCAGTATTAAACAAAGATGAATAATTGATAAGGATTTAAGTTGTGTAAGAGTTAGACTTTGAATAAATTGTTATTAAAATGATTGTAGAGTTTATTAACTATATAAATGAGAAAACATCTTGAAAATAAAAAAGCCATTTCAAATTGGATGATAAATAGTTTTATAACTTGTAAATAGTACATTATCGAAATTCAAATAATTAGTATTCACTAAGGATTATTATTTGATATATATAATACAGAGAAGCAAATACACTCAATTAAATATTATTCATTCTATTTATGTCAACATAATTTAAATTATTCAATTCATTTTGTACTTGATACAGAGTAATTTTTAAAAAAACCCCTTTAGGTCACAAATTTAAGAGATGATGGCTTATCATAGAAATGGTCAAATGGATTGAAAAATTCAATTTAAAGGATTTAAAGAAATAAATAAAATATATTATGTCTTAAAAAGAATAAAATAGTTATGTTATAAAAAGTGAACGATATCATATCTAAATTCTAATACAAGTTTATTCATTCATTCATTCATTCAAATGATTATTATTCAAATAATAAATATCAAAAAAATGAATGGATATAAAATAATAGATTTTAGTTAGGTTGTAGGATAGTAATTATATATAAAGAATGGAAGACTTCCAGGAATAAAATTAGTAAGATATAGACTCTTATTGTTAGATTAAATTAATAAAAGTTCAATTTACATGATTTTTAAATTTAACATGAATATGAATTTATAAGAGTACCAATACTTTTTAGGATTTCTAGAATGGTGTTACAATTAGAGATTAGATTAATAATGAAATATACATCTCATACATTATTCATAGGGGATGTATGAGTTAAGATTTGGATTGTTAATCAAATAATATCATAAATTATTGAAGAAGGAAGAATGTGATTTTGATTTGAATAATTTATTTAATATGTAAGATAAAATGCTTGTTAGTAATACAGGAATTAAGCTATTTACTGATGGGAATCAGACAGAGGGAGTGCCTTTTCGATAATAAGTCTAAGGGTAATCTTCAGGAGGTGAATCATTAATGATGTACTAGAAGATACTCACTCAAAAATAAGAACGTAAAACTCACTATGTATAATAATTTTGCAACAATCTTAAATCGCAATCGAATAAATTTGGAGTTATTCCTGAAGATAATTTATCGTTTATTGGAGACAAAACCTCATATCGAAATTCCAATACAATTAATATCAGACTTATGCATAAAAACTTTTCATTACAATTAGAATTGAAGTTTTTTGAGAAGATTAAACAGTTTTTTTCAAAATATTTGAACTTGCTAATTTAAAGTCTTAAAAGAATAGAGTTATTTCAACCAGAATCATCTATAAAGTTGATATGGGATTCAGCATCATTGGTTTCAAGATTATATTTTTTATTTCTAATACCCTTAGATATTGCATGGAGTAAATATTCATTTATGTTTGATATGTATAATTTAACATCCTTTATATTTTAAATGGTTCTTTTAGGAGATTTGATAGTAGGTCTAAATACTGCATTCTATAAATAAGGACAATTAGTGACAGATAGAAAATAGATTGTTTATCATAACTTTTAAAAATGTTTTGGTTTAGAATGGACTTCAACAATATAATTACTGGTCTATTAGATACTAACTCAGGATCCAATGATAACCTAATATATCAAAGACTACAAAATATATCTTACACTTGTGACCTTCTTAGTTCATTACAGTACTATACAAGAATGTTTGGAATATTATGAAGAAGGACTTAACCTTAGTAAAAAAGCATCATCCATTATTGAACTTATTAAACTGATCGCAGTTTTATTTTTTATAATACATATGTTTTCATGCTTTTGGTTTTGGGTAAAACAATTATTGATTCTAGGTCGGTGATTATAGTCATAACAATTATGGAGTGAGTTGGTTAGAGAATATTGTTGATTAAGATTGGGAAATCTAATATTTATCATCAGTATATTATTCAACAGTTACAATGTTTACAATTGGATACGGTGATGTTTTACCATAAAGTAATTTAGAAAGAATTGTTTGTTGTTTATTCATTATTATGGCAAGTTTACAATTACCTTATAGTATCAATACAGTTGGAGCTATCATTTCCAAAATTAGTGAATATGGAGAAGATAAGAAACGTAAATTGAGAATCATCAATTCATATATGCAAAAGAAAAGAATCCCATTTCAATTATAAAGTGAAATTCGTTAATATTTAAACTATTATTGGTAATTAAATAAAGAAAAAGATGCAGAAGAGGCTGAATAGATGATAAATCAATTATCTGAGAATTTAAAAGAAAGATTAACCTAAGAATCAAATTCTGTTATTTTGAATTAATGTGCTTTATTTCGATATCGATTTACACCAGCCTTTAAAAGAGAACTTATCAAATCATTAAAGACTAAGATATTAGCACCTGAAACTATTGTTGGTGATAAAAAAGAATTAGTTTATATAGAATCTGGAATTATAGATATGTATGGAGATTAATAATGTAATCTAAAATTATAATCTTTCCATGCTAATCAAACTATAGGTCTTATTCCTTTTATAACTGGCAAATTATAACCTGAAACTTATAAGAGTCAAGGTTTTTGTTTGCTTATGACATTATCACATAGAAAATTCAAAAAAGCATTAAAAGATTTCCCAAATGATTATGAAATCTATTGTCAAATGAAGGACTATTTATTATTTAATGGAAATGAAACTACTATATTCCCAAGGAAATGTTATGCTTGTTAAAGTTCTAAACATTATTCACATGAATGTCCAGTGGTTCATTATGTACCTGACAGAGAAAAAATAATAAAAAAACATACAATTTCTACATTCTAATAAAGAAAACTAATACCACGTTAAGAATAGAAAAGAAATAGATATCCTTCAAGGAAAGTGTCCTAATAGTCTCTAATTAGGGCCTCATTTATTGTGCAATAGGAAAATTAGAACATTGTTAGATTATATGATATACCATACATAATTGAGGAAGAAGCTAAAGTTCATAGTTTGGATTCCTATAACAGTATCAAGAAAAAACCTAAGCAAAATGAAGAGACAAGGAAAAAATTAATGGCTAAATTTAAACACTTAGTGAAGAAGATTACACTTATTGATAAATATTATCCACAATTTCTTATGATAGTGTTAAAGAAATTTAGACATAATTAAAATTATTTTAGTTAATAATCACAATTGAAATAATTATAATTAAGATATGATCATATTAAATAATTAACAAAAGTGGATCCTAAATTACTTAATGATATAGATGATGTTATAAGAATAAATTCAGAATATGATTTGTGTTAAAATACAGAATTCGAAAGTCCTAAAAATTTCATGCATTATAATCCTAAATTTAATTTTAATAATATTAAATTGAAAATAGACAAGGCTAAGATGAGAATCTTGAATGAATTCCAACGATATTGTTTACATCCTGCTCTAATTATGCGAAAATTCCATTCAACTAAAACATCTTAAGATCTAATAACTTATAAAAGGAGGAAGAATGTATTTTTATGAGTTAATAAATTATTCATAATTATGATGATTAATGGTGATATAATTTCATTTTAGATTTTATCTAATCTAGTTGAAAGAAAAGATACTGTCATCATCTTCATAATCAAAATCTGATTCATTTGAATTTGTTTCTGAAAAACTTGTACTTGAATTCTAATTTATGACATATGGATCTGATGCTTCAGCCATACTTTCAATAGCTGATTCATCAACTCCTCTTCTCATTCTAAAGTTTCCTCCTTCTCCCCATTGATTTCCCCAACTATTTTATAACATCCAAAACTTAACGCCATCTTCTTCTCCCCAACCATAACATAAAACAGAATGATCAACTTTTTCCTATTTATAAATATTATTTTGAATACCCATTCAGCATAATCATTAGTTTCTGCCTTTGAATGATAAATACCAGATTCATAATACATGAAATCATAAGATGGTTCAAAACTTAAAACAACAGGACCATTCTTCATCACTTCTGCCATTATAACTGATTCTGAGACTCTGCCATATGAACCTCCTAAATATTTATAGTTTCTATAAGAATTTAAAAATGTATAATATACTTGGTAGAATAAACTTTTGATTATGATTTGGCTTTTTAGAAATTACAAGATCCATCAAATCCTTGATATGGTTCTGCTGCTTCAGAAACAAGTACTTATTCTTCAGCAAATTTATTTACTAAATAAGGATAACCACCATCACATCCTTAATTATAATAATTGCAATTTAATGACCATTAAGGGGAGAGATCAACATTTTCACCTTGTATTTTTAATCTTGCTGATAACATAGACATTGTGGCTATAGCATAACAAGATCCACATTATCCTTATTGTCTAGGTGGTGCAAGTTTTCTAATTTTGATTAAATATTTATATACTCTTTCCAATTAAAAGATTTTGGTAAATCTGAATAATCACCAGTTTGAACAAACATTTTATTGGCTGTTTAATCCTATTATTTATATGATTTGTCTTTTTTGAATCCAAGTTTCTTTCCCAAAGACTTAGCAACTTCAGCAAAACTCTTACCCTTCATATTATCATAAACTTTAGCTTTCCATGTTCCTTCCTTCTTATTTAATTTCTCAACAACTTCTTCATGATTCACTTCTGGTGTTTTTTCTTAAACTTATAAAAATGATAAAGATTTCAAATCATCATCATCCATATATTCAGGTTATACTATACTAACTGTTTTGATAGATTCAGATGACTCTACTTTTTCTGTCTTTTCAGCTCTATAACATCCTCTTTCTTATGTGTCTAAATTTGTATACCATCCTACAAGAGTTTAATCACAATGTGACACTCCTTCTCTACCTTTTGGCTCATATTTTGAGAATGCAAAATATTTCACATTACCTAATTTGATTTCAAAACCTTCATCATAAACCATAGTCCATTCACCTGATTTTGAACTTGATTTAACTTTATAATCATCTCCTAATGTAACTTCAAAATCTTATGATGGTTAAAAGTTGCTAGAATAAGCCATATATGATGTCTTGGCTCTGTCAGGAATTTCATGTCCACATGGTAACAATCCAACACCCTTCTAAGTTGGTTTTTCTAAATATAGTCTCCACTTTCCTGCAACCTAGTGTTTTAAACAATGGACAGGTAAATCACAGACTACAAATCCAATCATACATAATAGGATAACGAATCTCATTTTAAGAAAATATATATATTAACAAAAACGGAATAAATTATTAAAGAAACCTATGTTAATATAATTACAATAAATTAATTATACTAATAAACAAATTGAGACAACTCAATATATGATAATTTATTATAAAGGAATAACAATTTCATTATTGGAACTATAAAGAAAGCAATTCAATATACATTACAGATGATTATTTTGCTTATAAAACAGATGAATTTAAAATTATGATAAAGTATATCAAGATTTTTAAGTTTCAATAATTCAAAGAAATTGTTAATGATATCTTAATAACTGATTCTCAAATTTATATAGAGAGAATGAAAATATTAATTTAAATTGTATAATATGGCTATTGATGATTGTCATAATTATCATTAAAGTTTATAGCAAATCATTAGTTTAGAGATTAATATAATTAATCAACTTTAGAAGGAAGGCATTCAATTAAACAGATAGTTGAATATTTTCCTGAATTGACCATTTTAGTTTGTAGAGGGATTACTATAGATAATTATTTAAACTTGAGTTAATATTTTAATTTATAAGAAGTTCATAGAACTAAAATTATTGGAATTTCTTTTGTTAAAGATGTTTAATATAATATTTATGTGAGTATTTTAAATTTAATATTCAAACATCACATCAACTAAACCTAGTAAAGAAATGATTCCATTATAAGTCAAATAAATCATTTATATCTTAGAACTTCAATCATCGTTAATCAGCTTCTGTTTTGTATAGATAATATGAATCCAGAAAACAATCTCCTGTTACACATGTTGTTGTTACACATAATCCAAGAAGAAGTCATTAATTTGATGGTAGATCCAATTCACCATCTAAAATTCTAACTACATCATATGTCTATCCTAAAATTATACAATCCACAGAATTGAAAACTAGAATACCTACTTAAGTATATATCAACATTTTAATCTAGGGTTAAAATATCCCTATTTAAGAAGCACTTAAAATTTATTCATCTAAACCTAATACTGATTCATAAAATAATTCAAATAAGGTCTCTTTTTACAATCAAGAGAAATTTAATGAAAGATCAACCTACACTAAGACTACTACTGGGGAAAGTTAAGATGAAGAAAAATCTTCTAAGCAAAGTATTCTTATTTCTCTTATTAGAACCATCAATAATTTATTAAAAACAACTACTAGACAAAGATTTATAAATATTGCAATTATAGAAAGAAATCAAATAAATTAAAGAATTAAATGTAATTTATTTAATTAAGTATTTTAGAAAAAATATCAAAACATAGAAAAGGAATATGATAAACTTGTACAAGAAAATAATAAATTGAAATTACAAATCTAATTATAATAAGTTCAAATAACTTAACTTACCCATTAATAATCTTTGATCTCTCCAGGAAGACCATCAGAGTATGTAAGTGCATTGAGTGAATAGGATAAACTAAAAATAAAGACTCTACTAGAATGTGAATGAATTTGTTATTATAATAATATATTCACTAATTTAGGAATTTAAATACATATTCAAATTTTATCATTCAAGAGTCATCTTTAAATATTTAATATTATTATTGGACTTTCTTGAGATGAATATTTTTATTTTTTCTATTTAAGAGAGAGATCTTTCAATTTTAAACGTATACTTAAAATAAAGGGATTTATATTCTCTTTACAATTTACATTAGATTTTATTCAATAAACTTATTACTTTTTGAGTAATTTATCCCTCTCTTAATCTTACAGTGTAAATAATTATTCTTGTTTACAATAATTTTATTATACAGATAGAAATTTCTATTCCTATTCCAAATTTATTTTGATAAAGAACAAAGTCACTAAATTATTTCATCGCACAAAAAATATCTTAATTATCACTCTGAATTTAAATTAAAATTATTTTGATTATAGCCATTCAGGATTTATATGGGTTTACAAAATTTAATTTAAAAGAGCAGTCTCTTTTTCAATTTTTTACTATAATCCATTATATCAATGCTATAGATTCTAAATTGACTCAACAGATTTTATTATTGTCATATTAAAATAACTCACCCATATGTTTCCATGGGTATTCTGAATGCAACTAATTTAGATTTACTTTTTAAACAGTATTGTAATTAAAAATTTAGTTACAACTCTCATTTTTAGATATATATTTAACTTAACTATTTATTCTTTTTTAATTATTTGGAATTTGCATTTTCAAATTATTAATGAATAAATTACTTCAAAAAATAAATTGTAGTTAAACTAAATTAATGATAACAATATATCAGCACCCAAAATCTGATGGCAATTTATAATGTCCTGGTCCTGGTGATCCTTCTCTATGTTCTGATAGTATGCGTTAAGCTCTTGGAAATTTGTTACATTTGCTTGCACCAAATTTGGAACAAAAGTAAGTACCCAAAGGATCCATGTTACCTGTCTCTTTGTATGTGCCTGGCCCTGGAGTACTATCCCTTAGTTTTCTGTCTGAATGGGCTTTGGGAGGCGAGAGTATCACTGCTCCTGAACTTTTAATTTGATAGCGTCATATATAATTACTCTCGATATTAACTTAAGGCATACTTGCCTCGACTGTTTATACTGCTTGGTAAATCATATTCGCCTCTAGAATAGGTTCATAGGAATACGGTCCAGGTTTTCTATCTTTGCTTCTTCTGCTTTGTAATCGTTGTCTCATACTATAACGAACTGCTGACTAGGTTTCTTAGAAATTGTATGATCCTGGTCCAGGTGTTTTTTAGACTAAACCTAAGAAGATGCTCTCGAATTTGTTTGCACGCTTGAAAATTGGAACAATAAAGTTACATCTCTACCCAATCCCATGGTCCATCCATGTTCTCTGGCTGTTTAAATTTAATAAGAATTGGGAGCAGGTGAAATAGATTCTTAGGTTATGTTCATCTTCTTTCCATAACCTATTCCAGCTGCTCTCTTACTCAATGTAGTTGGCAATTAATATATTGGAGGGCAACTAACTTTGAGTTATGTATAAATACACATTATCTTTAGGATCAACCCATCTTTTTGCCTTTGAGAAAGTATACATTTATTTAGTTTTGCTTGTGTTTAGTGGAGATCGATTAACAGCAGTAAAGTCCATTTTCTAATAAATTTAATATTGATATTATTGGTCAATTATATGATGTTTTGTTGAATTTTTCTTATAATTTAAGAAACTTTCATAGATTTGGAAAACAAAAAAATTTCCTTATATTTTGATTTAATTATTTAATAATGAATATTGGACCTCGCAGAAATATTAAAGAAATTCATCCAATTCACTAAAACTTCATTGAACCTCATAATTACTAATCTATATTCAAAAGTCCTATGAGTACTCGTTAAAGATAACAAAGATCTTCCAAATTACCTTCATTCAAAATGTCTAATGGATAATAGGCTTCAGTTCCTGTATCGCCATCTATATCTCCTAAATGGAGGACTAGAAATATGAGTCGTGCAGAATAAAGAATGTTAGTAAAGTATTAAATACAATTTATAAGTCCTCCTCAAGTACCTTAAAGCCCAAAATATGTGATTTCGATGTCAATCTTTAATGAACATTTATTAGTGAGTTTATGTAATTTAAGTAGAAAAAAGCCTTAAAGATATAGAACAATGAAATTGGAGTTAAAAAATAACTTATTTAAACACCTGAAAAAATGTTACATTAATAATCCTTAATTAGAGAAGATATAAACAAAGGTAGTTTTAAATTCTTATTTGTTCTCGGAAAAGGAGGATTTGGAAAAGTTTGGAGAGTGGAACTCTGTAAAACTAGAAAGTAATATGCAATGAAAGAGATGAGTAAAGCAAAGTATTTTTTATTGTGTTTATTGATAGAATCTTATCAAAAAAATCTGTCCATTCTGTAATTAATGAAAGGATACTGCTTAGTAAACTTAGACATTCTTTTATTGCCAACATTCACTATTCATTTTAAGATCGAGATAACCTTCATTTAGTAATGGATTTATTAACAGGAGGTGATTTAAGATATCATATAGGAATGAATCGTCGTTTCACAGAATGGTAAACAAGTAACAAGATTAAATATTTATAGAATTTGTCATAGCTTGTTTATTATTGAGTTTAGAGTACTTACAAAATAATGAAATCATACATAGAGATATAAAACCTGAGAATGTAGTATTCGACAAGATGGGATATCCAAGATTAACAGATTTTGGGATTGCAAGAATATTAAAACCAGAGAATAGTTAAGAAACAAGTGGAACTCCAGGATATATGGGTTAGTAATTATTTTAACTTAGATAGCTCCAGAAGTAATGTGTAGACAGAATCATGGAATAGGAGTTGATCATTTTGCTTTAGGAGTTATGATACATGAATTTATGCTTGGAAGAAGACCCTATATTGGTAGATCTCGTTAGGATATCAAAGAGATGATGTTAACTAAGTAAATTACTATCAAAAGATAAGATGGTTGGAGTAGTGAAAGTGCAGATATTTGTAATCAAGTAAATAGAATTAGTTAATTATAGTTATTATAAAGAAAATAATAATATAGATTAGGATTTAATGGGGTTCAATCTATTAAGAAGCATTCTTGGTTTTAAAATATTAATTGGTAAAGCCTAATTGATAAGACTATACCTTCGCCTTTTAATAAATTAGCCTATTCTGAAGATCAAGATTTTAAGAGATAGATTTCATCAGATCATGATTCTTAGGATTCTCTGATTTAGGAAAATACTAATGCTTTGAGAAGGGATTCTATTCAAGATATGTTCAAAGATTATGAATACAATGATCATGGAAGGACTGGTAGTACTAATTCCACTCAAATTTTATGATAATTTTATTTATATTAATTATAATATGTATATATATCTTATGAATCTTTAAGAAGAGTATTTGATTAGATATGAATCTACTTTTAGAATATATAAATATATTATGGATGATATTAAATATATAGGCTCATAATAAAATGGAATAGATGAAATGATTTGAAAATTTATTTAAAATTTAATGTTTGAGAAAGAAATCGTGATAGATGGTAAGGGCCATTTGTTGGGTAGATTGGCTTCTTATATTGCCAAAGAGTTGTAAAGAGGCTAAAGGATAGTTGTAGTCAGAAGTGAGTTGATATAACAATCAGGTATGATTTTGTTACTAAAACAGGTTCCCTCTTCAGAAATAGAGTCATTTTTGAAGAATATCTCAATAAGAGAATGGCCTTCAATCCAAGAAGAGGATATAAACATTACAGAACTCCATCACGATGTTTTTGGAAAGTAGTCAGAGGAATGCTTCAATATAAATCAAAAAGAGGAGCTGCTGCTTTAGAAAGATTAAAGATCTTTGAAGGAGTCCCACCTCCATATGATACAAGAAAGAGATAAGTTGTACCAGATGCTCTTAAATTGATCAGATTAAAGAATCACAGACCCTTCTGCTCTTTAGGTGATTTATGTGCCTCAGTTGGATGGAATTCATAAGCTGTTGTTAACAGACTTGAAGAAAAGAGAAAGCAAAGGTATCGTGCATTTTTAACACTTCTTTTAGAGGTGCTGCCTATTATAAGAGAAAGATAGCCAGAGAAAATCTCAGAAGAAAAGCCATCGGAGCTAAGGAACTTGCTACAATCAATTCAGAGTTAGAGAAGTTAGGCTATTGAAATAATATAATAAAATCATGTACATTTAATCTTTATAATGTAAAAAATCGATTATGGTGTTGAAGTTCATATAGATGATACTCTTTATGCTGGAAGATGTTTATTATAAATTCTTAAGAGTCCACTCATATCTTATAAATACCAATAAGATTAAGCTAAATTTCTTTTAGGAATAGATCAATAAGGATGGCCATAAACATAATTGTTACATGGTACTAATTGTCCTTGTTTCAATTAAGATTATTAAAATAAAGATATGAAGTTAAGCAAAATTAGATTAGCTACAGTAGCTATGTTATGTGATAAAAATGATAATTTTTTAATAACAAGAAGACATTCACAAATGAAAACATTTCCTAAAACTTGGGTATTTCCAGGTGGAATGGTAGAAAGATTATAAGATTTAGAATCTGAATGTTTAAGAGAAGTTTAAGAAGAAACTGGAATCAATGTTTTACCAATTTTAAATAAAATGGAACTTAAAGTTTTATATGAATCAGTGTATCCGACTTAATTATAAGTTGGTTAGTTTCCATAAAAACAAACACTCTGTATATTTTATGAAGTTAAATTAAATGAATCATACAATAACATTAAAGTGAAAATTTAAGAGAGTGAAGTTGATGATTTTAAATGGATTCCAAAGAATTAATTATTAGATATAATGAATTTATCTACAAATGATTAATAATATAAAGAAATGAGTGGGATTTATCCTAATTAATATGGATCAGGAATTGGAGAAGGACATATTAAGGCATTTATGAATAGTTATAAGAATTGATATTAATAACTTGATTTTATTGGAAATATATTCATTATAATGTGATTTATTAAAATGAATTTCTTTAAAAAAATTTAAATTAAATCATTTTTTAAAATGGGTAACAAGTCAACCACAAATAAATAAACTGAAAAAAATAATGAAAAAGTGATTAGTAATAATGATTTGAAAAAATCAGATGAAAAATCACAAAAATAAAAAAATAAAGACGAAGATATATATTATTTTAATGTTAGGATGTTAACAGGATAAAATGGAATGGGATTTGAAGACTTTGTTTAAGAACAAGAAAATTATTAACAATTCTCTAATATTATAGCTAATGCTGTTAAAGTTAAGAATGAATGATTATATATTTAAATATATATCTGTAAAAAAATACTATAAATCAAAGGAAAGTAATCTATTATTAATTAAGCAACTTCTAAGCATATCTAACTAAGCCTCTTTTTTAATGTTCAACACTTAAAGCAATTCCATCTCTTTCATGAGTTAATCTTATTTATTCTAAATTACTAGCAAATTTTCTACTCCTTAATGTTTCTGTAAAAGATGTAGGAGTTTAAAACTTCATCTCTAAACGTAATCTGATCATTTCCTCTAAGGGAAGTTTCTTTTAAAAGTCATTTAATGTAATTGTAGATTATTTATTTGATAAAGGATGTAATTTTAAGGATTATAATTTTATTAAAGTTGCTGTTTGTGTTTATTTTAGTTGTTGTATTTTGGGTATAGAATTTGTTGGTTTCATACTTTCATATTCATCAGCTACAGAGATTGGTATTGGAATTTCAAAAGCAAAATTTTTACCTTTAAGAAATTATTGTAGCATTTCATCTAATGATATATCAATATCAATAACTCTTTGGTTTGGTATGCATTCTAAATTATGTGATATCATATATTAATTTTTCACTTATCTTCTTTAATAATAAAGAGAATTCTAACATTAAATCAATTTTATTGGGAAATTTACAGCTTTAGAAAATATATGTAATCCCAAATTTAACTCTTCTTATGGTAACATCTTCATGATTTACTACATTCCTTTTGATGAAACCATTTTCATGGGAGATTTTTCTTTTTCTATTGTTCCTTTCATACTTTTTTCATGTAAAGACTTAGCTGTTTTTAATTCATAATTCAGAAAACACAACTTGCCAAGTTCTTCATAACAGTTTATTTCTTAATCGATATCTTTTAAATGCCATGCATATTCCAATGACTTCATATAAATAATTAAGTAATACTTTCTTAATGAATATTTTGCCCAAATCATATTTCTTAACATATTTACACAAAATGCCTATCTAAAGAAATGTCCATTGAATAACATTAAATTATCTTGTGAATTCACTTAGAAATTTACAATGTTATAAAAAGAGAAGAGCCTTGGTCCATTCTTAAAATGAGATAAATGTTAATGCACTCAGACGCATAAATGTTATAAGTAAAGCAATGTTATCTTATTCAACTGCAATTACCATCATATTTAGCAAACCTTATCAAACATGTTAGTTACTTTCTATAGCTCCAATTTAATCATTGCATTGAATACTTTCAGCAAACTGTTATTCAAATTAATTTAACATCACTAATGATGACCTAATTGTTAAAGGTGTTTGTATTGTCTTCCTAGAGTATATGTATGAATGCTTTGGACTGATAGAATTCTTACGAAGTCTAGGTATTGATCTTAATGTAGTTGAACCAGATTCTTTAGGAGAAAAGAATTAATTAATCTCATTGAAAGGCAATGTTTATTAAAATATTTTTATTCTAGGTTACTCATCTTATTTTCTATTTGTTGATTATTAACTATCAAATAATTCTGATAATGTGCTTGTCAAATTTTAAATTTAAAAAGAAAGTACTCTTCTTTTTTTCTTTTGGTTCATTATAATTTTATAATTAAAAAAGCATTTAAAGAGACGAAATTACATTAATTAAAATAAGTTAAGACCTGTTTAACTTTCCCTTACCCCTTTTGTTTAATCAAAAACAACAATGTCCAATCAAAATAAATAGTTTGCTTTATTATAATCATCTCAATAATCCTTGACTGATAAATAGATAGCAGAATTACCTATTCTCTCCTTCCTAAAAAATAGATAACCTATCAAAGTCAAAGCTCCATTGACAGTAGAAGTAAATCTATTATTTTTAAATATTTTATTAGAATAACGACTTTGAAATAGAGATTATCAACACTAAAGTTGTCCAGAATAGTTTTGTAGTCTATGAAATTAGAATTAAGAAAGGAAATCTTTTCTGGATATTTTAAACTAGATACAGTTTATTAGAGAGTTTGAGTTCAAAATTATCAAAGAATCTCAAATCACTTTTACCAAAATTTCCAGAAAAAAGACTATTTGGAAATCTTGACAATGATTTCATATAAAAAAGAGAAAAATAACTTGATTCCTATTTGAAAGTATATTTATTCATTTGATTTATTATAGGAATTATTTAAATTGGGAAGGAGTGAAAATACAGTACGAGAGTTCGTACGTCAATCATAGAAAGCAGCATTTGTGATCAATGACCCTTCTGCTGTTAAACTATTCAATCTTGATGCATGAAAAATTATAAAATAAAAATAGCACAATTATCTTCTAACATTTTATTTAAGCTTTTTATATAAGTTAAATGATATCTCATACTTGACTAAGACAAGAATTTTAACTCAATGTTAAATTCCATCTATTACACTATAATTTAAATTGTGTATCTTATGTACATTATAAAAATTTCATTATAAAACTAAATTTATTCATAATAAAACTAAACTTCATTGTTAGTTCACTATTATATATTCATTTAATTAATTAACATATGTGTCATTCTATTATCACTATTATATTAATAATGTCTATTTATTAAATACTACATCATTCCCATGTTTGCATTCTTAGAAAATCTATATCCAATCTTTATTATTTGATTCTTAAATGTATTTATAATACTTATCTAAAATAACATTATTTATTCTTTTTAATCTCTTATCTTTAGATTCAATATTATTAATAATAACATATAACCTATGCTTATGAATTTTTAATCTAAGAAGAATTTAAATTGAAAATAATATAATGTATTTATATATTGTATTGTACAATATTGGAATCATTATGCTTTTGTGATTTCTGTCTTGAGGTTAGCAAATGAATCAACTGGTACGTACTAAGCAAGAGTATAGTACTTTCCTTTTCCATCATCTTCTTCCTTCTTCTTTCTTTAAAGTCTGCAAACAATAATTTTAATCACACTACCTAACTCTAATTCTTCTTGGTAAATTTCTAATTCCTCTAGCCCATATTGCTTCATTCAATTATGGATCAACTCTGACATCCTCTGTCAACATATTCTTTTGAGCTATTTAATTAATCATATGCAATACCAAATCTGACTATGTGACTAACAGCACGTGGAGCCTTTCTTTTGAATGTTTCTTTATGAACAGCTTTGTGAATATTAATAGTATAATCTCTGCTCACTTCACCTAATGGATTTGGCTTTCCTTTTTCCTTTTTGCCCATAAATTAAAAAAAAATCTTTAAATTTTTTAAAATAAAGCTATGCTATACAAACAATACTAGTGAAAATATTATAGAAATTAGTAGTAATAGATGTAAACAAGATAAATTATGATATAATAAATTAGTATGGATTAAATGTAGTTCAAATGAAAGAATTATATTTTTTTTATAACACATCCCTCTATTTTTAAGAGAATTTACATAATTAAATTGTTATTCTTTCTTTAAAAATGATATATTATTATATTAAAAGATTTTTAAATTTGATCAATAATTTAAATGATTATTTTAATATAAGTAGTTACAAAGTTTTCTATTGAATTAATCTTTGCAAAATATAATTTTTTTCTAAGTTATCTTCTTTTAATAGATTATTAAATATAAGACTTGTTGTTTGGTATTATTTCTACTTGAATATTAAAAATAATAAATAATATTAATAATTTTTTTTTGTCTGTTTAATGATACCCTCTGAAGAATTTGAAGAATTTGAAGAAGTAATACTTCAAAAAAAAAGCCAAAGTGATGCTTAATATACGATTAAATAAGCAACCTAAAATTTTAACTAGAAGTCATATAATTTGATATATTAGGTTACCTACTCCTCAAGAATAGCATATATCACCTGAAAAATAACATAATTTATGTAAAGATAGTTTAAATGAATCGGAAATTTTATTGGAACTTGAGGAAGCTCCTGGATTAAAAAAATAATATAGTGATACATCTTATGATTGCAAAATAAATAAACTTAAATCATTCGCAAATAAAATAATTAAAAATAATAAGAATCATCATCTAAATTAAGAATTAAGTTCTAATAAGAATTAATAGTAAAATCCTAAGTCAATATTACCAGTCCAATCTAAAGGTAAAAATGATGAAAGATTTTCTATTATAAAATTTGAACATCATGATTAGGAATTAAAAGAACTTTAGTATTAAAAAATGATTAATTTAGCCGTTAATTAGAAGAAGTAGAACTTAAAATTTTAGAAAAAAAAAAAAGATTAAAAGTTTTGAATCCTATTGATGAAAATGAGTAATTTGAATAGGATTAATAATAAATAGAAATCAAAGTGAAGCAATCAAATGAAGAGGATACTTGCTTAATTTGCGGAGAAGATAATAAAGAAATAATATAAGTACTTAAATGTTAGCATGGCTTTTGTTAGTATTATTATTTTTTTTAATTTAAAGGGATTGCTATGAATAATATTTAAATGACAGAATAATATATGCTAAAGTTATTAATATACCATGTCCATAGGAAGGTTGTAGTGAAATATTTCCAGAAAGTGTAATAGAAAATATCGTAAGCTTGACTAAGTTTAAAAAATACTTGAGATTTAAACTTTAAATTGAGATTGCAAACGATCCAAACAAAAAATTGTGTCCATCAGTAGATTGTGATTATTATGTTGAAAGAAAAAATTCACATAATGACTTTGTTATGTGTAAATGTGGAACTTTTGTTTGTCTCAAATGTGGTTAGATTGCTCATTTTTTTTAACAATGCTAGGTTTATTTATGAAATAAAATGTAGTAAGCTATCGATTAAAATTTTATAATTGCATTAAATAAGTATAATATTAAGAGTTGTCCTAAATGTAAAACTAATATTGAAAAAAATGAAGGATGTAATCATATGACATGTAGATGCAAATATGAGTATTGTTGGGTTTGTTTATAGAAATATTATGAACATCATTACAAATTTTGGTCTCCGAGAGGATGTGCAAGTAAATATATTAAGAAATATTTTAAGTATGGTCAAATGGAAAATTCAAAACACATAAAGTAGTAAATCACCCTGATTTAATGAGAAGGATTTTTTTTCTACCTCGTCTTATCCTTTTTCTTTTCAGAATTATCATGATACTTCTAAAATTACTGTCTATAGCATTATTTAAATCATTTAGTAAGCCTTTCTTCAGGATAAATAAGAAATTATATCGTTCAAGAAAACCTAGAAGATGGTAAATGTTAATTATTAATTGATATTAGTTTTTTCAGAGCGATATATTTCTTCTTTGTGCAATTATTCATTGTTATTTTAGTGATAATTATCTTTCCTTTTTACTTTTTATTTTACAGGATTTATAAAGAAATAAAAAGGCTTTGTCATAAAGGATGTTCATATTGAATAATAAATAAATTTTATAAATGCTTATAGAATTATAATATAATATAATATAATATAATATAATATAATATAATATAATATAATATAATATAATATAATATAATATAATATAATATAATATAATATAATATAATATAATATAATATAATATAATATAATATAATATAATATAATAAGAAGTTGTTTGCATTGGTGAAGAATAGGAATTTGATAATATATACAATAATCTAAGAACTCTGTTGAATTCAAATGATTAATTCATAAAAATATTAGAGTTTTAATAAGATCTAAAATAGAATTATTATAGTAGTTATTGAAAAAAATAAACAAAATAAAAATGATATTAATTCAGCAATAATAAATAATTAAATATTGTTCTAATTAGAAGGAGATTATTATTAATCTAGCCAAATAAAATTGTATCATATAAAGAAGAATTTTAATCTTAATTAGAAATATAAAGTAAGTTTCTATAAGAACCAGAATTTTAGGTAAAATAAAAATATCTTAAATTTCATTAAAAATTAGACAAAAGACTAAGTGCAAAATTTTAATATTAACTTAGATATCTAATTAATACTTATCAAAAATGCAATTTACGAGGAATGATACAATAATTTATTTTATTATTAACTGAACAAAAAAATATTGTTATTTGATTTTTTTAAAAATGTGTGATTAAATGAAACTTTATAAAAGATTTTGGTTTTTAATGGTTCTTCTCATGAATTTTACTTAATTATTTTATTTTGAATTCCTCCTAAATTTTTAATCATGAATCTAAAAAATTGAACTATTTTTTTAAGGAAATAATGATCAAAAATTTATGGTTTTGGATTAATTAAAATCAAAATAAATTCAGCTGGCAACACTTCTATTTTGTTAGTAAACTTTCTCTATAAATCATGATTAATCTTAGGGAAAATAAACCTTTCACTATAAAATTTAAGAATTTTATCGAATGATGAGCTTACGATAATTTTATTAATAAACTGATTGGTTTTTCTAAATATTTTAAAAATCAAAAATTTATTTCCTACTGTATATTTTCATTAATATTAAATATGGATGAAGTAATAATTTGTATACATGAATTTATTTCAAATTATAGTTAACAGGAAAGAGAAAAATTTATGATCTTTTAGGAGACTTATACACATGTGAAATGAATATAAAGTGGTTTTTTGTTAAAATTTTTCATATTTAAAAATAAGGAATTTATATTTATTAAAATTATATTCAAGATAGGGTCAGATGTCAGATTAACAAATATATTTGAAGGAGTTTAGGTTTTTAAAATAACAGAAGTGAAATGAATTTATTATATAGACATTTTAATGATCTTATAATTAAATTCATGGATGATATTATATTTAAATATTTAAATAAGGATATGGAATTTGATGGAAGAATATAATAAAGATATGAAATTAGAGGTTAATGATGAAATGAAAATACTATGGAAAAGATGTAGAGTGTTGAAGTTTAAGTAAATGAAGAGTGTGATGATTGATTTTTGTAAATGGTAAAATATAGTACCTGAAGAGGAATCTTGAATAATATATTTTCTTATTAGATATAATACAATGAAAAGAATAATTATTCAAATTTGATACATTATTTAGTGTTGTTATTATTTAATAATAAAAAAGTTGATTTAGATATGTGCATAAAAGGTGGCTGTTTAAGTTTAAATAGAGTTGATTAGTTAAATTACAAGAGGGATTATGAAATTTCTCTTTTTTTTTAAATTGTTTACTCAATATTATTTTTTTCAAAACGATATTGCTAAATTAAAAATGTAAATTGAATGAATAATTATTAATGTTTATATATTCTCATTGAATTATGAATAGAATGAGTAGAAATCATCACACTGGAACCTTTTCTGAGGGTCAGTATTTAGAATCTATAATATTACTCTACAAATAAATAATTAATATAAAATATGATAGCTCAAAAGATCGAGAGACATTTCTCACGAACAGTCCAAGCATAAAAATAATCAAAAAATAATATGAAATTTGTTTAATAAGTATTGTCCAAAGTGATTTGTATATAGTCCGATACATTTTTATAAGTCAACGAAGAAGCTTCTTAGTTCTGTTAAGACAACTTAGAAAATAAAAAAAGTGTTACTACAAAACAAATTAAACAAAATGAGACTTAGATTCAAGGTTAAGAAGAGACTTTCGTAAGAGTACATGATGCTTAAAATGATTCATAAGTATTTCATTTTAAGTAAAATCTTCTAGACTGTCACACCTTTAGCTGTTCCAGAAGTTTAAGATCTTGAATAAATTCCAAGTCTTGAACATAATCTCTTCCCTATTGAAAATTCTAAAAAGTATTGTTTTTCAAATAACTTGCTCAGTAAATAGAAGATGATCAAAAGAAAAGTCATACACAAAAGATTTAAGTCTCACTAAACATTATTAATTTCAATGGACAGTAATCATTCTTTACCAACAGCACTAGATTTATAATTAGAAGGGGAAGTTTTAGAAAAGAATGAAACACACAATAAATCTTTTTCAAATAATCAAAAACCAATTCATAAATCTAATAAAGAATTGAAAGAAGGGGAATTATTTAAATAAATTCGAATTGAAGATTTTAATTAACCAAAAAATAGAAAAACTTATTATACTGATAAATTAATAAGCTTGATTAAAGGAGATTAAGTTGATACATTTATGGCATAAATGTATATTAATCATTTTATTCAAACTTATGGAATTCTCTAAAAATCAAAGTTATTAAAATAACCTGAAAGCTTCTAAATTTTAAATAAAATCAATCCATAAATAAGTATTTAATATATGTTATTTTATAAGTTAAATAAAAGACATTGGTAATTGATTTAGATGAAACTTTAGTTCATTGTAATGAATCATAACTAATGCCAAAAGATCTAGTTATAAATATTAATTTAAATGATACTTTAACAGTGAAAGTAATCAATTTAAATATATAAATAAATAGGCTGAAATTAGTGTTCGGCCTTATGCACAATAATTTCTATAAAATATGGCTCAATATTTTGAAATTATGATATATACAGCTTCTAATGAAGATTATGCAAATTAAATAATAGATTATTTAGATCCAACATAATAATTGGTCAAGTACCGTCTCTATAGAAATGATTGCATAAATTTATCAGAAGGATGTCATATAAAAGATTTAAGAACTTTAAATAGAAATTTAAAAGATGTAATCTTGATTGATAATTCTGCTTATTCTTTTGTTTACTAATTAAACAATGGTATACCAATTATTCCATATCTTGATAATAAAAAAGATGATGTAAGAATATTATAATACATTTTAATAGGAATTAATAGAATTGGAAAACTACTTAATGGAATTACAAAAGGTTGATGATATAAGAATAGAGAATGAGAAGAGTTTTCATTTTTAGTAGATATAAAATAGTAGTTCAATATAACAAGCTGTTAATTACTTGATGTGTAATAGAAAATGATTTTTATTTAATTCTTATATCTTAACTTGTTTAATGAAATTTTTATATTCAATAGAGTTTAGAACTTCTACGAACTTCTGTACGAACTTCAGATTTCTTTTAATCTTGCATAGCTTTATCAGCAGCTTCAACTTATGCTAATTATCTCTTTAAATCTGCAATTTTTTGATTGCTTTCAGCATAATTCTTTTCTAAATTTGCATATTTTTTCATCCAAGTTTCAACTTCATTTGATGCATATGTAACTTTTTCAGTTATTATTACTTCATATTCTTATCTCAATTCTTCAAGTCTAATTCTTAATTCTTCCATCAATTATTCGTCATCATGTATTTTTTATTCTAATTCTAATTTTTAAAGTTCTAAATTTTTCACTCTTGTATCATCTTAAACTTCTTAAACTGTTTCTTCAACAATAGTTCCATTATTCTTTCTAATTTAAATTTATAATTCTAAGATTTATCTCTCTAAAGTGGCACATTTTAATCTCCAAGGTGCTTCGATTTCTGTTATATATACTCAATAAAATTATTACCATCTACTGTGATAACTTATAATGGTCTCTCAACATGTCTAAATTCTTGAACCTATGTTTATTATTGAACAGCCTAAGAATATCATATTTAAATTAAGGTACCACTGGTTATTAGATAACAACTTATTGAACTGGAGGAGCAACTTGAACAGGAGGGGCGACTTAGATATTAACTGGTTAATAGGATGGTCTGATTGTAATAGGACTTGATTATTGAACAGGAATGAATGGTTGAGAAGTAACAGGCAAAATTTGATTCTATTAAACAGGTAGTTGAGTTTGTCTTATTTATTGTTGCTATAGAAATTATTATGACTAAGGTATCTAATATGAAGAGCCCTTTTGAATATATGATTTTGTAATACAAACTATTATTGGGTTTAATAGGTTTATGGGGATTGGATTATTGGATTTTGAGGAGATTGCTAATATTGTTATGGAATTCCTGGAGACTAAAGCTAAGATAAGAATTTGTATTTTGATCATACATATTGACTCTAAATAGGTGAACTTTAGAAGATGTTGTTCTATTGGAAAGGCTGTTATTATCTGGGATCAGTTTAGTACATATTTTTTAAAATAATTTTTATTTAAGTGTTAGGAAAATTATCTCGTTAATTTAAAAGGAAGTCATTTAAATAAAATACTAGGATTTAAACAATATAATAAAAATATATATATCAATAATATGTCAATTCAATATATCAATTATAAAATGTAAATGATTTATAATAGGTAAGTTATTTAATATAGATGTCATTAAACTGTTTTATAAATCTTATTATTTAAGTTAATATTTATTTATGCTTCATCATCTCTCAAAATATAGATTCACTCTAAACAAAGTTGCTAACTTGGATTCTATCAAGGTGTTCATTAAAGATCTTAAAGATGTTGCCTCTATTGTTCCCTCAAAATTAGATGAAACTGAAGTGTAGCTCTCTCTATAAATTCATGCTCTAGATAAAAGTTGGAAAATAGTATGATACTATTATTATTCTTTTTTAGAGTTCAAAGTCTTTGGCTAAAGAATACAAATTTGAAACATTCAAATAAGCATTTGTATTTATGAATACTGTTTCACACATGGCTGATTAAATGAATCGTAATTTTGAATTTTTAATTAGATTATCCAAAATGGATTAATGTTTATAATAAACTAAATGTAGAAATAACCACTTAAGATGTGAGTGGTATTTCAATAAAGGATGTTCTTTTGGCTCATCTAATGGAATCTGCATATAAAGATGTTAAAGAATAGAATATAGAAAGTATTGGTGAAATTGGAAAGGTGTCATCTTCTTTATTATTATAAAATTGGAATACAAATTACACTTAATATTAGGAGATTTTGAAAAAAAATGTTCACAAACTCTGAAATTGATAAATATTATGACAATTAAATAAAATTTAATATATATCTGATTCACACGTAAATAGTTTATTCGAAACATTTATTTATTATTATTAATGAATAAGTTCATACTATTTGCCTTGTTGACCATTGCTACTTAAGCCTTATTTGAAAATTCATACACAATAAAGAGTGCCAATAAAATGTAAGACTTTAGAGCAATTTTGGAATCAGACTTTGTTTCTATGGTTTATTTTTATACTGAAGATTGTGAGAATTGTTAAAGAGCTGCCTCATTAGTAGAAAAGGTGGCCGAAGATTAAGAAGGTATAATCAATATCTATGGTGCCAATTGTGATCAAATCAATAAGGATCCTAATTCAGTGTAATCTTCATAAATTACTTTAGTAATCAATTACCCTATTGCAATGAAGATATGTTAGATTAATTGCCTTAAATCTCTTTTTTTGAACCTCCTTAGTTTAAAATTAATCCTTATACTAAAGAACCTATGATAGCAACTGAGCATAGATTTTAAGGAGAAGCATCTCCATAATCATTAGGTACTTATGGTCATAAGTTTATACCTAATAATGTGATTAGAATCAATACATTAGCAGAATTGAACCATTTTGAAAAAACAGATCCAAAATTAAATAAAGTTATCTTATTTACAAAGAAGAAGGAAACATCACCTATACTTAAATCTTTGAATTTACATTATTTTGAAAGAGTTAAATTTGGTGAGATTGTTTCATCACCTGAAACACAAGCACTTTTAGATTTTTTTGATATCAAAGATATTCCTTAAATAATTGGTTTAGAAAATAATGGGGATAACACTTATAATCATTAAATTTTTGATGGAGATTTATTATTTAAACCTATTAAAAAATTTGTTAGAAGTTTGGCTTCAAAAGATAGAGTTCCATATGAATAGATTAATGAAAAACCTAAAGAAGATAATAGAAGAAATAGAAGATCTAAATAAAATGAAGAAGATGATGATACATAAAAACCATAAATCATAACTCCAATAAAATTAGATTAAAATGTTTTTAATAAATAATTGTTAAGAAATGATAAACCTGCTCTTGTTCATGTATATAAAGATTAAATGCATAAAGCATGGGATGATTCTCTTAAAAAATATAAATCTTTATTTGATTATTATGAATTACAAGTAGATACTTAATAAGATGAAGATTTAGCTAAAGAATTATTTATTAAGAGTTATCCTAGTATTAGATTTTATTAGGTTGGTAATGTTGGAAAAAAGAAATCTAATAAAATTTCATTCACTAAAGAATATAATCTAGAAGAAATTAATAAGGACATTCAAGATATAATTGATGATAAGACTATTAATATCAATGAATAAACTCTTTAAATGTAATTAAGTTAATTCATAGCTGATAATCATATAGTTGTTATTTATTTCTATTAAACTCCTATTGTAGGTCTTACTTATAGAGTTCTTAGTTAATTATAAGAATATTATGGTAAATATAAATTTTTGTCTTTTAAAAATGCTCCAGAAATGGTAATTTAATAATTTTAAATACCTACTTAACCTGCAATTACAATTATTTTTAGAGAAGTCACTGATAAAAAGGAACTAGAAGAGGAACTTAAACCTGAATAAGTGAGATAAGCATTATTTACAGGTAAACATTCTTATGAAGAAATAAAGAGTTTCTTAGATTCAGTAAAAATATATAATAATATTATTAGTTTGATGAAACCAAGAAGACATCTCATAAAAAGGTCATTGAGATTTCTACTTAAGAATAATTATTAGAACATTGTAACAAAAAGTAAAAATTGTGTTATATTGCACTTTTAAATGGAGAACATAAAAGATTAAAACATGATGACATATTAACAAAATGGGAATATTAATTAGAAATTTTAGATAGAATTAAAAATGCTCATGGTGATAAATAAGCTTCTTTTGTTTATATTGATGCTTCATGTCATGATGAAGTATTATTAAAATTTGATATATCTGATGATTCTTTACCTAATTTTGTTGCTTATTAGAAAACTAAAAAACTGTAATTTATAGTATAATTTTTAGATATTCTAAATTAATAGGACGATTTGATTATGAATCTATTAATAAATTCATAGATAAATAGTATAAAGGTCAATCAAGTAATATCTAAATATAAGAACTTGAAATATTTGAAAAAGATTGTGAAGAAGTATTTACAAAGAGAAGAGAAGCAAGTTAATAATCTGGACTTTCTGATTTTGATGAAGAAATATTAAAAGAGATATTGGAGGAAGAGAAATAAAGAAAGAAAGAATTAGAAAAAGAGTTAAAAAAGGGAAAGAAAAAGAATAAAAAATCAAAAGATGATTTATGATTTTTTATGTACATAATTTTATGATCAATTAAAATATATGTATATTTAATACAATTTATTGAATTAATATTATAAAGTATTTATAATTCATATAAAAATATATATGATTTATAAATAAATATAATGTTCTATTATATAATAGAAAGAAGCAATAAAAATGATTGTTTTGATTATCTTAATCTTTAAAAATAAGGATTATTATGTTTATAAATAACTACAAACTTGTATTTATAATTTATAAGAATATGGAAAAATGAAATTGATAACTAAATATTTACAAAAATAATCTAGAATAACATTCATATATAATTTATTTATTATTGAATAATAGATAAATTATATATAATTAATTATACTTATATATTATTAAAATTTGATTAATTATAAATATCTATATTCAAAAAATTAGTTATTGATTTAAAATAAATAATGATTGGATCATTATAGAGATATTAATAAACTTAATTTATTATGTTAGTAATTATACTTAATAGAATTAAAGCTTGTATAGTATTATCATTTAATAAAACATAATATATATAATTATCAATAACAGAAGTATAAGTTGTAAATGATAATAAGTAATAATATGAAGGATAAATGACTAAAATAAATCTCGTATTCATCTATTTAAAGTCTTTGATAATATTGATAACAAATAGATAAAAAATGGTTATGATTTGAATAAAGAAATAGTAAATGAAAGAAATAGTTAATGAAAGTAATATTAGATTAAATTATAAATTCTATTGAATGATATAATCGAATTATGAGTCTTAATGTTTAAATCTTATATATTATAGTTAATATCACAATTACTATAATTTCTTTTCAAAATCATCCAAATCCTAATTAGCTCCCTATTATTTCATCTATTATTGTTGAGGCAATAGCTTATTTGGTCCTGCTTGTTAAGATTCAATCTAATATATTAAGTCATCAGCCTAAGATAATTTAATAGAATACTTATTATTACATATCTCCCAAATCAACATCATCATTCATGTTCTCCATAGCATCATCCATTTATTCCTATACAATACCCATTTTCATCATTTCTTTTTATAAATCCTACATAGTAGCTGAGATTTCCTTGATATTCATCAATTTATTAATCTCTCTCATAACATTAGAGATGCTTCCCATAGCTTAAGCCATTTTAATATTAGCAAACATATTATCTATTCCATACATAACATTTTAAATCTTTCCTTTATTTATTAGATTTCTTTCTTTTTGTTTTTAACATTAAATGACTTATTTTGCATAAGTCTATTTAATAAATTTATCAGCTTTGTCTCCTTTCTTTATTTCTTTTTGAAGTAAATCTTCAGCCTTTCTCCTTGCCTATTCAATTTAAAAATTTTATCTTTTAAAACTTAAATTAATAAAGTACCTTTCAATTTCTCTCATTTCTTTTTACAACTCTTTATTCATTGATCTTTATTTATCTCTTAATTGATCTTTATTCATAGATTATAAAGTTGGTTCAGCTTTAGGAGCTGGAGCTTATTTGGATCCGAAAAAATTCATAATGAATAAAATATATATATAATAATGTATATTGTTATGAATCATAATGTTGTATTTAAATGAAAAAATTCGTAATCAATATTTTAACGAATAACCTATCCTCTATAATAACCATCAATTTTAGTTATAACTCCCTTAAAATCATACTCCTCTTCTGCCTTTGGTTTAAGCTGGGCTGTATTTTAATACTGAATATTTGCGGGTGGTGCACAACACTATCCCATTAATTTAAAATATAAATAATATCATTTTTTTTGTCAATTTTAGATTTGATATGTAGATTTTAATCCTATTTTCTTTAATGAATTGACAAAATCTACTTCTATTAACAATCAAAAGAGTTTATGTATTAATGAAAATGTAACAGAATAATTTAAATTTTATGAAGAGACATTCTCATTCTATTTGATTTTTAATTCATCAAAAAAAATTGAATTGTCAAGCTTTACAAACTTCTTAAACTTAAGTATTTAAATAGATAATATTGATGTGATAATTTAATAAATATTTTGATATCATCATATTTGTTTATTAGATCAAATAAATATTCCATATATTTATATGAAAATATAATTATCTATTTTTTTACTCTAAATACAAAAGATTATAATGTACAAATCTCGAATTTGTACTATTTGATTTATTTTAAATAATTAACACAATAAGTTAGGTTTCATTTATTACAAGATAGAACTAATTATTCACAATAGTATAGGCTTAAAACAAGAAAATTTAATATGGATCATTAAAAATTGATTTTTTTACTATTATAGTAATTATCAATTAATTTAAAGTGGAACTATTTTCATTTAATAATCAGAACATTTTCTAACATTCAAATTGTAATCTACTCTTCATTTTGGATATTAAAATAGTCATATCCTTATTATTAATATATTATATAGACTTAAATCTATTTTTAAACATTCTTATTTATTTATTCTGATTTTTTCATTATTTCATAAATTATATAAAAAATGCAGACATTATTATTTATTTGAATATTTATTTGGCTCCTATTCAATTTGAATTATCCCACTTTGAAATTGAATTATATCTCTTTAGATGTGGATATTTAGAATAATAAGATAGAATAGATACTCAATTCTGAAGATTTCAAAGAATATGTTTATGATTATTAAATACTTAATGTATCTTATACTATTGTAAATCTCATTTGGCATTTTTCTTAGCTTCTTATTATTTTTTAAGTTGATTGGCATCAACAAATACGATAGTCTTGCATCTCTTGATGACCTTTAACCACTTCAATTTACACTTAACACATTCAAGTCTAAAAGGATTAACAAATGTCATACTTTAAGGCAACCTTCTTTGTTGTCTTTGCCTTCTTTCTGAATATAGGTTTAGTTTGTCCTCCATAACCAGCTTGCTTCATGTCGTACCTTCTTCTACCTTAAGCAAATGGACTTTCCTTGCTCTTTTTATATTGGGACACTTTGCAACTTTAATGACTTCCACATTTTCTGCAATAGGTCTTTCTGTTTTTGGGGACGTTCACCATTTATTATTTTTTTAATAAAATTTAATCATTTTTTGAAATTCCAAAAGAATCATAATTTTTATTGAATCAAATCAATAGTATAGAATGATTCATCTCATATCTAAATAATATTTGATAGATTCTTAGAATATAAAAGAAGAAATTGAAATATTCATAGTAATTTTTATAATCTTAACAAATACTATTTAATCAATTCTAATTATTATTTCTGTCCTTCTATTTATACATTATACTATTAAAATTAAATAATATTATAATACATCATTTGCCATTTATTCTGTAATTTTTAAAACTTAATTATAATTTTAAGCTTATTTTAAATATTCATCAATTTCAGCACCTTCATCATTTTATTATTGAACTAAAAAGCTTTAACAAAATTCATAATCTATTTTTTATTCTTTAATTTTATCAATTTAATGATTTCTAATTTATTATTATGAATCAGGTTAATTATTGATATAATCTAATAATTAATATGTATTAGATTCATGTTGTTAACATACTTTATTTAAATTCTTAGATTAGGATTCAATATTATTTAAAATTTAATCATAGATTAAATCATTATTTTTTATTTTCTATTCTTTTATTTCTTAAAATGTTTAACAAATTTGATTAAATAATTGATTAACTTATTTATCTATTTAATCATAATCTTAAAATTATGGAACATCTTTATTGAATGCAATATTAGCATTTGATTTTTCCATAGATAAAATTTCTTATTATAAATCACTTTCAATTTTAGCAACAAATTTTAATTCAATTGTTTTTTCTAATAGTTTTAATTCATTATCAATGTTCATTTCCATTTTTTAAACTACTTAATCAGATAAATTATTTTATTCTTCTATTTTATCAAATATTATTTTTCTTGTTTATTTTACTTTTTATTCTAATTGAGATACTTATTATTAATATATAATATTATTCTTCTAATCTTTAATAAATTATTTCATTTCAATTTTATAAATATCTTTATTATTTTAAGTTAATGATGAATTATCTAATGGTTAATTTAAGGATAAGATTTATGTTTAGGCTTCTTCTTGAAATTTATAAACCTATTGTTTATTATTTGCAGATTATTTTTAATCAATTTTTAAAGTGATTTCTGATATAGATTTTGAAATCTCATTAATTAATTCAATTAATGTCATATATTAACTTTCTAAATATTCACACAAGAGAGGTTTATTAAAATGTTCTTCAATTAAATTTAATTCATATTGATTTCCTATTTGAATTTAATATTTCTAATTTTGTATAGGTTTAGTTTATTGATCATCAAATATTTACTTTACTAATTCTATTTATTAATCTTTAGGAATTTATATTTCTAGTATTTTCAATTCTTTAATCATATTTTTAATTGATTCATCTTCAATATCGACATAATTCGAGAGTGTTTAAAGCATATAATTTAAATTTGAATTTTTATGATAATTAATGAATTAAAGTGTAGTATTGAATAAAAAAATATATTATTTAAAGAAGTAGATAAAGATTAATTATATGATTAAGATAATCTCTAAAATTAATAATAAATATTTAAGAAGTATTAATAAGGATTGTGAATTTAGTATAAATAATATATTAGAGTGAAGAACTGTCATATAGTTGATTTGTTTATAATTTTAATAGTTATTTTATTAATAATGATAGCATAACCTAGATATTCTTAGAAAATGGCTGATACATTCTCAAATAGCAAAGACTTTTATTCTTTTCACTAAAAATAACTGATTGGAACAAAAGTACATCCTCAACTTTTAGAACATTTATCAATCTCTTAGCGAACTAAAATGGCAACTATGAAGGACAGGACAAGTTCAGATATATTTACAAGCTTCATTAATAGAGGGATGTTGCATAGTGAATAGAAAGAGTTAAATCTTTAAACTTATGACAATTCTTCAACGATGATGATTAAGTAGAATGATGATGAAAGAATTAGTAAAGAAGAGTAAATAACACCATAGATTCTACAAACTTAAGGGGAATAAGAGAAATGTAAGAAATCATATTATATATCAATAGCAAAGAAGTTATTACCTCCTCTTAAGTTAATTACTAATAAACTGAAACAAAAGGAGAGACAAAACCAATCAAAAGAACGTGCTGAAACATTTAAAAGTTCCCTTATTGAAACGTATAAATTATATTAAATGTAGACCTACAATGTAAAAAACTTTAGCAAGAAAACATAGAGCATTTGGATAAGGTGAATAGAAATCAACGATAGAAAATGAAACTAGTGTACATAAGATGGGAAGAACTTCTTCAACTCCTTTCATGTAAAAGTCAAAAGAAGATAAAGAGGATCATCTAACAAGCAGATCTGGAACACCTTAAAAAGAGTTATTTCATGCAAGTCCACTTAGACATAGATAAAAGTTATAAAATAAATAAGCTATAATTCAAACTCCATAATCTAAAGGAGTAAAAGAAAAGAAGTTATAGAATGCATTTTATTCATCATCATCATAATAATAATAAATCAAAGTCATTGACATTTAAAATGATAAAAAAATAATACCTAAGAAAAAAAAGAAATAGAATCAAGGATAAGTTATTTAATAATAGAATTAATAAAAAGAAAAATTAACATAACGTCATACTTCATATAGATGCTTTATCAATAAAATCAATTTTTCTAATAATTAATGTATTTGTTGTCCTAGTAAATTGGAAGTTCCATCTTACTTTTATTATGTAGGTAAAGGAAATAATGGTAGTCTAATTAAAAACATATTCCGTTAAAGATGGTGGTGGTAAGAAGTAGAGACTTTAGATATAATTAAAGTAAATATGTCATGGACATAATTAAAATAAAATGTTTGCATAGCTTAATTACATCCTTGCATTATTGATTCAGGACCATAGAGTTCTGAATCATTTCTTTTGAGTCATGAAGAAACTATTGGAGACACTAGTGATTCTGATATGGAAGCAAGACCAAAATAATTAAATAGTACTGCAGGTTTATAAAAGTCTACTCCTTAATAATAATAAAAGAGACCATAAAATTATTATTCTTTAAGAAGAATCTTTAATTAATTAGATCTCTAAAAAATCTTAAATTATATGGATGAAACAGGATGTTAAGACACTTAATTAATATTTAGTGATTGCACTGAAAAATTGCTCAAAGATATCAAATCTCTCTGTACTAATTAAAGGTAGGATAGCAAAAACTTTAGAATGCATAATCATATGGAAGATAATTGGCATTTGGGTAATAAAAAGGCTTTGTTCTATAATATGAAACATTATTATTAAATTATAAGAGAAGATTATAATAAATTACTTCCTGTCACTTTTCATGTATAAAAAGGAGTTAATGATATAGAATATTAGAAATTTTTAGAATATTTTAATAGGAGAACAGAAGAAATTAAAGAAATTGAAAGAACTAGAGACAGAAAGGATAAAAGAAAACTTCCAATTAATTTATGGATTATCAAACCAGGTGAATTAACAAATAGAGGTAATGGAATCACTGTATGTAATGATCTTAATGAAATCAATAAAATAATTAATGAAGAAATTCAAGAAGGTAGACCTAGAACATATATTGTATAATAATATATAGACAATCCTCTATTATATAATAAAAGAAAATTTGATATAAGATGTTATATGCTATTGACTTCTTAAAATGGTATATTTAAAGGATATTGGTATTAAGAGGGTTATATAAGAACATCATCAAAAGAATTCACTACAAAATGTTTGGATAGATTTGTTCATTTGACTAATGATGCTGTATAATCTAAAGATTAAGATTATGGAAAACATGAACCTGGAAATAAGATATCTTATCTTGAATTTTAAAGATATGTTGAAGCAAATCATCCTAATTCAAAATTTAATTTCTTTATAGATATATATCCAAAAATGAAGTCTGCTGCACTTGAAATGATGAAAGCTACTTATGGAAAAATTGATCCACATCGTAGAATTAATAGTTTTGAAGTAATAATTATAATTTATATAAGCTTTATGGATTAGATTTTATGATTGATGACAATTTTAAATTATGGTTAATTGAAGCAAATACTAATCCATGTTTAGAACTCTCATGTCCACTACTAAGCAGAATTATACCAACTATGGTTGAAAATCTTTTTAGGATTGCAGTTGATCCAATTTTCCCTCCTCCTTTCTTTGAAGAATGGCCTTAAAATAAAAAATTATTTATACCAGATAATGTTGTTGAAAATAATAAATTCGAATTAATTTTTGATGAATTGATTGAAAAAAAGAATATGATCAATCTATTTCGAGATAATAAAATAGAATAAGAATGTTTTGATATTGAAGAAGAGGAAGAAGAAGAAGAAGAAAAAGATTGAGAACTGATTTGATAACTTATTTGTAAAAATATTTTATATAAATTTATAATATATATTTTTATATTAATTAAATCACTAACAAATTTAACAAAAGTAATTATTATTCCCAATCTTCTCTTCAAGTATACCTACACATTCTAAATGATACCATTCTTTACATGAATCACACTATTATTATATTAATTTATTACTTAAATATATTTTCTATCTGGATTCAAAGGTTATCGACATAAACAGAATTTTTATAATATTTCATAACCTCTAAATTTCTATTTTTCAGAATCCCATGATAATCTATTAAAATAAATAGTTGATTCTATTTCATTCAATTCAACATACTCATTACATGTTATAATATTGCATTTATTTATAATAGTCTATGCTAAAATATACTCTTAATGTTTGGTTTTAAATAGTTCCTATTCTGAAACCCATTCATTACTTTTTGGATGGTTTTTAATAACTTCACTCTTTCTCATGTACCATTGAATATTACATAAACATATATATTTATTTGTTCTAGGAACCATAATAGACACAATTTATTTGATTATCCCTATATAATCATCCTCATGATTATCACCACTATTGATTAAAACAGCTTCACCAACATTAATGTCTCTTCCTTAAACTCTAATTTAGTCATACTCTTAAAACAACCCTCTATTTCTTTTTGAAGCTGTAATTAGTTGCTACCATTTTTGTTACTTATACAAATCTCGTATACTTAGTAATTATTCTTTATTGATTTTTTTCTTTTAGGTGCTTTAACTATTGTGAGATGCTTTTTTCAATTATTATTTGTTTAGTATAGTTTTTTTAATCCAGTGAGAATAATTCATTTTATTTATTTAGGATCTAAAATTAATTGATTTATATTTTAATTAAAAAATCAATTTGAATCTCCACTGCTTTCAGATATATTCAATATGTCTTAATCTTTGAATTATGGGGAACAAAACAGTGTTTTTTGATATTAATCTTTTCGTATTTCTAAATGACTATTATTTTGACTTGATTCACTGGGATATGTCATTTATTTTTAATCACTGAAATGTTTCATTTCTTTAGAACTAAACATCTATTAGACTTCTTTATCTTCATCATTTTCAAATTCACTTGGATCTTATTGATCATCACACAAATTCATTTATTGAACTGAATCCATCAATTAAGATTATTTATTTGATAAAATAGCTTTTTTACATGTTTCAGTATCTTATAGATATTATAAACATTAAACTCCTTGAATTTCATATTTTTTTATATCAGGTGTTTCTAATATAAATTTTTAACTTGATTAAATCATCTATTAATAAAATCTAAGTTAAAATAATAATATAATTATACTATTATGTTTTGGATTGATTATTCGAGATTTTGTTTAAGATAGATCTAAATTTCTCACTTTTAGCAGGACTAACACTCGAATCATTTTAAATGAATTCACTATTTTATTATTAATCTTCAATATTATCAAAGAGAGTTCTGAAAGTACTTTTTTATTTTTAGAAAGCATCTTTAGGTATTTAAACATAATCTTCTAATTTAGTGGCTGTTCTTTAAACTGATTATTTAGTTTAACCACTGGCAGGACTATGAGGAGTAGATTTATGTGATTCATGATCACTTAATTATCCATCATCATCAGGTATATTTTTTTTGGATTCTCTATAACTTTCTAGAATCATAATTGGATTAGAAGTAACAGATTATTTATCTTCATGTATACTTTATTTAGAATTCTTTTCAGATTCTAAAATATTCATAAATATATCTTTATTTTCAAAAGAAATATAAAGATTATTTTTATTTGTATTTTATTGTTATTATTATGATTATAATTTAGTAGCACTTAATTAATAAATATTAGTATCATTAAAATATTAGTAAAAATTAGATGGAGTTTCATTATTATGTGGTTATGTTTTGGATCCACTATAATCAGTTTTAATTCTTTATTATTAATTTGATTAGTTGATTTATGAATCAACAGTATCAGTTCTTTTCTTTGGAGGAGTTGGTTAAGTTCTAATAGTTTAATTGAATATTGAATTTATATGTAAAATTAATTATTATTCAGATTCACTTAATTAAAAACTAATATTATAATAAAAAGTATATACTTTTATACAATCAAAGCTAAAGTAGATTGAATATCTGTTTTGGATAATGATTTAACTGAAATAGTAGATGATAATAATTATGTTTGGAATTCATTCATTTTAATAAATTCAGATTAATAATAATCCATAATTTTTCTAAAAGGATCCATTCTTATATCTTCTAAAACTTCAGTCCAATTCTTTTCAATATCTTATTTTATATTTTAAGCATCCAATTAATGTTACTATAATACATAATATAAGTTTGATAATTATTTTAAAGATTCTTATCTTTGATTCTAAAGTATTTACATACTATTATTACAAGCATCATTTATTATTTGTTACATTACTTATTTAGATTATTGACATTTACTAATTTAAGATTCATACCATTAATTAATTTTTTCAATTTGATTTTACATTTAATTTAATATATCAGCTCTTTATGAATTTGAATATTCTAATTTAGTTAAAAAACCACTTAATTCTCTTTCCTTGAAATTAGCATCTGAAAAATTTGAATGTCTATTTGAATCTACTGAATTTGATTAAAATGATAATATTTATGATTCTTATGACTTAATTATCAATTGACTTAAATCTTACACAATCTTACCTTAACTAGCTACTACAATAGCACATTATGAACAATAAAATATCTATTTTTAATATTCATCCACAAAATATTTAGCTTTTTTAGTTCTATGATTAATACATGTTCTAACAGGAAATGATTCTTATAAATGATCATTAGATCCACTAGTATTTTAATATGGTGATTGTTATGTTAATATTTTAGCTTAATGAAATTTGCTATTTAAACTTTCACCAACCTATTATTAATGTATTATCTTACACTTTATTATTCTATAGATATTTTAGAATGCAAATAAGTACTTGGAGTACCAATATTTAATAAATTCATATCATTCTCTTTCTCTTTGTCATAATAAATCATTCTAATACATTGTTCATCCAAAACAGATTTACTTTTACTATGTTCTGTATTTAATGTTGTAGTTGTAACTTTGGTTGGTGTATGATTCATTCCAAAATCACATTTCTTTAAAATATTTGGTTTTAAATTATATGAAACTGAATTAGCTGAATTATGACCTTTAATTTTATGGTTTGATTTTGTTTATTATTGTTGTATAGATAAATATGGACCTAATTATAATGCATTTGTTTTAGGTTTTTGTGAATTTGAACTTTTTGGAGATGAAATAGCTTTAAATTTACATTATAATTTATTACTTTAATGATTTTATAATAGAGATGCTACACTTTCTTATATTTCTGATGGTGTTGGAGATTTAGCTATAAATCTATTAATCTAAGGAGTAGCTGAATATTCTTCATTTACAAGTGAAGAAGGTCTTCTTTATAAGAATTCTTCATTCTTTTTATAATTGCTTTATTGAGAATTTGGTGAATAATCTCTCCTTTTACTAAATTGATTCAATTTTTCTTAAAATTATTCATTTACAATATGACTTTTATTTTGCAAAGACATGTTAGATTTATGAATAGCAATTTATTGGTATGGTTTTTAAGATGGTTTAGATACTTAATTGTTTGATCTTGGTGATGATGGTTTCTTATCCATAATTTCATTAGTTTTTTTGTTAAAAAAGTTCTCATTGATCTGTGTGGGAATCAAATTTGAAAGTTTAATCTTATCAGGTTTGTTAGAAAATTATTGTGCTAAAAATTATTAAGCTTATTGTTATTTGAGTATTTATTGCATTTGTTATGACATTTCTTAACTATGAAATTCAAATTCAATTTCTAAATTTAATTATATAAATGCCTCCAAATATTTAATAATCTAATTACTTTATATTAACAGCTACTTTACTATTGATGTGTTATTACTTAAATTAACCATTAACTCTTTATATTTATCACAATATATCACTCAATAATCATCTTAATCTATAAACATTAAATATCATTATCAATACTTTGAATTCAAGTACTCTTATACTTATTTATTTTAACTAATTCTTTATTAACTTCTATATACTTACATATCTTTATACTTAAATATCTATATGTTTTACAATTATATTTTTTACTATTTTATTTTTAACAATTACTAAAATATTTTTTAATATATCTTTAAATTCATCTATTTTCAATAATAAAATAAGAAAACATTATCTTATTATATTCTCTATTAACATCACATCCTCATTATTCTTACTATTATTCAGAATTACCTTATCATTAACTTAATTCTAATACAACTTAATTAACATCAAAATCATGGAAAATATGCTCTCTTATTGATTACTTATAGATTTTAAATAGTATACTTAAAACATTAGAAGTTCACTTTAATTTGAAGCTTATTAAAATTTTTATATGCTTGATAAAGCACTAAAATTTTCGTAATTCAAGGAACCTCCATCTTAGTTCCTTGAAATTTTATAACAACCTCTAAATGTAATCAAATCAAAGCCCAACTACTTTTATAAAGAATATGAAAATTCCCCTAACAAATTCAAAAGATTGAGAATTTCAACCCATCATGAAGGTGCTGTCAATAATATTGTTATTGACTTGAATATCCCAAGTCCAAACTTTAGAGTATAACAAAAATTGGATTACCATGACAATAATATCACAATCCATTCTCATATCACTAGTTAAAAAACTACACCAAAAACATCACGATCAAATAGTCCCTTAAAGAAAGTATATTTAGGCTCTAGCCTAGTAGCTCGAAGAAAATTAAATGGTTATGTAAAACACAAAAAATCACCTGACCCTTATGAAATATGTCGATAAATGACAAAGAAAATATAATATAAGAAAACTGAAACTTTGACTATTGCTTCTCAAACTCTCTATCTTTTAGCAAAATATGGTACTTGATAACTCAAATAATGATATTTATTAAATTTTCTTAGATTTACTTAGAAACAACCCTTTAGAATTTACAATATGTATTGATTATTTAATCTTATATTAAATTAATTTATATATCTGACAGATATATATATATATCAATGTTAATTAATTCAGTTATTTGATAATATGTCTATTCAATTTCAAATTGTGATTTATATTTAATTAGTTTTAATAAAAACCAAAATTTTTTTATCACTGGTTTTTTTAAAGACATTGAGCAATTAATATTTCAATTATCTTAGAGTTTTTAAATAGTCTAATCATAATCATTAATATTAATAAGATTTAATATCATTATGAAAAGATATATAAGGAGTAAAGAACATTATAATATGTTATTATAAATTAACTATTTTTATGAAAGACAATTTATCAGCTTTTTAGAATTTGTCTACATTAATCAAAATAATAAGTCATTTCTTATATTTTTTTTTGAGTCTAAATATTTGCTTCTTAGTTATTATCCAATAAGAATATCATCATTCTTTAACAGATCTGCTATTATTATTATTTATAATTTCTTAGCCATATTTATTGCTCAAGGAATATAATAATAGATTCATACTACAAACATGAATATTTAAGAAGAAATCTGATAAATATTTTTGAGAATTCAATTAATTATTGAATATCTCCTTGTTTAGCAACTAATTTAGATTTTGCTTCCGAGAAGTATAACTATGGAACTATGATATTTATATCGTATCCTATCATTTATAAAATACAAGATTCTACATCAATTATTTCTTCTGAAATTATTTTGAATGATAATAAATGCAGTTGTATATTTCTAAACAGAGCAATCATACACTTCAATATCTTTAGCTGTCAAAAATAAACGTGCTGTTATATGAGTGTGGGTCTATTGAAAAAATTACAATTAAATTGTTGAGCAAAACATGTGGAAAATAAAGAGTCTCTAATTAATTTATTCTTTAAATAGAAAAAATTTAATCAAAAGAGTTTTTGAATATATTTCTAATATATTTCTACATCTTAATTTGTTAGAATCAACTTGTTCAATACATAGTTAAATGAATCAATATTATTTTAAATAAAGATTAATTTATGTAGATTTTGAACTTATATAAAAGACATTTTTATATAAATTCTTTCAATACTTTATCAAATGGTTCTATTCATTATTTTAATGATTATCTTGTTTCATTCTAAATTCGATAGTGATGGATTCTGAAATATAATTATTCTTTATTTTATCGAATATAACATTTTATGTAAAATTTAAAGATTAAATAAATGATATTTTTATAACGACAATGAGGACTATTATATGACGTAAATGGTTATTTATAATCTATTGCATAAATGTAATAAAAATACGTAATTTTACAAAATAAAAAATCACAATTTCTATTGTAATTTTAATTTGATCCTAATTTTAAAGCATTTCAATATTTATATTACTTAAACTTAATATAAATTTTTTATTTAAATTTATACTAATTCAAAAGGTAGAGGGGAATAGGGAGATCATTATATTAGATAATAAAATTGATAATTAAATGCTAATTTTCAAATAGGTTTTCTAAACTAAGATGAAAGAACTTCTTATTTCTGCTATTATTTGGTTACTTAAGATATCATTTATTAAATTAAGGAGTTTTTAGTACTCATTGAACATTTTAAAGTTGTTGTTCCACTACTAACTCGTTTTAATTTTTATGTTTTTGGTGAATTTTAACAAGAAGCAGCAATGCTATTTTTGAATAAAAATTCACTTGCTCCTCCTCTGTCAGTTAAACAGACATACTCCTATTAAGTATCAGGTAAATTTGTATTCAACTAGAGAGGTTTGCCTTCAGATTAATTTTTCTTATGTTTTTACTATTATTCTAATGAATATTGTATAATAAATTACATTTTTATAATTCTGGATGATCATTAATATTAATATTGATATTAATGACTTTATCTTAATTGGATGTATAACGAATATGTATATTAGGTTAAGAACATTTTCGATTCGTTTAAGATCCTGATTATTTAGTTGTTTTAGTATTTGTTTATAATGATGGTGTTGGTGTCTATTTGATTTTATTCATTTTCAAATCATTTTATACTCCTCTAGAAATAGTGGGACTGTTTCTATTTGAGAAGAAGTTTTGAGTTCCTGAATGAGGTCTATGTGTTTAGGATCCATTTTTCCATTTGATTTCTTATTCAGTAGGATCCTCCTCTATCAATATTTTAGATACTTATTTTAAATTTAATTTGCCTATATATATAATAAAGATTATTACCTATATTTGGTTGATTGGATGTTGAGACCTTATTATGAGTATTTGTTGTAGGAGATGGTATATTATTTTAATTGTATTTATTGAGTAATTAAGGAATAGATTACACATTTTTCTTAAGGTCTTTTAGAAATAATTATGTAGAGATCTTTGGTTAATGTTAAATAATAGTTTTAGATTTTGGATTTGCAGATTACTTAATTTATTCATTTTAATCTACTCTTGTAAGACTTTAAGGATTATCATTATTCTATTTGTTTTTGAATATGGAATCAACTTGATTTCTAACAAAATTAACATTGATATCTTTTGATAATCTATTCATTTAAAGTAATAATTCAGTATTTTATTTTGAATGTTGAGAACCAAACCTTGATTTAGATTCTTCTTATTGTTTTTAAATTAAAGTTTAAATTAATTATTCATGAGGTTAACTTAACTTCTTTTTAGGTTTTTAATGTTGAGAATCTCCTTTAATTTATGTTTTTTTAACTTATTGATTCAAATATGTTAAAAACTTATTCAATTTCAATTCTTCTGTTTTACCTGCCTATATGAAAAGTGAAGATTGTTCAAAAGCTTAATTACCAAGATGCTTGCAAATTTCTTATAGTGTACATGATATATCAATTTTCTATTATTTATTTAATAATCTTGATTTATTTAACCAACTCAAGTCTTTCAAAATTTGAATATTTCTGATTCTCCTAGTTGCTGTAGGAGATTCCTCTTCTTTTTAGGTTTCTTGAGAATTAGCAGGAGAGGGTTGTTCACCTACAATACCTTTTGGAGGTCGATTGGGATTTTTCTTATTCTCTTCTTCAATCAAACGAGCAATCCTATAGTACTCATATTTGCGTTTCTTATCGTAATATTTATTAAGCAAGGTCGCAATTGGTTCCATAAATAATCTGGCAATATCTGTATGAAACTCTTTTATATGGTTAATTTTACTTTATAGTATTCAGTTAACAACTGGACCTTCTGTGAATATTCATCAGTAAAATAATACCTTTTTAGGTATTCATCCTTAGAATGATACAAAAATTTACATCATCATCATATCCATACCAATCCTTGTATCTGATTACAGCTTTTGATGAAGCATCAGCAAGAATTTCATTTACGTCTCTAGTATAATAATAATTCTGTGATTAGCAATAACGAAGGAACAAATTTTTATTAGTCCATACAACTGTATTTTAAATCAGTTCAGATTATCGAATAATCTTCAAATTATCTTTGCTGATTAAATATTCCATGTTATGTTTCATCACTTATTTATAAATTAATAATATTTAAAAAAAACTATCTATTTTATTAATTTATATAATCTTATCAATATCTATGAGAATCAACAACTCAAATTATATCCCTTAAATAAATATTAAAATTGTATATTATAAAAGAAATTTATTTATTTTTATCATCATCAAAAATGAACTAAAATGAAGAGAACAATGATCAACCACAATAATAAGATAATTAAGTAATTGAAAACTAGAAGTAAGTAGAAAAGAAAGTAGTTGTTCAACCATTTGAATAAGAGAAACAAAAAATCTAATATAAATATTTAGGATAGCCTCCTTTTGAAATCAACCCAGAAGAAGAAGTAACTATTAAATTTATGAAAGGATATTAGTTGTATTGAAGGCAGAATACCTAATATATAAGCACTTGACAAATGTATCAATTTAAAACGATTGTGTTTAAGAACAAATTTAATTTCTAAATTAGAAGGACTATAAAATTGTGTATTACTTGAAGAATTAGATTTATATGATAATAGATTGATTAAGATAGAAAATATTGAATTATTAGTCAATTTAGAAATCCTTGATTTATCATTTAACAATATTAAAAAAATAGAAAATTTAGAAAACTAAAAGAAACTAAAGAAATTGTTTTTATTAAGTAATAAAATTAAAAAGGTAATAATTATTGCTATTTATAGATATAAAATATAGATTTTCCTGAACTTACAATGTTAGAACTTGGATCTAATAAAATATCAGAAATAGAAAATCTAGATAGATTACCTAAACTTAGAGAATTATTTTTAGGCAAAAATAAAATATAAATAATAAAAAATCTAGAACCTTTAGCTGATACATTAGAATTGTTATCTTTATCTTGCAACAAAATTTAATTTATTTAACCAGAAATATAATGTCTAAAGAATTTGAATTATTTGTAAATTGCTGAAAATTTCATAATAAATATTGAAAATTTAAATGGATTAAAAGAATTAGAATTATTGGATTTGGCTCATAATAAAATTACAAAAGTTTAAGGTATAGATTAATTATAAAAATTATAAGATTTTTGGGTATTATTTATTACTATTAATAGATAAATAATAATAAGATTGAATATTTTAAAGATTTTGAATAATTAAAATTGAATCAGAATATTAAAACGATTTATGTTGAATAAAATCCTGTTGCTTAATTTCCTGATTATAAAATGTAATTACTGTCTTTAATACCAAATTTAATTCAAATAGATGCTGTAAGAATAAGATGAGTATAAGTATAAAAATATTATTAATTAAATAAATTAACATGCAGAAACCAGAATAAGTGATGCAAGATTTTGCTAATCTATTGGATAAATGTAATTCAATTTCTATAAAATCTTAGATAGAAATGATCCTGAAGCTTGGTCTTAAATTTATAAGGTTATAAATTATAAGCCAACTTAAAACATTCCTAAAGGATAATCGTTAGACCCAGAAAAAATTCGAGAGTTCCTTAGATTAGGTAAACCAGGAACTTAAGAATTTGATCCTTATGATGATATGATTTACTTTGATGATAATAAGGTCAAAGAAATAGTTTTAAGATAAAACTTTTTGATTGCAAAAGGTTAATTGTGATTATATAATTATTTAGGATACTTTGATCCAAAGGCATACTTTCCATCAATTAATTTAAGTAGTTTAGATGATACATCATTTGATGAGAAAATCAAAGGTATAATGATTTATAATAATAATTAAGAAATGCTTAAAATACCAGATTAAGGTGATAAGAAAATTTGAAAATTATATCATGTCAAATAAATAATTCATATTACTTTACTAATTCATCAAACTAACCTATAAATACGAATCAATGCTTATTTGAAATCATCAATATTCAATGGTTTAGTTAATACCTTTTACATTCCACTTTCAAAACATTTTTCTATTTCATATTATCCATTAAAAGCAGTTAATCCAATAATAGGAATAGATGGAATGATATTTCCATTCATCATATTTTTTAATCTTTTTGTTGTTTGCCATCCATCTAAAATTGGCATTTAACAATCCATCAAAATGAAAACATAAAGTTAACAATCTTCACAACATTTTTTTGTATTTTTAATAGTCTCTATTGCTTATTAACCATTATATGCTAATTATATTTCAAATCCCATCTATCCAAGAATCATTTCAAGAGCCTTTTAATTAAAAGAATCATCATCTACAGACAAAGCTCTTTAACATTAACATTTAAATTTAATCTTTACTTTACTAAAATTAGATTATATTTAACTCTGATCATCAATTCTTTATTACATTCTAGATACTAATGAGTTTTATCTATGTTTATTAGTAATAAATTTAGGATTGAAATTTGATTATATCTAAATAAGTTGATGAGTCAAACCAAATCTATCAGTATCTAAATACTAATATAATATCTCTTTCTACCTTAAATTTAAATATCTGTCTCAAATTAAATTCCAAGTATCTAATTCGATTATGGTTTCCCATAATAATTAGCCACTGAAGATAGATCCTTGACAGGTATATTTTTAACTGATGTATTTTTATATTCAGCATTAGCTATGATTAATAATCCTAATATTATAGTTTTATATAAATACCTTACAAACCTTCACTAAGATCAGGAACAGTATTAGGTGTTGCTAGAGATCCTCTTTTAAATGTTTTAATTTAACCTAACTATTATGAAAATACTTAAGTTTGAGTCTTAATTCTGAATTTAACTTCAACTCCTTAATTCAATCCTTTAGAAGTAATTTGAAGATAGGATTTATTTTAAGGAGCCAAAGTAATCAAATTCATTTAACTTACTAAAAGTCCTAAACCTTACCATTCATGTTATTAAGATATACTTCTATTCAAAGCAAAATCTTAAAGAGTTTATTAGATTTTTGCTAAGAGTTATGGTTCTATACCTTATCCTTAATCTTATATACTAAATAATACATAGTCATCAAATCCTTAAATTACTACTTCAACTTACCCTTGAGAACTAAATTTAACTGAATTTGATATAATATTAACTAAGATTTACATAATCCTATAATAATCAGACTTTATAATATTTGGAATAGATCTTTAAGCATTTACATGTAATCCTATTTTCTTATGTTAAAAAATAAGTTTAAATAAATCATTAATTTCTTAAATGATATCTACAAAATTGAAATCTGAAAAGTGATATTTAATCATCTTCTAATTGAATTATGTAAAATCAATTATGTCTCTTATAATGTAAGCTTATAATCTTAATGAATTTTTAGCAGGATCAATATAATGTTCTTTTAATTAAATTGGTAATTAATTAGTTTAACTTAATCCTTATAAAAATAATTCTGCACTATTTAATGGTGTTCTTAATTCATGTGAAAATGAATCAATCATTTTTACAATGAATTATTCTTTTGTTTCCATTTTTTTGAAATTAGTTTAAAGTGTAATATCTTAAATTATTATCAAATATTCATTTTCATCTTAAGAATATGAAATTTTAAATAATAGATTTCTCTCATCAAAAAATGCTTCATTTCCTTTACAAAATGTAGCAGATAATTCTAATTAATCATCATGTGCTTTAATTTTTTCTAATTATCCTAAATTTAATAAATTTAAAATTTGTTTAATAGTGAATGTCTTATTTTATATTTTTTATTATGTTAAATTGATAGTTCCTGAAGCTTAAAGGTAACTATTTTTATCTAACACAATGCTTGTTTGATGTAGAAAATAAGTGTTTTTCTTTTGTATTATTGTACATTCTAAATTTTCAAGAATAAATCTACCTATATCCCTTTCTGCTTAAAATATTTATAATAATTAATCATTTTCAAATAAAATTTCTAAATTATCCTTTTTAACTATTACTATTCCAACAGGAAAACTTTATAATTTATTCATCCACTTTAAACTAACAGATTCACTAATACGATTAATTAATAAAGATTATCTTATTTAAGTTGATGTGGCTTTGGTTTCTGTTTTTGATAACTATTCAAATTTAATTTTCTCCTATTTTTTAATTATTTAATGTTTTTCTTTAAAAATCAACATAGTTGCATAACCTACTGTAATGTATGTAACTCCTTATTCATTTTAAGATATCATCAAAAATAATTATATAGCATTCAAAACAATTAAAAAGATGTAACTAATTTATTTCTATAGAACATCAATTAATTGTTTCTCATAAAATTTAATAAGCAGATAACCATATTTCAATATTTCTGTAAAATAAAAGCAACAATAATATATTTGTACCAATTATGCTAATAACATTACAATTTATATGTATTTTCTCTTTTTGTTACCAAATTTCTTTGCTATACAAGGTGATAATAAAATGCATAGAAATTGAATTATAATTGTATTGATGGATACAATAAAAGAATCTTTTGAATAACCATAAATTATCCCTGATAGAGCAATATCAATAAAGCATTTGAAATAATACCAAAATTCTTTATTATTAATTTTCATTATTAAATTTAAAACAATTAAATTTCTCATATATATATATTATAATTTGGAATTAACATAGATAATAATTCAAAATATAACGTAAATCAATACATTCATTAATGAACTGTTAAGTCATAATGGGGAAAATTAATTTGATACTTGATAACGGATAAAAAATTATTAATAATCATAATATTTAATATACTCGTTTACAATAGAAAGCTATATTTTATTATAATTCTAATAAACCGATTCTATTCATTGTGAATTATTTAAAATACCCTATCTATATTATTAAACTAATCCATAAATTATTGGATATTTTATTAGATATGAAAATAAAATAGTGAATATATTATCAATTTACTTTAATTATAATTTCATAACATATGATTAAGTATATTTATCTACTATTCCTATATATATATATATTATTATATATGATTATTATCATAATTGTAAAATATTGATTTAGATATTCCCAATTTTAAATATCTTTTTAATTAAATTTTGCAAAATCAAAACCAGAAGAATATAATAGAATATAAAAAAATTAAGGATTTAGTTTTACAACTATAATTAAATATTTTCAGGAAAATTCTTGCTTCAAAATTAATTTGTTAAAGTGGATTTCAATTATATTTAATCTTTTGTAAAAATGTAAACTTCTAACATAATTAGAAATTAGGTATTAGAAATGATAGAATTACATTTAGTGTTTAAATTTTACTTAATTCTTATTCTTTAATGGAAAATAAGGATTTTTTAATTTCTCGAATATGTCTTCTATTTTAATTTAAATACTTTAATCTATTATATATCATATAATTAGTTTACAGATATTAGATCGGGTATTCCTTTTAAATCAATAATTATTGAAGTAAATAGAAATTGAATTCATTTAATGAACATGTAGAGATAAATAAAATATAAATAATATAAAAAGTTTAATTATTCTCTATTCTTTCGTTTTTAATTCATATCTAATCAGAACACATTCTAAAGCTTCTTCTTTGAAAAAGTTCTGAGTCCATTTTTAATGATGTTCGCCTTTATTATTTTGGAGGTGTTAATGCTGCATCAAGACTATATAATGAATTTCTTTAATTGCAATGCTTTTCAACTTAAGTCAGTTGATTAATTCCAAGTTAATCTAGATAAGAAATTATTGATTATTCCACATCATTTTTAATTGGTAACCATCCGTAAGTAAATTATTCACTTTTTGATGAATTCTCATTTGATTTCTAGAATTGAGGTGATTGCATAAATATTATTATATTTTAATATTATATTTGATCATTTTGAAATTCTTTTATTTCTAATTAGTTTATATTTTCTAACAAATTTATCTGTCCATCCTTTACTTGCTTTGAAATCTACTCCTTACTTAATCATTTTCAAGGCTTATGTTTAAATCATGGCTCGAGATACTCGTTTATTAGTATTTCTAATAGTTTCATGACACCATGCTGCCAATTTTTATTCCATCTCTAAATCAATTGATTTGCGCCCACAACCTTTCTTACGAAAAGGACCTTGTTTTTTCCATCTTCTTATGTTCTTCAATGGAATATCTAATTCTTCAGCTATAGTTCTTTCATCTCTTCCTTCCTCAATCCATTTGAGCGCACAAATTTTTAAATTTAGACTATAGCTTCTATACTTTCCTCTTTCCTTTTTCTTTTTCTTTCTTTGCTATCTTGCTTTTAAATCTCTGACTCTTTAACAAAGGTTCTTTCTAAATTTTACAGGAATAAGTTGAAATTTTTCACAAATAGGTTTTTCCATGTTGTAATAAAAGTGAAGAGTTATCATAATTTTTATTAAATTCTATTTTATATTAATCAATCTCTAAATATTGGATTTCTTCCTTAATTACAAATTTAGAATTTTTTCAAAACTTAAACTAATAATTTAAATCTAAATATTTCCATTTAAACAAATTCTACTAATAATATTCAAAACCAACATTAAATTATCAACTTCAAATATTAAATATTATTCTATGAACTTTATTTTTTACAAATACTAAATATAATATATTTTAAAGAATATTGAATTAATTATTGATATATATCTTTATTATATTATATTTAATTTAGACATCAAATACTTAACAGTATATTAGTTAAACATATATAATAATTAAAATTTAGATATTAATCAATTTATTACATTCTAATTTTGATAAAACAGTCGATCAGAATGTATAAAAATATATTATTAAATTACTTAGTTTTGATATTAAAAATGAAATACAAGTAATAATATTTCATTTAATCTGGATTAATTAAGAGTACAACAATTTATTAAATCCTTTCTGATGTATTAAAGCAGGTGGAAACAAAGTAGCAATCAATTTCAATTGATTTAATCTATTATACTATTTGGTTATCCAAAATGCAGATACAAAAGAAGTAAAGATGAGAAATCTAAAATAAATATATATATAATTTACGCTATTGATGAAGTAATTAGATAAGTTAAGATTTAATTTGATAATTTATTACTTAATATCTATGTTTCAGTAAAAATATCTAAAAAACAAAAATAGATGCATGTTTGTAATTCAATAAAGTATTGTAAAAATAAATGAGCATGAAGGGATAATTATAGAAATTAATCTGAATGACTCTAATCATACTCATAACGTAAATTTACTTGTTCAAAGTTGAATTCCTATTTAGATAATTTATTTAAGTCTTAAATTATCCCATAAATACCCTTATCAATCAAAGTGAGATAATTTTCATTTTCATAATATTCTTATTTAATGTTATCTTTTATACAAAAACTCAATATACTAGAGTAATAAGTACAGAGATCATCATTAAAGATATCAATTAATTGTTATTGAAATGTTTAATTATATGAAGTTGTAGTAACAAGTTCATTATTAATCTAATTAGAAAGATTAAGTAAAACATCAATATTATTGAAAAAGAATTCAATATGATCAGTTTAATTTATGTAATCTATTGCACTATTGTTTTTTATTAGATGTTCAGTTTTTATGACTTCTCCTACAATTACAGCAGAATCAAGTCTTGATTTCAATTTTAGATACTTCATAGTAAGTATTAGACTACTTTAATATTGGCTATTATATAATTTGGAAATCAATTAAGATCCAAATATAAATAATATAAGCTCAAAACCAATTATTAATGATAAAATTATTAATAAAGTATATTTCTCATTGTAATTTTCCAATTTGCTTAATGGATTAAATTTTGATTAATTAATTATTATTTTTTCACTTTATTTTTGAATAACAGGTTAATATTTTTATTAAAATTAATTCAATAATAATTTTGATAATTATTCTTTTTAAAAATGTAAAATTTCTATTTACTCTTAAATTATTTTTATATTTAAGTATTATAATAGTCTAATTAATTTTGTTTCTGTTCTTAATAATTTACAATTAATAATAAAGAATATAATCAACAGAAATACTATTACTATTGAAGAATATACACAAAATATAAATGTCTTACTTTCAAATTAAGAAAAAGATTCTTCAGTTGATTAAATCATTTCATCTAATACGAAATTGTGAAATTTATATATTTTTAACATATTCTATCTAATTAATCCATTTGTTTTGAGTATATCAGGGTCAAAAGTAGTGATATTCTTAAAGTCTGTTTTTTTAAACTGCCTAACTAATGCTTCTCTCATTACAGCATAAAATTAATAGTAATCCAAGTAAGATTAAATCTTTTTACCATTCTAATAACTAATTAAATCAATTGTATCAAAACCTAACTATGTACTCTTCTTACTTAAGTTCATTGTATATTCTTCATGAACACTACCCCAGAAATCAAATACATATATTAATTAATTTTGTCTTCTAAATTCTAAATATGGACTAATTACATAGAGTTTGTTTTAAATACAATATTAATTCCACATCAACATGAATGAAGCTCCAATATTGAATGTCATAGCTTAAGGAGTATTTAAAAAATTGACATCATATTGTTAATTAATCATATTATCATAATTTAATAGATAACTCACAACTAAAGAAATTGTGGTCACTGAAATCATTAATAAGAGAATCCAAATATTGTACTTTAATGGTGTATATAATTTCTTACTTTTTATAAGATTTGAAATGAATTCATAATCTGATTATAAACCTTCAAATTATGATTCATCAATTATTAATGATGAATTTTAAATATCTTCTATTTAAGGAATTTAAGTTATTTTTTATTGTTAAAATTCTTCTATTTATTTAAATTTTAAAATAAAGTAATTAGTTTCTGAATCTATAAATTTTTATTATACAAATTCCAAAGATCCTTCAAAATCTATATTTTTGATTCTTGATGGGGGAACTACAAGAGTTTGTATTTAATTCATCAAATTTTATTACATAATTTTAATTTTAGCATTTTTAATGATTGGCATTTCATCTGTTAATTTATATTATTTAGAAATAGTTTATCTTGTTGTGGAAGATGAATAAACTTTTTTTTTAAATTATGAAGAAATAGTAGCTTCATCATTAACAAGTCCTAAAGCTTAAGTTTATTCAAGGCATTTTTTATGATTTACAGGAAATTACCATCTCGAAGTAATATTAATTGTTTATTGATATGTTCCTAAAGAATATTAATTAATTAATTCTTAGATATGACAATATATTTCTGGAAGATAATATTAAATCATTCCTTATTGGATGAATTCAGAAATTGTTAGCTTTTTAGTAAATGTATTATCTGACTTTGATATTAAAAATTCATATATTTATTAGGATATTCCTAATATTTTCCCTTCTGAATCAAATATGACAAAATGATTGGGTTAATTTTTAAGAACTATTAAATTTTACAAAATTATATCATCTTTACTAATTGTGACATAGACATACAAATTACATTCTACCAAATATTCATTTTTATAAATATATAGAGTCAAAGGTTAATTTATATCTAGACCTTAATATAAATATTGATTGACAAAACTATTATAAATTGTTTTTAAAAATGATGGTAACAATTCAACTAATTGTTTTGGTTCTATTTGATCTCCTATAATTTAGAGTAGTCTTTTATTATTATTATTGATGATATTATTTGAATTCAATATAAAGCTTGATGACAACAAGAATGCTTCATCTATCATAATATATATATATTTACTTTTCTGAAATTTAGTATTCATTATCTTATCATAGGCAAGTAAATCATTTTGTTTCTTCCAAAGATCTTTAACCTATTATTAAATTATGATGATTACTTTAAAATAATTACTATAAAATATAAACAAAAATGAAGATACAATATTAATTGAAATTTAATCTGAGTTCTTAAATTCTAACAATCTTCCATTTTACATATCATATTGTCTTTCAAAAATATTCTTGTATTTTTCTAGTGTATTTAGGATCTTATCTAGTTATATTCTAAATGTAATAAGGTATTAATCCAAAGATTATTCTTTTGTCAATAATATGTAGAATTAACTTTTTAAATCTATAAAATTAATCAAAAGTTAATAATTTTATTGCTCTAAAAGAAGTGTTTTAATGTACAAATTAACATTTAAAGGAGATTTAATTAATCCATCACATGATTAAATGATATTTAATAAATTTGCATCTAAAGTTAATTATTGTAAGTAACTTAAATTTGCTTTATCGATATTTACTAAATTTAAATAGAGTTGTATTTTCTTATATTTGAAAACATATTATAAGATAGATAATCTATCAGGAATATTACCATTTTATAAAACTTATTTTTAGTACTTAATGATATTCTATTCTTAAGTAGCTGTAAAAAAATGCGAGTATGACGAAAAATTCTTCATCAATTCAGGATTTCTAAAAATACTATATTTGAATAAATTTTATTATGAATTTTTCGAAAATAATTCTTCACCTAGTTTCTTTTACCTAATTGAAATTTAGATACTAATCAACAAAATATAAATCAAAACTAAATCTTACCAATATTGATTTATCAAATACACTATAATATATGATATTATGAAATTTGAAATTTGTAAATAGTACCAACTGTTATATTGATAATTATTTATCTTTTATGTAATCATGAAAAATCTTGAAAACAACAAAAGAGTTGGGGCTACCCAATATTATTCATTACTTTGCACTACAAAACAAATTATAAACTGCATAAGTAGATAATATAAATTAACCAGTCTTAATGAGTAACAACCTTCAATTTCGATTAAACTATTTTATATATTACAAAAACAATAAATTAATTCTAGAAATAAACCTAATATTATTCCAATAATAGATATTTCTATATAATTTAAAGAGATTGCAAAATTAAATGAAATATTTAAAGTAGGAAGAAGTATTATCATATGATAAATATTTTGAAAATATTTGAAAAATTATCCTACCAGAATAAATTTTTCATTCTTATCAAAATAAACTATTGTTATCACTAAAATGTATAATATTTGAATAAAGAGCATTAAAAATAAAAGTAGTTCGTCTTTATCATATTTAATTAAATTAATGGAAAACTTTTATTAAAAAGACAATAGCGAACTCTGAATTTACATAGATGTTTAATTTTGAAATTCTGTTGAAGTGATCAATTATATTTCTTGTAAGGCAGAGATGAATACAAGGATTTTTGCAAATACTAGATTAAACAATGTTGGCTCAATTTTGTTTTTGATGCTTATTTATTACAATCGTACTAAAACATTGAATACTAACTTTCCTAATTTATCATTTATTTTCTTCTTTTTTAAAGCTCTTCTCATAAATAACTCAATATAAATAATATTAAAATTAAAGCAATTTAATAATTTAA